AAAGAACTTTTCTCTCACCAGGGCCCAGTGCTGGAGTGCTCATATCTCAAACCCAAAAGGGAAAAGAAAAGTGGCCTATTTCCCCATGTCATACTGGCTCACGATCAGCTGTCAGCCGAATCTTCATAAAGTTCACCAGCAGTCAAGGCCTTTTTATGTCATGTGATAAGCTTGCCTGGATTGCATGTATGTTATTCCACACGTCAAATGCCAGAACAAACTAGCTCATGGCATAATTAAATACTTGAACTGCTACATAACTTTATAGTTTATTCCTTGGCCTTCTCCTTCATCACTTGAGTTTCTCATGAAAGTACTGCAATGAAATGAAGAAATAAAAGTTTAGGAAACCAAAAATTTTCAATAAAAATCATCATCTCAGTAATTAACATTTGCTTCAATCCTAATTGTTCTGTAATGGGAAATCTTTGAATTACAGAACTCATCATAGAAGCAAAGGAAACTGATAATAAAGAGATCAGCTGGTAGGAGAATGGTGTTGTTACCCCTGGCAACCTTTCAATTTATGAAAAATTATAATATCATTTCAATGACAGGAAAAATAGAAGCACTTGATAAGATAAAAATGAAGTTAGAGCTGATGTAAGGTCAGATGAAATCACTCACCAGATACAAGTTTAAATTAATGTTCAGTTTTAATAAAAACCTGCACGATTAATTAATGTTAACCGTTATCTTGTTAACAGATAAGATTATGTATTAAAAAAAACTTGTGTTCCCCCATATATATATATATACATATATGTTAATGTTACAGCAGAAAATGACAATTGAATATCATATTTCATAAGCAAGATATTACAAGTGGGAAACAAGGTTACGAAGTATCCCCTATAACGAAACAATTTGACTCTCAAATGGTACTCATATGCCAATTTTCTAACAAATTCACAGAAGTCTCCCACATGACATGGCTTAATCATAACTAAAGCGATTATTTTGTAAAACACTCAACTCGTCAAATTCTTTTCATCTTTATCTTCCTAGGCTCTCTAAGCCACTTTTTCTCATATAGCTTGGCCGGTTCGGTTCTCTCCTCAAGTCGAAAAAAACTTCAATTCATAAATGGCAAGCAACAAGCACTGCCCGTCATGCAACTCCCATTTCCAATCAATGGAGTTTCAAAAAGAATACGTGATACAACTTTTTTCTTTTAAACCATGGGAATCTCTTTCACGATAAGTCAATATCAAAGACATTTACAATCTATCCAAATTTAACAAAGAGAATGTTAAATTGTCAGAAATTGAAAGCAATAGTTAAAAACAAATTGTCTTTGAAATTTAAATTTTTATTCAATTAATCCATCATTGTGAACTTTAGATAATTTTTTAACTTTCGAACCAAAATATGACAATAAAAAACGATATTATAGTATTGAAATTTGATTATCAAATTAATTAAATGTTATTTTTTATAAGTTAAAATAAAAAATTCAATTCTATATTTTAATTATTGACTTTAAAACTTATAAATAGAAACTTCCATTAGCATCGATATATTTTGATGTAGAAATAGTTTTAATTGGTATTAACAGGAGCAATATGTTGAGATTTACCTTGAATCTCAGAATCTCACATCGAAAGTTAAGTAAGTTTGAATTTGTCTTGTATCCCACATCGGGAGTTTAGTAAAGGTATAAAGGGTTTCACCCCTATAAATAAGATGTTTTGGTTTTAGTTTAGTACCCCCAGAGAGTTAGACACCAAGAGAATAGCTAAGTGAGTAGGCTATTAAAGGGTGTAATTGGGTTTTGGGTTAAGTTTTGAGTAAGGAGTTTTAGGAGACTTTTCTCATTCTAAAAGTCTCACAATTATAAAGATTTATTTGATAGTGGATTTGGTTTGGAGTAGGCCATTTTGAGTTGGGCTGAACCAAAAATATTTGTGTGTTTTTATTCTTGATTTGAACTTGTTATTTTGTGTGTGATTGCTGCGCGTGGGTGTTATTTTTCCCAACAAGTGGTATCAGAGCGAGGTTCGAAGTTTGAGGTTCGTGGGTCCAAGAGATCGTGAAGCAGTGTTTGAAGATGTCTGAAGAAGGTATGTCTGGTATGTCTATGCCTAAGTTTGAGATTCTGTTATTTGATGGAAAGAGTAATTTTATGTTATGGCAAAGTACGATTCAAGATCTGTTAGTACAACAAGGGTTGGATCAGGCATTAGAGAGTAGTAAGCCTGAGGGAATGTCTGATGCTAATTGGAATAGGATTCAGAAGAAGACTGTTAGTACTATTAGATTGGCGTTAGCTCCAGATGTGTTGACTGAGAGTACTCCGAAGAGTTTGTGGGATAAGCTTGAAGGTATTTATGCTTCGAAGTCGTTGACTAATAGATTATGTTTGAAGATGGATCTGTATTCTCTGAAGATGGAAGAATGTATGAGTCTTCATAATCACCTGAATAAGTTTAATAGATTGGTTTCTCAATTGCTAGCGATTTCTGTTGATGAGTTAAAAGATGAAGAGAAGGCTTTAATTTTGTTGTCATCTTTGCCCAAGTCTTATAGGCTTTTAGTTCAGACTGTGTTGGTAGGTAGGTCTACTTTGAAGTTGGATGATGTGACTGTCCTGTTGCGTGAGAATGAAAGGTTTATGGGAGTTCAGAACTCATTACCTGAGGGGAGTATACTACTGTTGAGGGTTTTGATCGAGGAAGGACTCAAAAGAGGATTGATGGATCAAGATGGAGATCTAAGTCAAGAGACAGAGATTACAGTGACGTAGAATGTTATTATTGTGGTGAGAAGGGACATATCCAAGTGCGTTGCAGGAAGCTGAGAAGGGATATGACTGCTTTCAAAAGGGCGAATGATGAGAAGAAATCAGATGAAGAAAAGAGTGATACTGCTGCTGTCTTGTCTGATGATGATGATGTTGTTTTGACAACTTGTGTGGATGAGATCCTGACTTTGAAAAGTGATAAAGGTTGAGTTTTAGATTCAGCTGCTACAGTTCATGTTTGCAATGATAGGAGCTGCTTTGTGGAGTTGAATGAGAATGAAAAGTATGAGGATATTGTGGTTGCTAACAAAGAAAAGGTGCAGATTCAAGGCATTGGGAGTGTTCACCTTAAATCTCACAATGGTGTTATTAGGACACTTCGTCATGTAAGGTATGTACCAAATTGTCACTACAATTTGATTGCTTTGGGTGAGTTAGCTTCTCGAGGGTACACATATTATGGTAGTAATAATTGGTTGAAAGTGTACAAGAATGGTAGTGTGATTCTACAAGGGAATAGGGTCAATCACTTGTACATGTTTGATGGAGGCTCAGTTGCTGGAATGCCTGTGATGAAAGAAAAGAAGAAAGGTAAGTACATCGAAGTTAAGTAAGTTTGAATTTGTTTTGTTGAAGTGTTTGGAGATTCAAGTCAAAGGAAGATTTGTTGGGATTTACCTTAAATCTCAGAATCCCACATCGAAGTTAAGTAAGTTTGAATTTGTCTTGTATCTCACATCGGGAGTTTAGTAAAGGTATAAAGGGTTTCACCCCTATAAATAAGATGTTTTGGTTTTAGTTTAGTACCCCCAGAGAGTTAGACACCAACTAAGTGAGTAGGCTATTAAAGGGTGTAATTGGGTTTTGGGTTAAGTTTTGAGTAAGGAGTTTTAGGAGACTTTTCTCATTTTAAAAGTCTCACAATTATAAAGATTTATTTGATAGTGGATTTGGTTTGGAGTAGGCCATTTTGAGTTGAACTGAACAAAAAATATTTATGTGTTTTTATTTTTGATTTGAACTTGTTATTTTGTGTGTGATTGCTGCGCGTGAGTGTTATTTTTCCCAACACAATATCCTTCAATTTCTCATAGGTTCGTCTCACCTTTGCATTTGTCATTTCTTAGCCTCAGTTCATGCCATTATATATTTTAACACATCTTTCTCACTTCCTTTTTCCCCTTGTTAACGCACCAACCACCTTGTTTATTAGCCAAAGCAAAGCAAGCAATAATGGCGTCGGTTCCAAATAACATTACAAAAAGCAGCAGCAGCCGCCTGAATAAATTAACAAACAAATAGCTCTGCTCCCACACCAATAACCTATTAGCTAAATAATATTAGAATCGACATTAACATTAAAGATTTCCAGTTCGAAATCCAATTACACGCAAAATTTCTGCTGGTACCGCGTCTAACTTATTAGCAGCAACTTGCTCGTCCACTGACCTTGTGAAAATAACATAAATGTCTGTCAGTTGGTGACGTGGAGCAATCTTAACCTTCTGCTCCTCTTTGTTCTTTCGTTCTTGTTTTTTTCATGCGTGTTTTGAGCTGAGACTGATGCATAAACACAGCTCAGCCGTTGATTTAAAAACCCCTCCACTCCCAATTCCCACCACAAAAAAGTCAAATCAACTCGTTGGCCATGACTAGATGCTGCGTCAGTTTGAACCAATTTACTATAGACACGTTATCCACGTAGAGCTGAGTCAGGCTCCTATCCCAATATTCTTTTTTTTTTTTTAGTAATCTTAGGATAAACGCATTCTCATTTTATTATCTTACAACTTTGAATCTTAATCTCTAAATTTAATCCTAAAAATATAAATATTGACTATAGTAATTTCTAGATAATTGAATAATCAAAGAACTTAATCTATTTTTAATAAAGAAATTAGGATTTACGTGTGATCTTAACTCAGATATTTCAAAGCTGGATAAAAGAGAAAGACAACGTAAAAAGATATTTTTAGGATAATTGTGCACGTGGAATAAAATGATTGGAGTTTGAGGGTCACGCTCATTCAAAAGGAGTGAGTCTGGCGTGATTAGATCATAATTGTCAATGTTTTTCTTTCCATTTTTTTTTTCGGATAACATTGTCGGAGGAAGGAGAGATTTTTCAGTTGAGGACATAAAACATTCCAATTGACAAGGAAGGACATTTTTATGTGACTATCAATTATTTTCAGTTGAGGACATGAAACATTCCAATTGACAAGGAAGGACATTTTTTATGTTGCTATAAAAACCTCTCCATTGCAACATCACCTGCCGCACACAAAAAGAAGAAGCCATTCGATTGAGCTTTTCTATTGGTTTCTTTTTCTTTCCAGTCAGATTCTTTTGGCTACTTTCATTTGTTTTTCAGCCCTTTTTTGCTACTTTGTTTTAACATTTTCTTGAGGGAAAATGACTATCCTTATTGAGAAGCCTCAGCTAGGTACCATTTTTTTTCATGGAGTACTAAAAATGGGTTTGGAAATTTGCCTTGAATTTAATGTTTTCTTTTTAATGTTTAACAGAGTCTCAAGCAGAGTGCCAGGAGTATGTTGTTGAACCTAATGAATTGGTGTTGGATGGTGGATTTCCAGTGCCAAAATCTTCGTCAGATGATGGATTTTTGGCACCAGAAATCAATTCATTTGGCCACTCCTTTAGGTATGTGAAATCTTTGAAAGTGACGCGGTTGGTTTTCCATTGAGAGAAGTCTTAAACAGAAATGACAAAGAAAAAACTAAATGGTTTTGCAGGGATTATAATGCAGAAAGTGAAAGGAAAAAAAGCGTAGAGGAATTCTACAAACAGCAGCACATTAACCAGACATACGACTTTGTAAGCAAACCTAAACAGAATTACAAAGTAAAATGTTTTGGGGCTTTGTTCATGGTTTGATATGCATGCAGGTGCAAAAGATGAGGAAAGAGTACTCCAAACTGAACAGAATGGAAATGAGCATATGGGAATGCTGCGAACTCCTGAATGAGGTGGTGGATGACAGCGATCCTGACCTAGATGAACCTCAAATTCAGCACTTGTTGCAATCAGCTGAAGCAATTAGAAAGGATTATCCTGATGAAGACTGGCTGCATTTAACTGCTCTTATACATGGTATATACCCGATCAAATTTCCTTTATTTTTTACTAACCAATAAAAAATGGTACATCTAAACCCGTAGCCGACTCTATTCATGGATCATCTGCCTCACCAAATCTTCATGGAGAATTGGAGATGGCCCTGCCTTACTGGATAACCATCAAAAAAATAGCCCCCTTGAAATTTAAAATGGATAAAAATGAGTGTTTCTTGGATGGTTATTAATCTACGTGTTTGGCGGATGCCAGATCTTGGAAAGGTTCTTCTTCTACCCAAGTTTGGAGGTCTTCCACAATGGGCTGTTGTTGGTGAGTACTGTTTATATAATCATGCAAATTGATTTATAGTATTTTTTTTTTCTTTTTCATTGTTTTGAGTGATTCCAATTAAACAATCAAGCAATGGGAAAATGGCAGGAGACACGTTCCCTGTTGGATGTGCTTTTGATGAGGCCAATATTCACCACAAGGTATTTCTCTTTACTTCAAAAAACTATGCTATAAACATAATCTAATCTATATCTGTAAAGATAAAACATCAACTATAATAAAATCAAAAAAATTCTTTGTGTTTCAGTTTTTCAAGGAAAACCCAGATTATAACAATCCTGCTTACAACACTAAGAATGGAATTTACACCCATGGCTGTGGACTAAACAATGTAATGATTTCATGGGGGCACGATGACTATATGTACTTGGTACGTTCTTTTTCCATTATCTTTTTTATAGTCAAATGAAAGTCAAAATTCAATTCAATTTTTTTAAAATGTTTTCAATTTTGCAGGTAGCAAAGGAAAATGGAACGACTCTACCCTCAGCCGGGTTGTTCATAATCCGATACCATTCCCTTTATCGTAAGCGCTTACATTTGATGATTAAGAATGTTATTTATAAATTAATGTTCAATATTAGTCCATAATTAAACTATATTAATTAGTATTTAATGCCAATAATTTGAACCCTAATTCTGCAGCTTTACATAAGGAGGAAGCATACATGCAATTTCTTAATGATGAGGATAAGGAGAATTTGAAGTGGCTCAGAATATTCAAGTGAGCCTCAAATTGTTTCTCTGTTTGATATTATTTCTCATATAATAAATTTGTCTGCATTCAACAAATTTATGATATCTCAAATTTATTATTATTTTTTAATTAATTCTTCGAAATGTTAATGTACACAGCAAATATGACCTGTACAGCAAGAGCAAAGTCCTGATTGACGTTGAAAAGGTCAAGCCATATTATCTTTCACTGATTGAAAAAGTGAGTACAGCATTTAAAATCTTTTTTTTTTTTGTTGGTAAATTTCAGCTTTAGATTCTTTTGTTTCCTAAAAGTTGAATAAACTTTTGTTGCAGTATTTCCCGGCCAAGCTCAAATGGTGATCATAGCTTGAAGAAATTTAACTATGGCTTGTGAGATTAAGGAAAGAAAGCTTGATTATCAAGGAAATTATAGGCGGCTTGGTTGCTTCATTTTCTGCACCCAAATTATATTATTTATATTTGATGAGTTTTGTAAAAAATAAATTCATGAAAGTGTGTTTTTTCTTCCTTCTTAATTTGTAAATAAAGTTGTAAACTACTTATCAATGGAGATAACATATTTTCACCAGTACTTTCTAAAATAGTTTCATTTGACTAAGTAAAAGTTTTTTTTTTTTTTTTCGTTTCTAGATCAAAATCGTTGGTAAATTGTAACGAAGTTATTTTTTTATGAATTTCTTAAATACATTGATTAATTGCTTAAATCAACTCAAAATATATATAGGGCAAAATTTAAAAACTTATTAACAAATATTTAAAAAATCATATTCTTAATTTATTCCTATCTCTACATATAGCTAGTAAAGATGCTACCCGCTCATGAATTTTGGAATAAAATCAAATTAAGAAGACTGATTAATTTATATATATATTAAGGAATTAATTCTGGTAATTAGATTATGAAAATATGCCCTTTTAATTTCTTCCAAATGCTACTCAAGCATAATTAGTATAAAATAAAATTATTAAATCTTTTCTTGAAGGGTTATTCTTAAGGATTAAAGTTGATTTTCAAGCACATGAAATACGGTATATTTCACCACTTACAGTCTATTAGTTTTTTGGAAAATCATCATCATCGTCGTCGTCATAATATATATATATACACATATAAAAAAGATGGTAAGTCATATGCAAATTTATGGGTATGTTTGGTTTTTTTTTTGTTTTGACCGATTCTTCTGCATAAAATTGCTAGGAAAACATTCCATGTTTCAAGGAAGCAATTTTCCTCCATCTGTGAGTCACTATATAAAAATTTTGTTAACGATGCATCTTCCCTTAAACAATTCCTATGCCAAATCATTTATACAGCTTTCTTTTCTTGTCATTTATGGCCAAAACTCGGCATTAAAACTCCTAATTTCTGAAGCAAAAAGATATCCACCACTGAGAAACCAGTGACTGGTACACCTTTTTTCTTTATCATTTCTTTTAAATTCTGTCTTCATTGATTTATCTTGAATTATTTTACAAAAACTAACAAGTTTTTGTTTTGTAATATGTTTGTTAATTTGTTTTGTCAATGGTTTATAGAACAGAAGGAGCGGACCGACCAAAATGGAGTGCCAAAACTTGTATCAAATGGTGGATTTATGGCACCAGACACCAATGCATTTGGCCAGGCATTTAGGTACAACTTCTCTTTTTTTTTTTTTTTTTTCTCTTCTTAAGTTATCAAAATTTTTGTCGCTTTGAATGTTTGTGTTTTGAAATCCTGCTTTTGCTTCGTATTTAAATGTTTAGTTTGCCATGAGAGAATTGAAATAGATTGTAAAAATGATCTGCAGAAATTACAACAATGCAGATAGTTCAAGGCAAAAGACTGTTGAGGAGTTCTATAGGCAACAGCACATTAATCAAACTTATGACTTTGTATGCTAACTGTAACTTAAACCGTTGTATATACATAAGCCAGAAATTAATCAAATTATTATGTGGTTTGGACGCATAAACCGGCAAAAATTGCAGGTCAAAAAGATGAGACAAGAACACTCCAACATGAACCGAGCAGAAATGAGCATATGGGATTCCTGTGAGCTTCTCAATACCATTGTGGATGATAGTGATCCTGATTTGGATGAACCTCAAATTCAACAAGCACTGCTGACGGCCGAAGCCATTAGAAAGGATTATCCTGATGAAGACTGGTTGCACTTGACAGCTCTTATTCATGGTAATCGAAAACAACCTATCAGAATTCCTATATTCTATACCAGGGAAGAAGCACGTGGTTCTAAATAGGTGATATTACAAATAAAATTCTACGCCTAAGCAACGAAGTAACCATCTTGTTCTTACCTGGATTTAAGACCTTGGAAAGATTCTTAATCTGCCTCAATTTGGAGGGCGTACTCAATGGGCTGTTGCTGGTTAGCATTCTGTTTGCTATTTTAATTTATTTTTCCCACTGTGATTTCAATTGATTGAATGGCCAAATCAACATATTGCAGGAGACACCTTTCCTGTTGGATGCGCTTTCCATGAATCTAACATTTACCCTGAGGTATTATCTTTCAAACCACTGTTACTATACCATCTCTCGTATAAAGCTTAGATGTATACCAGTAGTTAACCGACATAAATCCTGCAAAAAAAAACTATATTTTTTCCAGGAGAATCCAGATTACAACAATCCTGTCTACAACACAAAATTTGGAGTTCATTCTGACGGATGTGGACTAGAGAATATATTAATATCATGGGGCATGATGATTACATGTACCTGGTATAGCCTATACATTCTTAATTTCTCATTCAAAGTATGAAATTTTTAAAGAACCATCAGTTAATCAATTTGTGTTCCTATCTCTGCAGGTGGCTAAGGAAAACGGATCAACTCTACCGTCTCCGGGGCTATTCATCATCCGATTCCATTCCTTTTATCGTACGCATTGCCTTTAAGAATATTGTTTCTCCTGAATATATAATCAATGCAATTAACATTTCAAACATCCTAATGAAAAGATTTTAATCATAATCTTGCAGCTTTACATAAGGCTGGAGCATACATGTACTTGCTAAATGAGGAGGACAAGGAGAATCTGAAATGGCTCCATGTATTCAAGTATGCTTCAATAGCCCTTAGTTTTCATTACTGTCTTGCTTTCAAGCATATTTCTCATATCTTTTGCAGTGGATTTGTGATCACATCAACAGGAATTAATATTTTGTTTGTAAATATTGTGAAGCAAATATGATCTCTACAGCAAAAGCAAAGAGCGTCAGGACCTTGAAAAGTTGAAGCCATATTATGTTTCCCTCATTGACAAGGTCAGAAAAATATCCCATTTTGATCCTTTTAATGGTAATTTTAAAATCCCATTGTTGTTTCCTGAAATAGGATATTTTTCTTCTTTCTTGCAGTACTTCCCACAAAAGCTCAAGTGGTGAAACATGAAAGTTCAAGCATAGAAGCAGCTGGTTGTGGTTTGTGAAGAATTCTACTTAATTTCTGAACTTAATTATAGGATGATTAGCTTTGTACAAATTTAAAATGAAATTACTGTTACTTTAAACCCAATTTTCCTCAAAAAGGAAAACAAATATATGTTTTTTGGAGTAAGAAAAACAGCGAAGTGTTGCAAAATAAAAATGGAGTGAGAAGAGAAATTTAGGACACAAAATGTGAGCCACTATAGATGGTATTTTAGAGCCAGACTTATTTCTATGTTCTACTTGGGTTTCTCATAAGTAACTTTCTTAAATATTGGGTTAATGCCATCTTTTCTTCTAAATTATAATAAATGGTATAATGTAATACATATATTTTAAAAAATTTTAATGTGATTATATTATAATTTCGTTAATCAATGTGATACTTCTCAACAACATTAATAACTCTCAATGATGTAAACATATCATAAAACGATCAAAAAATAATACGTGAACATAGAAATTTTTTATTTGATTAATAGTGATTTCATGTATAGAATTTTGATGAAGATGATTGCTAATTTTGGTTTTTCTTATTCAATTACTTAAAATAACAAAATCAATTGGATTCAACCATTAAGGGGACTAAAAGGGGAGACAGAAAGGAGGGATTAGAAAAAAAAAAGAATAAGAAAATTTTTGTTTAATTTTTTAAAAAATTATGATACATTATAATTATGAAACTAAATTTGTTGATGATGAGAGATATTTTATATGGTACGTCATATTTTTATTGATCAAAATTTAAGATATCTTTGAAAATTACAAATATTAAAAAAACATGTATTACAATAGTTAGTAGAATTATAATACAAATACCATATTAAATAATTTATTATAAATCAAAGACAAACGTGACATTAATCTTAAATATTAATTTAGGTAATAATAACTTGATATATGTTAGTATGAGAAAGTCTTGGGTTTAATTAATATTCCATATATGAATAAAATGGCAAAATACAATTGATACAAAAAAAAAAAAATCGAAACAAAGAAAAATTATTAGTATTAACTAATCCAACTTGAATTGGGCTTTAAAAGTCCCGAATGAAGTCCAAGATAGGACCTTAAGAAGCCGAAGAGCTGATACGTGCCATGCACGTGGAACCCGTCAGTGTCTACTTGTTCGGTTGTTCTAAATTCCTGCATCTGTGTCTGTGATCTTTCTCTTCTATTTCCCTCTGTCACCGCTAAAACCCCAGAATTCCAGAAATAACCTCACAACTTCTACATATTTTCAGTTCTACTCCCATTTCAATGAAACCCCTACTGGTAAACTGATAATGCGTACTACCCATTTGCACAATCAATTTTTTTTATTATTTTAAAACAAACCCAATTTGTGTTTTCATCTTGGATTTTTCTCTGTAATGAATCTCGCCTCTTTCGAATGGTTCATTTTTCTTTTTTCTCTTTATTTTCACTATAAACCCTTGTTGCTCTGTTAATCAAATTGATGAATTCGCCGTTGCCGCGTCCGCCTTTCACTTCCACCACTTTCTCCATCTCTCTTGTGCGAAGAAGATTTAACCGGAATTGGCTCTCTTGAGTAGCATGTGCTTGCTCAAATGAATCTTATTTCCTTGAGGTATCGCACGATTGTTGTTACTGGACATGGCTTGTTAATGAAGGTTGTGGAAGAAATTGAAGAGTGTTTAATTAGTCGTCACACTAAAATCTTATTTCTCTAGTATATCATAAAGCAATTTATTCATTGGTCTTTATGGTTTGAAATGTCCACTTAGATTGAAACAGATAAAAATATTCCCTGTCTTTGCTTTTAGGCATAAGGTCTCTTCAATTGATTGAGATTGATCTTTCGTGTTGATATCTTTTTTTTTTTGCGTTTTTAAAAGGGTCAAAGCCCTACGATAAGGGAGAGGGGAGAGATTGGGGTTGAGTTTTGATGTTTTCTTAAGATTTTTTTTGATCATTAGGTCAAGAAGTTGAAAAAAGTGTGATATCTTTTATTCGCTTAAGTTAAATACTGAACAGGTTGTGTACCTTTGATTTTTTTTTTTTATTACATTACGAGAACAAAATTTTAATATAAGTAAGAAAAAAAAAATTCATTCTAAACTAAATTTTTTATATTTCTTCAAATGCTTTTAATCATTAAACTAAAAGTTTGGAGATAGTTGTGTACCTTTGTTGCATACCAATGGAATTGGAATTTTATCCCTGATCCTTAACTGCGTTACTCTGTAGGTTGCTGCACCACTGGTCTAATGCTTGTGTCACTGCCGGCGCGGGAGCACCCGAGGCCCAGGCAGCATCAGCAGATCACTCAAGAGGGCCAAGGAAATCAGTTTTTGAAAGGCCCCAAGCGCACCAGGCCCAGATGATGGCAGACAAGGCTCCAGCAGATCCTAAATGCTGAAGCTTCTAGAAAAAGTCCAGGCTTGTGATACTTGCATATGTGGCCTTTTTCCTTGATGGAGACGAAAGGAGGGGTGACCTTCCTCCTCGTATGCATCAAAGATTTTCAATGTCCTTGGTTTTCGGAGGAGATGGAAGGTAACATGGCTCCTTTCTCTCTTCAAAGTGATAAGATTCTTACTAGCTTAATGAGTCAGGCCTGTTGTTAAATGCTTGTTTGTAAAAATGTGGTTGAAAGCTTCTTTTAATGGTTTAATGCTGTTGTGAAACAGGCTTTACATCTAAAAATAAAATAAAGAAAACTTTGCTGTTTTTGCCATTAATTGCAAATCGATAATGAGAGCCTGAAGCAACTAGTTTGATTTTTTTTTCATGTTACTGTGCTAGATGTGTGATTAGTGGAAGAGATGTCATGATCTCTTGGTTCTTTGGAGGAAAAGTCAGTAAAGTATAATGCATGAGTAATGTTGCTTGAGCTTGTTCACACTGCTGCAGCTATTGCTGTAATAGATTTATGGGAGAAAATAAAGGGTCCATAGGCAATCTATATTGCTCAAACTTGCATGTTGCACTAGCAGCAAGAATGCGTTAAGCGATTAGTTGCTTTCGAAATCCCGACCTATCCCATCTTTTTAGTACCATGGCAGAGAAATTTCAAGCATTTGTTATTCTGATTATATCTCTTTTCTGATAGGTAAGTGCCTTGGTCTGAGGATTTCTACATTACTGGAGCCACTCAAGCAAAAAATTATGAACTCTCAGTCATGGAATTTTAGCATATAAGTAAGGTTTATCGATTATCATGCTCGTGGTTAACTTGCCTTTGTACTAATGAAAGTTTACATTACCGAAGCAGGTCTTAATGGCATTTTTTGTGGTGCAGGGCCGGGATGAAAGTGAATGGTGGATGCTTCCTTCTGGATTAATTCTTCGTAAATTATCCGAGGACGACTTATTGATTGCCATGTGGCTAACCAAGAAATTCAAGATCACTCATTATATAGCAGTTATCCTGCAGGGTTCTTCTGAATAGTTACAACAGATGCTAGAAAAGATGCTCAGCCTTTGGGAAACCCACCCCATTCTTTTCTTTTGGAAGTCCGATCATGTAGTCCCTCTTAATGTGTTTTAGGATGTACACCAAGTTTTCTAGCTTTACACGTGCTTGGGATTTTTTTTCTTTTCTACGCACATGGAGGCTTGGTGGTGAGTCATGAAGCCTTTGGATAATTTTGCTTCCTTTCCTTGAGTTCCTTTCACAGAGTGGTTTCTCTAATAAGGTGAAAATTGACAAAAAGGAAAATCTAATTTTACCCCCCATTTTCTCTCCCTGTCTTTGTCATTACCACTTTTTTTTTTTTTTTATTGTTATTGGCTATGAAATGATTTGAATTAAGACTGTAATAGATTGGGTTCGAATTTATACAACATTAAATTTGATCTAAAGCTTGATTTGAAATTTGAAGCTTAAATTTAATTCGAATTCGGTCGAGTTTTATTATTTTAACTTAAATTTGATTTGAGATAAAAATTAAATTATTCGAACTCATTTTAATATATAAAAATAAATTTAATTTTTATATTCGATAAAAATTTAATTATTTGTGCTCGAGTTTAAACTCGAGTTTAAAATATTTTATTAATTAAAATAATTAAAATATATTTAAATATAAAAATTAAATTAAATTCGTGAACTATTCGAATAGGGTATAAAAATATTTGAATTCGATTCGATCAATGAATCGAATTACTCGAACTAAAACTTGATTCAATAATGATCGAATCGAATTCAAATTCGAATAATTTATAAATATTAATGTATTATTTTAATTTTTAGTTTGAATAATATTTTTTAATATAGGTTCTATGAAATTTATTTTATTTTATTTTATTTTTGTACAGTCCCTTCCAAATACAATTCCCTTCCAAATACAAATATAACTTGGGTCTTTGTAGAAAATTCACAATTACGGTTTTATTTGAATTTAATTTAAAGTATTGATTTCGTGCTCCTTTTGTATTTCTCTCCTTGCCCCCTTTTCAGTCCAAAAAACTTAAAACACGGAATCGATGTTTTGGAAAAGATCTTAAATTGGAGTTTCATTTTTTTAAGTAAAAAAAAAGAAAGAAAGAAAGAAAAAGTAGAATTACTTAATCAATCAATCAGCGGCGGTTGCAATACCAACGATAATTACTAGTAAAAATTTACACCTCATGCATGATGGTAGGCTCCCAAATTGTCTCACAAGAAATTAATGAGTAAAAAATCCACTCTCATTGTAACGTTTCAATATCTAATTGGTGGAGTAGAGGCAGGGGAACCCTGTCCAGTTCTTTATCCAGCAAAGAGAACAAACTGGAAAATTTCTTCCTAACTGATCTTTCCTTTTTACTGATATTTTTTGGTCGTTACGCTGATTGGGTCCAACCTTAATTCGACTTTACGTCTCTTTTCGTATTTATACAATCTATAGCTCATGACCTGATGATGATATCTCTACCAGTCCTCCAGCGCACCTAACTCCTGTAGAACTGTTTCCCTGGAGAAAAGAGAGGCAAAAAAGATACAGACGCATGGGACAACAGAACATGCAAGCTCCTCTTTTGGACAGAGATCTTTTGGATTTGGTGGCAAATGAGAAGAAGAAAAACAACAAGAATTGGAGCACAGCTCTTTGGTTCTTCCTTGTATTTTTTACCTTCTCAAGTCAGTTTCTTCTCTCTTCACTCTGCTTTTGTCTTTTTCTATTTTCTGGTATATTGGATTTAATATTCCCATGAAAACTGGTTATTCTGTTTTCTTTTTAATCTGGGTTTCCACTTTCCAGGATTAATTGCCCTGGTTTTTACCTATTTCATGAAAGTCAACGATTTTCTGTTATTTTTCTGCCATATGAATTTAGAAACCAAAAAAGTACATATAGTATAAACAACCCATTTCTTGCTTTATCGGCTCTTACTTTCTACAATTCAAGTCTGCTTAAATTGAAAATTTAGCCGCAGTTTTTACTCATTTCTGTTCATCTTAAAGGGTGGTAATGAGATAGAAAATTGATCTTGGGATCATCAGTTCTCAAAATATGTTAATTCTGTTCACATTCTCCAAGTTCACTTTCTGAAAATTTTGTCTTTCTCATTCAGTTCAAGTTTCATAAACGTTCTAAAATCTACCACCATCTTAAAAAAAATCTAAATTTTAAGCGGAGGATTCTTTTGGGTTTTGTTTGGCAAGAAGCCTTGATATTTACATTGGAAGGGAATGCCAGATCATTCATCGTTTTTCTGCCAATGATCATAAATAATATACAAAGTTTCTTTAGTGATCCTTTTTAATTATAACCTGAAATTGGAGGAACATGTTTGCTGGCCATATTTTGTGTCTCTCACTGAATGTTTGAATTAGGTTCTTAATTTTACAGTAACGATTTTCTTACAATAAAATTCATTAAAACCTTATGAACCTGGACGGTATTGTGACTTGATACCTTGGAGGCCTTTACCTCATGGTCGTTTACACATGTTAGAAGAAGTTACCATTTAGCAAAGGTCCTTGCTTTAAATTTTTCAACAAATTAAAACTTATTTTTTTTCTTAATAATTTTTTTATAAGAGATCTCACCCCAAAGGTCTTAAAGACGCATTTCCTCACATGCTATACAGGATTTTAAACTTGATTGACAAGGAAAAGAAGCTTCTTTGACCAATCCTAGTGGGTAAATTAAAATCCTTTTGATTGTTAAAAAGATGTCCCATTTTTCCCTAGTCCTTATATGAAATTCGTGTTAATGAAGATAGATTCTTGTTGTTGCATTTGCATATAGTTTATAATCATGGGAGTGTACTTCATTTGATGCTGGGCATACGGTGTATGTTTCAGTTGTAGGCCTAATATTCAGAGACGACTGGAGTCACTTGTTAGTTAAAGGAGGAAACAAGTACAATGAAAGGATTGAAGTTCGTGGACCTGACAGCGTCGAGTCAGAACAGGGTGTTGTTGCTGCTGATGATGGTCGTTGTTCTGAAATTGGTGTGCTTATGCTCAAGAAAGGTGGGCATGCGGTGGATGCTGCAGTAGCAACAGCACTGTGCGTTGGAGTTGTCAATCCAATGGCTAGTGGAATTGGAGGTGGAGCATTCATGATTGTCAGATCTTCATCAACGTCACATGCCCAAGCCTTTGATTCGAGGGAAACAGCACCCTTAGCCGCTACACAGGTTCATAATTCCATCTTTCAGCTATGTATTCTATGACAAGTTGATCTATTATGGTTGCCTTGCACCCCATGGTTTTATTGGTTCAATCTTTCCATTATAAGCAATTAAGTATAGCTTCACAAACGCCATAATGATCAAGTAGTCATTGTTCGAGAAAGTTGGAATGCTTCCAGTAGATTTTAAGGTTGAACTCATTGAAGGTTGGGAATAACATAAAGTTAGACACATAAAAGCATAATGAAATTAGTTTTTGACTTTTTTCATTTATTTTGATTATGCCTGTTAACGTTGTAGTAATTGTTAAAATGCAGAATATGTATAAGAATAATATTGGAGCCAAGTATAAAGGTGCATTGTCAATGGGAGTTCCTGGTGAGATCGCTGGCCTTCATGAGGCTTGGTTGAGATACGGTCGATTAGCTTGGAGGACATTGTTTGATCCTGCAATAAAACTTGCTAAAGAGGGATTTGTGGTTGCTCCATTTCTTGGATTAGAGATTGCTGCAAATGCACGGATGATCATGAGTGACCCGGGATTAAGGCAGGTGTTTGCACCAAACGGGGAGTTGTTACGAGCTGGTGAAAAGTGCTATAATGTAGAGCTAGCCCACAGCCTTGAGGAAGTGGCAGAAAAAGGACCAGGAGCCTTTTATAATGGAACTGTTGGAGAGAAATTGGTAAAAGATGTGAGACAGGTTGGTGGGATTTTGACAATGGAGGATTTAAGGAATTACAAGGTTGAAGTTATAGATGCAATGGCTGCTAATGTTATGGACTATACTATATACGGAATGCCACCTCCTTCAAGTGGAACACTTGGGCTGTCTCTGGTGCGTAAATATACTTAATTTCTTCTTACTTCATTTACTTCTTAGAGCTTGTGGCAGGCTATTGTATGTTTTGGGATAATGGATGTTCAGTTTGACTAAATTCAAATTCCATGCTTTAGATTATAGTTGAACTTGGACCTTTAAAACATGATAACATGAACACAGGTTATGAACATCCTTCACAGCTATGGAAGTGCTGATGCTGCAAAGGGAGATCTTGGCCTGCATCGCCTGATAGAAGCATTGAAACACATGTTTGCTGAACGAATGAACTTGGGTGACCCTGATTTTGTAGACATAACCAAATATGCATCTGAAATGCTTTCCGTATCTTATGCAAAGCAAATTCAGCAAAAGATACTTGACAACACTACTTTCCCTGCAGACTACTATATGTACAGGTATGAATTATATATTTGGTAATGCAAACAAAACTTAGATTCTTGTCAATGAAGCTTTCTCAGCTATCTAATCGTTCGTTACCAGATGGAGCCAACTTAGAGACCATGGAACTAGCCATTTCTGTGTTGTAGATGCTGAACGCAATGCTGTATCGATGACAACCACTGTAAATTATCCTTTTGGAGCTGGAGTGCTTTCTTCTTCGACTGGTATCGTGGTTAACAATGAGATGGGTGACTTTTCAGCACCAACAGAGATATCTCCTGACATGCTCCCGCCTGCTCCAGCAAATTTTATTAGACCAAGGAAGAGGCCTCTATCTTCCATGACACCGCTTATTATTACCAAGGTTTAGAAAATTCGATGCAGCTCTTACTTTTTATTAGTCCAAACCTAACGATACATAACAACCATCTAGATGTTATAAAATTGCTCGTCCCCAACTGAACCAATCTTCATTTTAAGCATAAAAAAAAGTTCAGACGATGTAACTGCCAAATTCTTATCTCTTTCAGAAACCTTACTTAGTACCTCTTTGGCAGGATAATCAGCTGGCCGGAGTCATTGGTGGAAGTGGTGGAATGAACATAATACCAGCAGTAACTCAGGTTTTCCTAAATCATTTTGTCTTGGGGTTGGAACCGTTAGCAGCAGTTCAACATCCAAGGATCTACCACAGGGTACGACTCGTTTGAATACATATACATAATAGTTGTAATTGGTATTCTTGTATTTGAAAAAGAATCCAATGAACATCTTGGTTTCCTGCAGCTAATACCAAACATAGTTTTGTATGAAAACTGGACTGTGATTGATGGTGAGCACATTGAGCTTGCAGAGGAGACAAAGATTTTCTTGACAGAGAAAGGTCATCAGCTGAAGGCCAAGTCAGGTGGGGCTATCGTCCAGTTTGTTGTTCAAACCCTCCAAAACCCCATCAAAATGGGCCGAAAATATGGAAAAGATGCCGATATATTTCATGGAACACTAACTGCTGTTAGTGACCCTAGAAAAGATGGGAAGCCTGCAGCAGTTTGATCCCTTTTTTTTGGGGTGGAGGTGGGCGTTAGAAGTCTTAAGGAAACAGAGAGATCATTGAATTAATCGCTTCCAGGATAACTCTATAACCACGAGGAAGTATGACTGGTCATTCACAGGATTACTTCCGGGTAAGATGTGTAGTGTATAACTACATGTTTATGTAACTGAAAAACTTGTAAATTTAAATTCACCTTCAGGTGGTCATCTTCAGTTTGAAACAATGTCTTCTCGCTTGTACCTTCTTTTGAGGTACTGTATCTCCAGTAAAGATGCAAGCTCCCTGTAAGTACTCGAGTGTCAGAATGTTTGAATAACCTGCCAAGTATCACTTTTCAAAGCAATATGCCATTTTATGTCGTAACATTTAGAGAGAAGCATCACTGTGAATCTAGAATCCAGAAGGCTATAATAAGGCCCCTGATTTGAGCGCCTAGGCCAGAAGGTCATCTCACAGCAATGAAACTGAAGCAAATGTTGCATTGTGAGAGAAAAGACACTACTGACAGCCGTTTGATCCATGGTAATTGGTACAAACATGTGTAAGTGTCGCGGGTCGAGATTTAAATTTCGAATCCGCGTGATTTCAGGACTTGAGCATTCAATTTTTCGACGTCTCAGATCAGTCTAATATCATGGTTCATATCCTTGTGAGAAATTATCCGTTTTGATTTTTTGATCTCACAGTTTTGTCCTACAAAAAGTATCTCTCAAAGAAGAGGTGATGTAAACCTTTTTATACCCAGTGACCTTTTTATTATGTTCGATGTGAGATTCAGGATTTTTTTTTCGATTTGTGATATTCTCTCCCACCCAATCTCGTGATATTCTCATCACGGAGGTTGGTCACACTGTCTACCTCTATCAAAACGCTTGATGTGGATCGAACAGTTTAGGGTTGATTTCGATACTACTTATCACGGGTCGAGATTTAAGCTTCGAACTCGTGCGGTTCCGAGATCCGAGCATTCACCTTTTCGGCGTCCCGGATCAGTCTACCTGTCACGGTTCACACCCTTAAGAGATATTATCCGCTCTGACCTCCTGATCTCACTGTTTTGTCCTACAAAAGGTGCCTCACAAGAGAGAGATAGTGTAAACTTTTTTATATTCTAGTGACCCTCTTATTATGTTCGATGTGGGATTCAAGAGTATTCCTTAAGTCCGTGACACAAGCATTAAGCTAGGTGTAAAATGATTAAACAAGAGCTGATAGTAAATTTTTCTGGGTCAGTTTTTGTGCCAATATCAATGGATTATACAGTGCCAAGCTTTGAAGAAAAATAAAATGTCATTAAGCCAATTCTACCACGACACTATGATACAAGCAACCACTACATATAATTGTATGGATTATACAGTGCCAAGCTTTGAAGAAGAATAAAATGTCATTAAGCCAATTCTACCACGATACTATGATACAAGCAACCACTACATATAATTGTATGGAGAAAACTGTTGTGTTCTATTTAGCTTATTGTACTACATGCAAAACTTCAAAAGTTCAAAGAGATGAGAAAAAGGTAAACAAAAACAGAAGAGAAACAGGAAGAAAATAACAATTTGGCAGGGTTCTCAAAAAAAATCACCATACCCAATCTAGTAAATTAACCCCTTTCCTTTTCCTCATGATGCTTTGTCCATCAGCTGAATTGGAGTCAAAATGTTAGCCTTGCTTGTCTCAACAACGGAACCATTCATAATCATTTCCTCTAACATGAAATGCGCTTTCTCTAAATGGAACATAATATCAAGCTCACACTGCCAAAAAAAATGGTAAACAAGAGAAAACGACAATACGCTATCTTGAATCGTAATGATAAGACTGGTGGAGAGACAAATACATAAGTCCAGAACTTTGAAAGGATTAGAAATCAATCCATCTTCTCGGGGAAGAACTTACCACGTTGCCAAAATGCCGGTCCATGGTTTCAACTAAAAGATGTATAAATTCCAGAATTGCAAGCTCATTCTACCACATCAAAGACAAAGGAGGATAAAGATAAATATAAGTTGGGAAGCAATAAGCAACTGGAAATATAAGCTTGAGTTCAAGTCTTGGTTTCATATCCGACTTCTAGAAAACTAATCCAAAATTGTTTTTTTCTCATAATTTCAGACAATGTGAAGAACATATGTTGATGGTTAATCAGGTTTTTAATACCTAAATAATCTTTAGAATTAAGGAAAGAAATGGAACTTACTTCATCGTTGTCAACTCAAACTAAGAAAAACAGCGAAGCGTATCGCCTATACACGGTTTTGTAATTTCGATGCTCAACAAATGAACACTGTCACGATTTAAACAATAAATAAATTAAATTGAGGATATGAAAAACTTGGAGTTCTATAAAAGATTAAAATTCATTGCATAAAACAAAATGATGAAAGGGAATGAAGAGAATAGGAGATAATTCTTAAGCATCTTAGCAATCTTAACTTGAATTATGGAATTATAAATTACAAAATTCAATAAAATTCTTCTGACAACTTAGAAAATGTGAAAGATGGAAGGAAAAAGAAAAAATAAATGAAGAAACTGTTGCTGAGGTACTTGGGGATATGCTTAGCACGGTTTCTTCGAGGTGAGCATATAGTATTAGACGAGTCTGCCCTTGCTTGTTCACCATCAATATGAATCTGATCCCCATCTCTTTCTGTCGTCCCTCCAACCTGGATCAGTATCTCTATATCTCTACTTTCTAACGGCAAAATTGATCGCACTCTTTTTTTTTTCCCTTCCCTGTGTTTTTGTTGTTGAGGTTCGTGGGAAAATTGCAGATTAGTACCAAGCACTTTTACATTTGACATTTTTATGCTATAATTTCAATTTTTGGTAGATCACTGAATTTCAATAACTACATATTTTGTTTGGTTAAAAGTACTACTTAAAAATTTTTTTAATAAAATATTTAATGTGATGAGGGTGGTCATGTCTTATAACAGGTTGATAATTAAGATATGATTAAATGTTCAATTTAAGATCCAGATGAATTGTTCATATAAATCAAACTTTTGATTAGTTCCTTGTGGCAATCCAAAATATTGTCATAATTTTTAACGGTTTACATTTAGCAAGTGGAACAATCAACTTTGATCAAATTGTGATGTAAAAATCTTGAATTACATTACATAAAAAACTTTTAAACTTTTAGTAGTAAAGGAGCAATTATTATTAGTAGTATTTTATACTTCTATAAGTCCATTTTTTCCTAGTTATCCAAGCAAAAGGCCTTGGATCATCCTGATACATAATCTGTTCGTCTAGTGCCTCGCCTGCCTGCATAACACTGGGTACCAGGCATTTTACCGGAGCACATTGTGACCTGCTTTCATACCACGACAAGAATCAGAACTAAATGACTGAGATCTAACTGAGATATAAGCACAACAGAAATTATTACTTCCATTCAAGATTGCCATCATAAATGGACACCTTTACAGCACATAACGAGTAATAAAAATATAAGAGTTACCCTTGGGCTTTACCAAGTGATAGAAATCAATCAAACTGCCGAATATTACACAACAGAATCATTCAGGACTCGTGGAAGAACACTAGGCAGCTGGCTATTGTAGCTATGCGCTACACATTAGCAGTGGTAAACTACCAACCTTATTTGGTTGTCTCTCGGAAAAGAAAACTCTCTTCGCTGCAATTTCCATTATCCAACAATTGGTTTGACCGTTCTTCATCGCCCTTATCATCAGTGACATCTTTGGGGCACAAAAAGCTTGGTTGATTCGTTGAAGACAGAAGCCTTGCCCACATCCTATCTGTAATCACAACCTTGTTTTGTTTCTCGATAATTCGCTGCATTGAAATCATCCAAAATTTAATTCCATCTCAAAGACAGATTTCAGGTGTTAGCTCCATAAACATTTTACTGCTAAAGAAAAATAATTTAGTCGGATCATCTCAACAATTTTCTCATTAATAACTCATGAAAAACAATTTGAAGATTTCAAATTTCAATTTCACACTTCTTAAATGTGGAAACTGGGACAAGAATTGTCACAGAATACGATGCAAATGAGGTTTTTGAATGACTATATATATTCAGCAGCCAAAAGAAAATTGCTACTGAACAGCAATAAACATTAAGGCATGTTATTAGGGGAATATTTCTTACCAAGTGGCATATACGATACATCCAATTCTAACCCCACCCCCCCTGTGGAAAATAAACAAATATCGAGGCAAGTTCATGGGGAGAGACTATCATAGGGCATAGATGTAACCCAAATGAGTTGGATATAAGTGTTTCAAGGAGTAATAGAAGCTTAAGGAATGCAATAAAGAACGTGAACATCAGCAAAAACACAAAAGATTAACTGACCACCACCAGAAGTTATACTTGCAAAGAACCAGAAAGGGTCAATGTCACAGAAGGTATACTAAAATCATACAATCTTTCAATACTAAGATATTATAAAGTGCACAATAAAAAACAATAATTTTCTAAAAGAAATTTCCGAATTAAAAGTCATTTCAGGGTGAACTCACATTGAATGGTATGTACGTCTGCCGGCCATTGACAAGACCACTTGTGAAGCCAGTGTACCCTGCCATCGCTCCATGCACAGCACTTTGAGCAAGAAGTGTGCAGTAAACATTGTCAGATGCATTGCTTGGAATAGCACGAATCATATAAGTAGGATCTGCCAGAAGACAAAAGTACAATGCTCTATAACTTCTTCCATTAATTAGCTACTTTAATTCAAAAACAACTATGATTTTTTTTTTCTTTGGCAAAAAGAAATCCTCAAAAACATCTTATATATTTATTCTACTAACCTATATATTTAAGGTTTATGGGCATCTTCCTTTGTTTTGAAAAGTAGTCCTGAAAATGACAGGCAAAAACCAATGAATGTCACATCAAAAAGTTCTACACTATATATCATCACGCATGTCTGTGAATTGTTCCTAAGTTGAATTCATACGGCATACCTTGATCCTCTGTGATATCCATAGCCCCACATCCTGGAGAAGCTTGTTTCCTGAAGCATCTTTCAGTGTCATTGATTGCATGCTCTCAGAAAGCAGTTCCTGTCCTGCACCCTCTGCCAACACAATAACCATATGCCCGTTTTCTTTAAGTCTTCTCTCAATGTATTCAAAAAGTCCTCCAGGTCCTTCAAGATAAAAGGGTGACTCTGGTATCAAGCAACAATCCACATCTCGGCTTGCAAGAGTAGCATACATTGCAATAAAACCTGCCCATAAGTCAGGGTTAGATTGCATTAAGAAAAAAAAGGAACATTCTGACACAGTTTCAGGAAACATAGAAGCATAATTAAGGGGAATGTAAACTCATCAGCAGAATAAAAGCATAAATGAAAGGAACAGAACCAATAATAATTTTAAATGACACTCAACCTAAAACAAAAAGATTTATGTAAATGCCATCACTTGATAAAGTTGCAACTCTCTCACTTCTTGAAATGCAGGATTAACATTTCAAAGAGAGACCAAAAGAGAAACTTACCACTGTAGCGACCCATCAACTTCACAAGACCAATACCATTCTCAATACTTTCAGCTTCAACATGAGCAGCATTAATGGCCCGCTGAGCCTCCTCAACAGCAGTGTCAAAGCCAAAGGACTTGTCAATAACCTGTCATGTGCGAAAAAGAAACAAAGTTTCAAGACTGTGTAGTAACCAATTAAAATAGGTTGCAATTCCTAACAGGATTGTGGTACACCAACATTCTATACAAGCCAAGAGGATTACCGGGATGTCATTGTCAATGGTTTTAGGGATTCCAGCAACTGAAACTTTGAGACCACGCCTTCTAATTTCCTGTAAAGTGTGGAATAAATTTTTTTTAACATACACAAATTCACATAGTATATCAATGTGCATACATTCTATTAAAGAAATGACCTCAAATATAACAGCTGCACCTCTCTGGGTTCCATCTCCTCCAATAATGTAAACCTGAATTACCACACTGATCATATGTCAATTGGATTGGTATGTCTTGATCATAATAACTACTTGTACTTCAATATATTGGCAGCAATCACAAATATCATAGTATTTTTGTACAGACCTGATTAATTCCACGATCCTGAATGCTGTCAACAATCTTAGAGGTATCATGCCCACCTCTTGATGTCCCAAGGATTGTTCCACCACGTTTATGGATATCATTGACAACCTTGGGATCTAAGTGCACGGTATTTTTAGCATAAAACCCTCTGTATCCTCCCTACAAATGCATTAAACTCATTAATAGCTAATGCACCAACTTATTAAATGGTGGACATACATTTTGCAGCATCTTCTAATCAAGGGAAAGGAACATATACCAGCATGAAAATGGTAGGTTGACACATTTAATAAATAAGTCCATGTTTTTATATCCATAAACATATACGAGCATTTATATGTTTTTATTAAGTCATCTAGATGTGTTGCTATTATTAGCAAGTATTAATGGTTTAAGAGACTTTTCACTTGTCTATTTATCTTTTGTAGGGGAAATAAAAAGGAGTAATAGGAAAGTAAACTCCATAAAGAAGAACAAACTTGAGCTCAAATGATCACTTACATCTATCCCCAGTACTTTCTTCACACCATACATATGGTGCAAGCCGCATACTATCTCTCTAATCACAGTGTTGAGTCCAGGGCAAAGACCGCCACACGTCACGATACAGGCATGAACTTCATCAGAGTCAAAATATACCTAGGAAACCATCAAACATCCAACATATTATTGTAAAAACACAATTCAGAGTTTTATCATTCCAAATCTCATTCACAAGGCACATAACAATTAAACGCATACTTTTTGACGTGGTCCAGCTCGTCGGAAATGTATTCCTCTCGGACCATCCTTGTGAACAACAATCTATAAAAGGAAAATAGAATATAAGATAGAAATAAGCAAAGTCTTAGATAAATTTTCAAAAAGAAAAAATAAAAGGAAGGCTAACCTTTTGAGGAACGGTGTCATCTACATGAACAAAATATTGCCTAGCCAAACAGAGAAATCGATCCAATTAATACTAATTTATCAATATCAGCACAATTCACAATTGATATCAAAATTGGGCTTACTTAACAACTGAGTATGCCGGATTGTCTTGCAAGGGATTGGGATAAGTCTGTCAAACGAAAATCAGAATTAATAATTTTAGAAATATCATAAAAATACAAATTATAAATAAATAAATAAATAAAAAGAGAAGATGAATATAAAAGGAAATCTAATATTCATAAAAATCTTAAACCTAATTTTATAGTTGGTTGCCGACAAAGAGACAGGGAAAATCAAGCTTTTCAAAAGAGAGTTGTCTTTTGGTTTTTTTTTTTTTCTTTTATATCCTTTTCACCGGAAACGAAAAACAATAACAGGATCAAGGGAAATAAAAATACGTATAATTATACGTAGAAAGAGGAGCAGAGAAGGGAAATGCGTACAGGAAGATCAGCGATGTAATCCGATAAGTGAGGAACATCTTCAAGAACATAACCCCCAGGACCGGTCACGATCTTAGGCTTTGAAATCTCGGGCGAAGCAGCAGACTCTGAGGAAGCCATGACAGCGGGTGTCGAACAATGGATCTTAGAACAACCGGAACTCCTGCTACTCAAACGACGACCGCAACGATAACCGTAACTGAAACTAACCGTAGTGAACTTTCTCAAATTGAAGATTCCAGCACTCGATGGCACCGAAAAGCGAGATTTATTCTTATTCTTATTATTATTACAATAATTATAATAATAATAATTCTTCTTCTTATTATTATTATTCAGAGGAGAAGGGAAAGATGACGTGGAAGAAGGGGCGAGAACGGAATCCATTCAACGGGACATCGAGACGAGTTTTTGGAAGGAAAAGAGAAATAAGAGAAATCCATACTTATAGGGAGATACCGTTGACTAAAAATCAATTCTGGATGAGCTTTCTTCTCTTAAAATTTGGGGTTTTTTGGAGGGGAGGAAATGGCTTTATATACACAAGGAAGAGTTGGAAAAACCTGGTTCCGCTGTTGATTTTTGTGTGGTTTTTCGCCGCAAATCATATGCCGTTCACAGTGTGTTTTGGGAGAAGAAAGTTGGAAGGAAAGAGAATAGCGCTGATTGGATTTTATGGAGCCTTGTTTGGGAACACTATAACTAAAGTGTGGGTTTTTTTTTTTGTTAGTAGCATTAAGAAAAAAGGTTGGATCTGGTCTGGTTTCTTCGGCCTTTGGGGGCAGTCCAATACCAGGATAATGGCGCACATTGGATCATATTATGGAGACAATCCATCACCGACCACATGTGTTTTGGTTTTATTATGCATGAACCTTAACTATTTTGAGGATTTTCTCTAATTTTTCTTTTTTTAAAAAGGTTTAATATTTACAACTTTTAGAAAAATGTACGTTTAATCTTATTAATTTAAATGTGTAACGGCTTTCTTCTACACAGTCTAATTCATAAGTCACTGTATAGGAAAAATCAAAATTCGATTACAGCGATGTAATGGCTGATTTGTTTTATTTTTCATGTTCGGTGGTCAGCTCATAAGACTTAGGTTCCTGCTTTTTGTTTCACTTCCATTCTCCCCATTTTTATTTTATTTTTTCTCATCAAGTATGTTTAGGCTGCTAAAAGTCAAATTTTCAGTGCTTCTTTTCTTCTTTCAAATAAAAGTAAAATAGAATAATCAGTTGACAAAACTGCAATTTATTTAAATTTATTTTGGGTAATCGGTCAACCGAAATTTTAGATTATGATATGCAAAAATCAGTTGAAAAGAGCGAAAAAAATACATTTTCAAAATTAAATAAAAAGAGAGAGAGATTATTTATTAATCAAAATTGCAATAATAGAAATAAAAAATAAAAAATTGAGATCAGGTAATTTCGTAGAAAGTTGACGTTTGGACAGTCGTTTTCCATGGACGTAGTCTGTCATGCCGTTGCCCATTTCGGACAAAATCGAGGTCAACAGTCATACAGTTGTAACGTGACGTCTCAAATTATTATAAGTCGGTCATAAGACACGGGCGTGATGGAAGGTGATCGAGTCAGCAGCAGGGCTCAGGATTCGGATCCATCTAGAAATAGCAGTTACTAGAAGGAGTTCATTTATGGCCTTTGCCTTTGTCAAATGCCAACCATTTCGATCGACAATTTTACTGAAGCACGTCAGCCTTTTTTTCCCCTTTTTTAATGCTGGACGATGCCAAGTATAACACGTTCAACTATTTTACAGAACTTTCTAGGAAAAACATCAGAAATTTTGGAGTAAAATTTTTATACGGATCTTATATTTGTTTGTCTCGTACTATATTAATTATGTTTTTATTAGACATCATCATATGAGTTTTAATTCTTTATTACATATAAGTAAATTTGATACTATTTCACTTACATCTTTTGCATGTTTCTTAATTTAAGTAAGATAACAAATTTTACTTTGATTTTTTTGTAATAAAAGTAAGCAAGTCTTTTATTTTTTTTTTAAATAAAAAATTTGAAAATAAATAAATTATTTAATCTTTTAAATCATGATAAAATATATTACATCTAATAATATAAGATAAATAATTATAAATTATGCATTTAAAATAACTTCAATAAATAATTATCGATAAGATTTGAACTCAAAATTTTTTCATCAAAAATAATAAATTTAATTGATGAATTAATTACTTGTTAATTTTCTATCAACTTTTGATATCAACTGTTAAAACAGTAAATCTATGACAGCAATCTTCATGTGCTGCGCTTGAAAATTTCAATCATCATTTTTGACATGTGATTTTCTTGATAAAATGGTCGGTTGACGAATTTTTCCAGGGCATCCACTAAATTATTAAAAAAAAACATAGCAATCACGCAAATAATTGCTTTTGACTTAATGCGACATTAGTGAAGGTGAAACTTTGATTACCTTAACGTCTTAAATTTTTATTTTATCAATTACAATTTTTGAAGATACAGGCTTTAATATGTATGTGAAGAGAAAATCTGATTTCTCAAAAGCCACTCGATGGACATACCTAACAAAATGTTTATTATTAAATCATTATTTATAAATATTTATCATAAATAATCCAAAAACAGAGTATATTACCTGAAAGCAACCATTATAAAAAAAATTGTATCCACCTGCAAGAATAAAAAATCATGATTCCCTCCAAAAATATGGAATTATATATACTAGTAAGGTTAAGTCGTGTATAGACTAGTTTACTTACACCAGTCGCTTCTTTCACTTCGCTTACAACTCCAGAAAATATGTCTTCATACTGAAGAGAAACCAAAAGAATCACATCTTATTATTGGCCTTTAGAAATCATTTCTCCAAGCAAAATGAAAGAATATTACTTGAACGTTTTGCTTATAATCGGACATAATCACCTTATTGATAAAGCCGGTGGGCAATTTCCATACCCCGGAGCAATTGCAAGGGCATTTTTCTTTCACAACAAGGACCTAAATGATGTGAATTTAGAAATATAGTAGTATATATCATCAGAAGACAGGAGGAAATGTAAAAGAAAAAAGAGAATCTACTACTTATTTTATAAAATAAAATAAAAACTTCTCTTTTGTCATTGATGACGAATCCTGCAACACCGATTTGGTGAGAAGGGCCGCCAGGGAGGAGGCAAGGTTCATTGGAATCCAGTATGTTAACATGACATAACCTGGTTCTGCGTGGTGGTAGTCAAAACCCTACTGGAAATCCATGACCCAAAATGGCCTTAAAATCACAATTGTCTGTGTTATGTACCTAGATTTTGATATTAATTATTGATCATTAGTTCATCACCTGAATTGCAATTGGAACAAGATCGGCTTGCTCTTACAATATTTTGAGCCATATACCCCTTTTCCCCTGCATTTTTCATTCTACTTCCCAAGTTATTATCTAATTTTATAAATGTAACTCCATAAGATTAATTGACATAATGTGAAGGTTTGCACATGCTTGCAAAAATAATTTCAGGTGAATTCGATACTGCATGGCTAGAAATTTATGATGTATGATGGTTCATGCAAGCGCAAACATCTTTGATTGGCATGGCCTATGAAATATGAATGTTCCATCCATGCTAAATGTGCATCAAAACTTCAGCTTTCAGTTAGACACAGAAGCACAAAAGGCAGATGCAGAAGCCTTTGCACTTAAGGTTAAGCATTCAGTTTCAATGATGACCCCATTATATTCATCATCCCATGCATCGAGAAACTCCACTGCCAAGCCTGGTGATGCTCGATCAGGAGACATGACATGAATGCTTCTTCTCTTTGGCAAAATGCCGCCATTAAGATATGGCACAGACGGGAAATATATTGAGCACTGGGGGACATTGAGAGTGGTGAGTTCCTCAGAAAACCCGAAAGATTCGACGTAAAAAATAAATTAAAAATTTCAACAGTACTAACTATATTTTCCCTGTTGTAACATGTATAATATACATCGATGATGTGAAATTAGTAGATTTTTAACCCTTGACAGCCATGGCAAGGTGCTATTCTGGGTCCATGAAGTTCTAGGCACCCTTAGAAATTGCTGGCAGTAAAATCCTGAAGACTGCTAGAGACCCAACTCTGCTGCCATCATTTCCATCATTCAATCAAACTGTAGAAGGAACTTTAACTTCAATAGTATATATAGCCATTCGAATGAACTTGTCTGCTTCTGATTAAGGCTTAATTATCCCTTTGGTGTAACTTGTGGCACTGTGGAAGGAATATTTAACACTATGAGGCTTCAATATTCCTTTTCCGATATCGATAGTCGATGCCTCTTATGTGGTTAATGAGATATCAAGAGGCTTAGCTTAGCTTTCGACCTAGTCGCAATTGCATCACATATGGGATCGTTTTTCTCTGTTTTGATTCCTATTCTTTTGTTCACATAGCTTCACCTTGATGCCTTATTGGAGATGGATTGCGATTTGCATGCGTGGGAGTTGTTAGGGCATTGAGAATATTGTCCTCAAACATTCAGACATCCTTTCTTAATTTCCATTTTCTGTTGATTCCCATGTTTATCTTGAATTTTCTTCGGGATAGGAATAATTGAACTGTTTTGCAAGTAGGGTAAGTTTGATGTAATTATGAAGCATTGATGATCAAAAGAGAACAGAATGCAGGTCAATATTCAAACCGAATCATCTGAAAATAACTGCAGGAAATTTGGGTGCCTACGTTTCTTTTGTTCTATGGCTGAAACAGAATATAAACTTCTTGGGAATCCAATACCATACATGAGGTTTGATAAAGTTGTTCGTGTTTTTTTTTTTTTTTTTTTTTGAATAATAATTCAGCATAAGATTTATAAAATTCTACTAAAATAAAAAAATTTTACAAAAAACGCTTAAAAATATTATACAAATTTATTGTATAGATGGAAACCAAATTGTTGAGTTAGAAATATACATGGACTTCGTATTCAAGAAAAACTCAATTAATTAATATTCTTTTAAAATAAAAAAGTTGTGCCTAGAAACATAACGGAGTAAAAACGTAGCAACTTATTAATATATTTATTTTGTCTTTGTTAATTAAATTTCAAAAAATTATTAAATGCTTAATAAAAAATAATTAGACATTATCTATAACTAAATAAAAAATAAATTAAACCTTCTAGCTCGGATAATTTTCTAGTTAAGTACTTTAAACAAAAACAAATTTTGATCGAGTACGAGGATCACATCATGTTTCCATGATTTTTTTTTTATTATTATAGAAATGTTAGTGTGAATTGTGATGCTAGATTTAAAAAGAAAAAAAATCCTTTGAAATTGTTCTTAATAAAAAAGAAAACCCTCTCATCAATCAAGTAGTACGTCAATCGGACGGCAAAGAGTTGATCATCAACTAAGTTAAAATGACTTCCTCCACACACGGGCCACGGCTCAAATTGCAAGCCATTTCTTTTCTCACCTGTCTAGAGAAAACTCCACACCTGTCGACATCAATCAAAGCCCCACATTATTGAAGCAGAGCAAAACATCAACGGGTCAAACCAGCCACTCCCTTCGGCATCCGAACCAAACGGAGCTTCACTGCGCCCGTGCAATCTAGGGCTTCTCAGAGACCATCGATCACGATGTATCGAACAGCGGCTTCTCGCCTACGGGCTCTCAAGGTCAGTTCAGTGATTCCAAAAACCCTAATTTATGATCGCTGATAATTCTATCTCACAATCCCTATCGGTCTCTTATCTCGAATTCAACAAAGCAACTTTGATTCCATTCTGTTTTGATTATTTAATATTTATTCACCAATCTGCGATTTCCTTTGATTTTAGTCAATAGATCTGTTCTTTTATTCACTACTGATGCTTAGATTGTTACTTTGATTTCTTAAAGAAATTTATTTACGTTAAGAAACGGTAAATTGGATTGATTATGAATCTCAGCTTCGTTCGGTTCAAGATTATACGTTTCTTCAGTGATTGTCTCGTTTTTTTGTTATTTGTTATATATATTTTTTTGTTCTTAATTTTGTTAAGGATAATGTATATTTACTCTCATTAATATGTTGAGGGACCAGAACCATAGAATTCCAGCTTTTAAAACAGCTTCATATTGTAGAAGAACAGTAGTTTTATTAACTTTTATTTTTTGGTTTTTTTTTTTGTAGAAGAGACTAGCGTGCTAGAATATCCCCCCTCAATCCTGGTTCAGATAAAGCTGCTGTTTAACTTACTAACCATATTGAATGATAGTTAAGTCCAAATGTCACTATCTTAGTGATGAAGCAACATATGCCTGGAGTGGATTGTGTAGTTTTGAAAATGATAGTTAATTTTTTCACATATAGATGGTCTGACTGCTTGGATATGTGCTATGTATTGAATGAAAATGCAAGAATAGGGTTGCACATGCCGTAGAGTACCTGCAAGGTTTGCAAGTTCAAATGCTGTTGCTACAACATCATTGTCTTCAGGTGGCTTCTTAAGTTGGCTGACGGGGAGTCAGTCCAAGTCCATACCATCACTAGAGTTTCCCCTACCTGGTGTTTCCCTACCACCTTCATTGCCTGATTATGTTGAACCTGGTAAAACTAAGATTACAACTCTGCCGAATGGCCTCAAAATTGCTTCAGAAACCTCAGCAGTATGTATGAATATGTTTTTTGTGAAGAATATTTTCCTTTATAAGGTCTCTTCGCTTCGTTTAGAAGAGAATTAATTCTCTAATTCATTGAGGAATTTGCTATTTGTTTTTGTTGCCAAGCAGAATCCTACAGCATCAATAGGATTATATGTTGACTGTGGTCCTATCTATGAGTCATCAGCCTCATTTGGGGTCTCACACCTGCTTGAGCGTATGGCCTTCAAGAGCACAACAAACCGAAGCCATTTGCGTATTGTGAGGGAAGCAGAGGCAATTGGTGGCAATGTGAATGCTGCAGTTACTCGGGAGCAGATTGGATATACCTTTGATGCTTTGAAGACTTATGTTCCTCAAATGCTAGAGCTGCTTATTGACTGTGTGAGAAACCCTGTTTTCTTGGATTGGGAGGTCAATGAACACGTAAATGTCTTCATCTTTCTGTCTTTATGCTAAATAGTTCTGTGCAGTTTCAAGTTAAATGCCCTTATGAGATGATAATTTATTATTTCACGTTCTGCAGCTTCAAAAAGTGAAAGAGGAAATTTCTGAAGCCACAAAGAATCCTCAGGGCTTGCTTTTTGAGGGCATTCACTCAGCTGGTTATTCTGGTGCATTGGGAAATCCTCTTTTAGCCCCAGAATCTGCAGTTAATATGTTGAATGCTACAGTTTTGGAGGATTTTGTTGCAGTGAGTCTAAGAAAACTTTATTAGTATGCTTTCAGTGCTAATTGTTTCATTGTAGTTAAGATTGTAGCTGATCTTTGTGCATCTTTCTCACCAGTAAGCTTGTTTTCCTATGAAAATATTAGGAAAATTTTACTGCTTCTCGGATGGTACTGGCAGCATCTGGTGTTGAACATGAGGAACTGTTATCTGTTGCAGAACCACTTTTATTGGACCTTCCCAATGCTCCTCGTCCTCAGGAGCCAAAATCTGTGTATACTGGAGGTGATTATCGTTGCCAGGCTGATTCAGGGGTATGTATTATAAATACTTAAAAAATGAGTTTTGCTTTATTTCTTCCCGGTCTGAGTCGCTAATGATTTTCATTGCAGGATGAAACTCATTTTGCTCTTGCATTTGAGCTTCCTGGTGGTTGGCAGAAGGAGAAGGAAGCTATAATTTTGACTGTTCTTCAGGTTTTCAATATTGGATTTCTCTATCTGCTTATTGTTCTTGTTCTACCATGTTCTAATTTTTAATGTAGTTCATAAAAATCTTTCTAAGATGGTACTATCTTGCTCTATTGATTTTTTGTTGCATTTTTTGGTTTTCCCTGCTTGTCACCTTGATATTAAGATAGGAAGATTGAGAAATCTAATTATTCTGTAGATTCTGATGGGAGGAGGTGGATCATTTTCGGCTGGTGGCCCTGGAAAAGGAATGTATTCAAGACTATGTAAGTTATCTTGGAGTATACTCTTATCTTTCAGTGTAAGACATGTTGAGTTGTACAGCAAGGTAGATAAAGTTTATTGTTATTCACTTATTTTAGTGTATCTATTTATATACAAATTTCTTCTGCAACTTGACAATTTATTTTACCTTTTTTTTAGCTAATTTGCTTAAGTCAGGCCTGAAAGTATTTGGGTTATATTATTTGCAGATCTTCGTGTCTTGAATGAGTATCCACAAGTTCAGTCATTTTCAGCATTCAACAGCATTTACAATCACACTAGCATATTTGGAATACAAGCTACCACTGTAAGTATGCTCATAAACCTGTGGATGTGATTACTAATTTTTTTTCAGTTCTCTATTCCTATCTCTATCCTCCCCTGCCCCCTTATGTTTTCGTGTAGCAAAAGCTGAAGTTGATATCATAACTTTCATTTATTGGTTTTCACATTCTTCTGCTCAGATTTGCTGGAAAGGGATTTTTTTTTTCTGAAACTTGTTTCACTTTTTTTCTGTGTAATGTTCTCTTCTTTCTTTTTGTCTTGTTTTGCTGTTTTCTTTGGCACTAGAGATATTCAAGCCACTAGGTCTGACCAAAATTATTTGACAATTTTGTCTTTGGATCAGGTTTGCTTTTGTTATGGGACAGGATTCTTTTTTTATTTCTTCATGTTTCCTTTGGTAGATTTGAATTTGGAAAGTTCTTGGATAGTAAAGGTCATGATTCATGACGGCCATGGGAGAGTCATGTCAGCGTCGTCCATGTAAATTGACGCATTCTATTTCTTTCATAATTTTCAACTGTTTGCCTCTTTATAATTAGTCGCGGTTCTGCTGAACTATGCCATACAGGAGCTTTCTTCTCCCTGTGCCCAAATTTAATTATTTTGCAACCTTCCGTGTAGATAGTGACTCTCACAACCAAATCATTGCTTGCTGATTTTCATGCAAGACATCTATTTGTTAATGCTAGTAATTTGCACGGTTAAATGGCCATCTATGATGGCCTGCATTTGAAAGTTTTTAGTGTAAACTGTTGGTGTATATCTGTTGCCTTCCTGATCCCTAGACCCTTTTGCTCTTCTATCTTCACTAAATTTATTGCAAATTTCCAATTGTGTGGACACAGTCTGCCGATAATGTCTGCAACATAGTACTACTCTTGATGATGCTTATGTTCTTGGACTCAGGGTTCTGATTTTGTACCAACTGCCATTGATGTAGCTGTCAAGGAGCTTATTGCTGTTGCAAGACCTGGACAAGGTTGGCTGCTCTTTATTTTGGTAATTATTTTGTCTTTGCTGCAACATACACTCAATGACCTGTTACTGAAATGCTTTTTATTTTGTTCTTTGCAGTTGAGCAGAAAGAACTAGACCGTGCTAAACAGTCAACAAAGTCTGCCATTTTGATGAATTTGGAATCCAGAGTATGTAAACTGTTTTCTTTTATTTATTGTTTGTAGACTGAATTTAGTTATGCTGGTCAAGGATTCATTTTCTCCAGCCAAGCTTTGCTGTATGCTTATAAGTTGTTTTGCACAGATGGTTGTTTCAGAAGATATTGGGAAACAAGTTTTGACATATGGAGAGAGGTATGACTATTTAAGGTTCTTAGCTTTTATCCTTTGCTGTGCTGGGCTATGACACTGCTAATTAGTTGCTTCTCATTTACTTTATATCTATAACTGCTTGCCTGTTATATTTCTGTTTATGTGAAAATTGTGATGATATTTTTCTTCTTCTTAACAAAATTGCTTTGAATTGATCAGGAAACCTGTGGAGCATTTCTTGAAGGTCGTTGATGAAATTACACTGAAGGATATTTCTTCTGTAGCCCAAAAGCTTCTTTCTTCTCCTCTCACAATGGCATCATATGGAGACGGTACTTCTCAGTTTAGTTGGAACTTAAAGACTAGATTTCAGTTGTTTTATTGGAATGCATTTTAGATTAACTTGTTGGTTTTGCTCATATTTTGCAGTCATTAATGTCCCTAGCTACGATTCAGTTAGCCACAAGTTCAAGTGAAAAATGAAATTGCTTTGCTATGTCAAACTTGACAAGCATTTGACCTATTTTTGATGGTGTTAAGCATCCTAATACCTTCGAGTTGTGCGGTTGAAAATAAGGAGTTTAGATGGTTCCATTTTTAGCAATAAATTGTTTATCCCAAGCAAGAAACATATTAGAGAAATAGCTTCTGCAGACAATGGGACTGGCATATTTTTTGCTGCATTCCATGACTTTGTTCATGGTTGGGGAAAAGTCCCCATATTCTTTTTCATTGTTCTTAACTTGAAGCATGCATTTTGAGTGGAAAATTTTGGTGTATATGTCACAGCATGTTCCTGTCATGGCATAATTTTCAGGTTTTATCTTGTACAATTTTTTTTTCGGGTTACTCGAATTTATTATGGAAGCTTTTGAATTCACCCTTAAATTTCGCATGTATATTGCATTGTTTTCTCTCTTACTTAACATGTTGTAACAATTTTTGTTCCTCTTTATTGTGCGCATAAATCTGTCGACTGATCTATGTTATGCTCATTCCTAGTATGAAATATGAATGGTGGTAAACCACAAGACTTGAAGCTATGCCATTCAATAGGAGAGAAAGCTAGATCAACAGGTGCTACCATAGAAAGTGTTGGTTTTTTGACAATGGCAGAAATCCCTTTTACAATTACTTTAGAACGAGCAATTGAGCAAGCCTCTTAATCTGATGAACTTCCTGAGTCAAGGAAGTTGTGAATTTTGTCTTGTTCTAAATCAATAAAGTCCGAAAATCAAACAAAACGACCTCCAAAAGTATGATTTTTCATCGAAAAGAATATTTTAAAAACATCAAAAGAAAAAACCCAAAATACAAAGAGCATAAAGTCACTCACAATAATTGAGTAAAGAATCAAATCATTTTTTTAAAAAGGAAATTGGATATTTCAGCTAATGTGGCGTTGACACTGATGTGATCGTTTACATAGTAATTACAATATTATTCTGTTAAATTTTTAGATGAAATTTGTTAATGTCATTAGAATTGATATAATTAACAAATTTCAATGATTTAATGACCCAAATAAAACTTTGACCAAAGTTAGTAATAGATAAAATAAGAATGGAAAAATGTTAAGATGTCAAAACACCATAAAGATGGAGTGGAACAAAAGCAATGGCCTAAGCCCAAATTAGATAAACCTAACATCTTTAGTTAGGAAAACAAACCAACTCAAATGGCGAAACCTTTCCTAAGAAACAGTATTTGCCAACATTATTTATACACCATTCTTCTCAATCAAATCAAGTTGGTATCCTTCTATCTTTTTCTTTATTTTTTTTATGACACTATTTTATGATTTCGTGTTACATCATAACATTTTCTTTTTCAATATAAACAATCAAACAATTATTTAAAATAATAAAATAGAAAATGAACATAAATAACTAATAAATTACATGCTTTCAATTGTACTTACAAATTAAAATAATAAATCATAACACTTACATGAAAAAAAAAAATTTTTTTTTTTGATACAAAATTTTCTTTTCTCCTTTAAACCATCCATGATTCTAAAACCCTCTAATATTTAATTTTTAATGCTTGGAAATTAACTAACGTAGGTTTGTTGTTGGCTTGGAGTTTAGCTCGGAGTGTTGGAGGAATGAAGGTAACAACCAGGCAGCACTCGTTTTCGATTGGCAGCAATGTTGAGAGTTGAGGGTGTCATCGATAGGCAAATTTGTGCGCGGTGTGTGGTTGCAAATTGGCAATCATTTCCTTGACGGGTCCGAACCCAAAATATTTTTTGCATTTGATTCTCCACTCATGCATGTCTCATGCGTCTGTGCCAAATCCATAAGGCCGAGATGCATGTTTTTGCTCTTTCAACAAAGGACTTGTCAATTTGGCCGAAAAATTATATCTTACTGCCACATAGTTGATTACTGACCGTACAATGTCGCCTTCTGCCTAATTCCTTCCATTTACGTATTAAACCCTCTTTAATCATCTCTTCCCCTTTTCAATTTCAGTGATTGCAAACTGGTATATATCAAAGTACAATTTAATTAGAATCCGAAAACTTAATTTAATTGATTAAACTTCAAATTTGAATGCCAATACCTATAATTTCTTATCTTATTTTCATATTATGATTTTTTATGTAAAAAAAAAAACAAATTAATTAAATTTAGTTCTTATAGTTGAAAATGAACCAAAAACTTTATATTAATTCTTAAATCAAACAATATTTTGAAACTTATAACTGAATTTTTGATGTTAAAATTTAGTTTTTGTATCAATAGCACTTAAATTAGTTGTTTGTTAGAATATGTTTATTGGTATCAAAATATAAACTTTAAATTCGAAACTTAATTCAATTAATTCATATAATCATACTTAAAAAGTGATATACAACAAAGTTGAAATTTAAATCACAACGCTTACAACTTTTCTTTTATCTTCGTATTGAAACCTCCCAAAAAAATTAAAAAGGTTAGACTTAAAATTCCCTCAAATAATAGTTGTAAGATATATTGTCATACATAAAAATTTTTCTTTATAAATTAGTGGATATGAGGCTAAAAATTAACAAATAAAATGAGGACATTAATATATCAAATTGAAGAGAATCAAAGAGAATAAAAAGAGTGGTTTTAAGATTTGTTGGTCCCTTATGCCCTGATATTACTCAAAAGTCAACTTATTGGATAATCTGAAGAGCAATCAGATCTCATTCCCTTTGGACAAAAAGAGAAACCTAATCAAGGATTGCTCACTAAGTTGAATTATATTTGGCCCACTGTTTTTTTTTTTCTCCCTTATTTTTCTTCACATTAAAAATAAAAAAAAAATACCCTTCCAGGATATATTCTTCCCTGTCCAATGAAATTACATAATTCTTTCAACTTATGAAATAAAAATAATAAATAAATAAAAGAAAGGAAAAATAAAAAAAAAATAAGACAAAGAAGCAATCATAGTCATCTATCTGTTCTGCAAACATTTATCTGGTCCCTTCATCATTCAGTCCCTTTTTTTGGCAAAAAACAGGATGTTTTAAACGTGAAGCCTAACCATCATCTGATCAACATACTTTTGGAACAAAAAGATTTCCAAGTTGGGCCCACATGATTGTGGGTGATCTTTATTTTATTGTCCCTTTCATTTGGACTATATAATATTATTTGTATGAGTGCGATGTACTTTAGACTTGCCTTCCTCAAAATAGTAGTAGCAATGAAAACAAGCCGAAAAGAAAGCCTAATAGCAATATTTAATAGAAAAGAAAAAAGAACAGGTAAGTCCAACCCAAGAGAAGAACGAATTATGACTTATTTCCAGATGAGTAAAAATTTTACAAAGTGCTTCCACTTGAAGATATCGTACAGATATATATATATATATAAATATATGGTAATTTTTATATGATTTTGTATGGTTCTATAATAATGAGGTGGTGGTGGTCCATCGAGTACACTGCTGATTTGCCTTGTAGATCAAGCAACCCCGTAATTCCCCTCTCTCTCTCTCTCTCTCTCTCTGCAACATTCATGGCAAAAGAATCATGATCAGCACTCCATCTCAAAACCCATGTGAGATCTTGTCATTTTTTTTCTCTATTGCTATTTGCTTTTCCACAATCTCTCCATCTATCTCTCCTTCTTCGCAAAAGAAAAATTTTGCCCTTTTTCATCATAGGGTCTAACTCTGTAATCTGTAATATATGGAAAAAAATAATAAAATAAACTGTAATTTTCCCAGATATCGTCTTCATTACTCAAAGTTTTTCCACTGCCACCGTATACCATTCAACATCTTAGCCAATAGATTTGTATGTTATCTAATCTAATACTAGTACTATATATCAAATAAGCTTTTTTTGGGTTATTTTTTTAAATAAAGATTAAATATTTAAGTATAATTATACAGATAGGGTTGCCATGCTTTTGAATGTGTGCCTCAAGTAACAGCTGTGAAGGCCGTTTCTTTCCTTTTGCTTTAGTAGTCAAGACCTCCAAAACAAAGGTGTGGGAGGCCTTAAGCTTTAGAGAAGAAAGAAAGGAAAGAACCCAAAAAATACAGACAACTGGGTAGTATTTTTTTTTCCTTTGACATATCTTTGCTTCCCTTTCTCTCTCTTAAACCGCCTAGCTACATGCGCTACTTAAATTGGCAAAGGCTTTAAAGTTGGTGAGTAGGTTAGGAAGGGCAACTTTTCCTTTTTCTCACTTGGGTCTTCGGTTAAAGTAAGCGAGGGAATTCTGGTGTTTTCCAAATGGTTAAAGCAGGTTTATAGCTCAATCCCACTGTCACAGTTTTCTCTTTTCATCTCTCTCTCTTCTTCTTCTTCAGTACTTCTTCCTTGTGGGAAAACAAACATATCTTCTTTTGGAGCATATTTCTCATCTGGGTCTTGCATAAATTTCCTCTTTTTGGATTGGTTTGGGTAATAGTTTCATACAAAGATAGCACCTTTTGTTGATATTAAACGTGTGTACTTATATATGTGCATAGAGTTAAAATTCAAAAGCTTTTTTTTTTTTTTTTTGGGTTCTTGTTCTCCCGTTCCCTGAGTTAATTTAGAGGTTTTGATATATTCTTCTTCTTCCTCCTTTTCGATGCGTTCTTTTGATATTGTTAACATAAGGTCAGAAGTTATAAAAATCACATAGTTTCAATCATTTAGGAACTAGTACTTATTTATCAAACCGATCAGTTTATTTTCTTCGTCTTTTGTTTTTCTAGTTCAAGGAATATCAGATCTCAAACAGGCTTATGGTTTCTGTTATATAGAGAAGCTAACTGGGATATGAGTAATTGGCTGCTAGATAAAGTGGATTATTTCATACAAAGAGAAAGAAGATAGCATCTGCCACATCAAAGAAAAAGGGAAAAGAAGCAATGAATAAGAGTAATCTGGGCTCCGTCAGCAGCTCTGATCTCATCGATGCAAAGCTTGAAGAGCATCAGCTATGTGGATCCAAGCAGTGCCCTGGTTGCGGACACAAGCTTGAAGGAAAGCCGGTAGGGATTAGTCTCATAATATTCTTGGCTTCAACAGCAAGATTTTGACAAAAGAAGAATCAAGGAAAAATATGAGAATTATGCTTGCTGTTTTATTCTAAGGGTGTTAAGTTTTTTTTTTAATTTTTTATTGTCATGTTGTTTCTTTAATAAACAATAAATTCAAACATTTGATTAAAACTTTCTTCTTTTTTCTCTTTATTTTGTTTATTCTTTCCTTTTGCTTTGGTTTAATTACTTGATTCTGAACTGAATAATGAAAATTTGCAGGACTGGTTAGGTCTACCAGCTGGAGTGAAATTTGATCCGACAGATCAAGAACTGATAGAACACCTTGAAGCAAAAGTAGTAGCTAAAGACATGAAGTCTCACCCTTTGATAGATGAGTTCATTCCTACTATTGAAGGAGAAGATGGGATTTGTTATACCCATCCTGAGAAACTCCCAGGTAGTCAGAAAGTATAGATTATGCATGTATCATCTCTCTCTCTCTCTCTCTCTCTTGTCTTGTCTTGTCTTGTGTGATTGCTTCCATCATTATTCAATGCTGTTAGGTCTTACTATATATATTGTCTCAAATGAAGCTGCAACCTCGTGAATTCCGGAGGGTTTGTTGTTAGTTTTTGCCGTTTGGTTATGACTTTAAAGGTTATTGCCACTGTCTCGTAGTTTGTTGCACCTAAGTCAACCTAACTTTGATTTTGGCAACGTTTTACTACGTTTCTTGTAGGAGTAACCAGAGATGGGTTGAGCAGGCATTTCTTCCACAGACCATCAAAGGCCTACACAACTGGGACAAGAAAAAGAAGGAAAATACAAACCGAATGTGACTTACAAGGTGGAGAAACAAGATGGCATAAGACAGGCAAGACAAGGCCAGTCATGGTCAATGGCAAACAAAAAGGGTGCAAGAAAATCCTAGTTCTTTACACAAATTTTGGCAAGAATCGAAAACCCGAAAAAACCAATTGGGTCATGCACCAATATCATCTTGGTCAGCACGAGGAAGAGAAAGAAGGAGAGCTTGTGGTGTCAAAGATATTTTATCAGACTCAACCAAGGCAGTGCAACTGGTCTGATCGAAGTGCAACAACTGTTGAAGGAAGCAATGTCGACCCTAATAGCAGAAGAGATAGTGGCAGTGGAAGTTGTTCTTCAAAGGAACAAGTAATCCCTCTTAGAGATGAAATATCTGGGGCTGGGGTTGCTGCTGCTTTATCAAGCTATGCCGGTGCCATTGATATCCAACAATTAAAATCTGATCATTTCAGTTTCACCCCATTTCGGAAAAGCTTCGACGAGGTACAATTTTGTCCATTTATAGGCAACATGTTTTCTCCCTTCTACAACTTCTTAAATTTTTTCCTTTAAGACTAATCAACAACCACGAAATAATAGCATAAAATGACACTGACGTTTGTACCTTGTAATTCTATGCATAGATATTGTAGTAGTTCAAACCTAGCCTCAAAAAAAAAAAAAAAAAAAACAAAATAAAACAAAACAAGGGAAATTATTTATTTTGATATATGAATAAATCCAATTTCATGCATGCATTCAAGTTTTAAACATCAAAATGGTTAGTTTATCTTACATAAAATAAAAGTAAAGGGAAGAGATCATAAAGTTTTAGGGTTGCTTTTCTCATAGTTGATTGCTTGCAGATACTGCATAAAAAAAAAATCTATATATACCTCACTTGATTATGTTTGTGAGCTAACTATTCTTTGTTTACCCACCAATAGGATCAATATTGAAACTGAGAGTAAAACTATAGAAAATTGAAAGGCCTAAAAGAAAGGTATTAAAGATAAAAAAGAGAAGGAATTAAAGCAATGGAATAAGTTGTGTTTGAAAATGGACTAGCTAGCAAACTGCTTCTTGTGGGGTGTCCATTGCAGGTGGGGATAGGAGAAGCTTCAGAGGCAAGCGAAGCCCCAGCTCAAGGCACGTGCGAAGAGATACCGGAGCATCATCCACAGCCACATCATATGGCCCATGATCATCACCATCACGATCACCATCATCATCATCATCATCAGCAGCAGCAACAACAGCAGCATCCCACACATCATCAGATTGCTACTACAGCATTTCACATTAGCAGGCCTTCACATTCCATTTCCACCATCATCTCTCCACCTCCCCTCCACCACACCTCCATCATCCTTGATGAGGACTCCTTTCATGTCTCCAGAATAATGCTTCAAAATGAAAGTTTCCAGGTAATATATCATCATTATCAATCAAATTAACCTCCAATATTAATTCTACCCATATAATAATCCACCAATAGTAGAAATCATAATTTTCAATGGTACTTCTTTTCTTTTTAAATCCATCTTTCTGATATAATTTCTATTTACTCAGCAGGAACAAAATGACACAGTGTTTTACACATGCATGCCACATTTATATATTAAGTACGGTATTTATTAAGCTGAAGCCTTTTCCCCTACTTTTTAAAGAGTTTTTTAATAGTTAACTCAACCATACATGTTTATAATTAAGTTCAGACCTTAATTATAAATGAATTGATGGGATGCAGCTTGGTAATGAAAATGACTTTTTTTTTTTTGGGGGGGGGGGGGTGGCGGGTGGGGGTGGAGCATAGATGTGGCAGACTCAGTGTAGTCATGCTACTTTTTAGTGTCAGCTAAGTTGGGAAAATGAACTACCTTTTCACTTTTTAATCCTTGTTGAAGACAAGATGATTTAGATGGGTAATTAATTTTGGTTTATTTATATTTTGTTGAACTGAATAAATGTAGCAGCAACAACAACAGCAACAGCAACATCATAAACTGCAAGGAAGGTCTGCATCAGGTTTGGAAGAACTAATAATGGGTTGCACTTCAACTGATACAAAAGAAGTAAGTACGAACTTTTAGACCCTGAAATCCACGAGCCTTGTTTGTCATAATACCAACTAGGCAATGAAAGAAAGAAAGAAAAAGTAAGGGGAAGTATTTTTTTTTATAAAAACAAAGGATAAAAAGAAGTGAAAAAAAAAACCAAATTCTTTAGTAATATTATTTTTTAAAAATAAAGAGAGAAACCAGACTCCTTTTCTTTTTCTCTTTATCTCTTTTAGGAGTAGTATTTTCTTTTTCTTTTTCAGTTTTTCATGTTTTGATCAGAGTTAAGTATGGCATTCAGCATCCTGTAAAGAAATAAACGTAGCTATCATCCTACAAATAAAATGCTGTTAAAGAGAGTGCAGAGAATTTTCTTCATAGAAAATTAAACATAAGCTGCTTTCTGTCATGAACAATAACCTTAATTCTCTTTAATTACCGCTTTCTCAAGATGCAGTAGAAATCAATATGTTAGGCAAGTTTGACATGGGTTTTAACATATATAACTATATATCAACAAAGAATCAGAATTCCAAAAATTAAAGTATAACTTATAGCAGAATGTGAAACCATATAGCCTTGTAAGTTAAACCAAATCTTGAAACAAAATAGAATCTTCTTTTATATTTCTCTTTTGGACAAAAAAGGTAGTTGGCAAACTAAAGCCTATACTACTTTCCCTACACCTTCCTTTGGTTTTTCTTTGAATATATGTTGCTAACAAGAGCTGTTAATTCTGGAAAATTACCCCCTTTGTGACCATAAATAAACATCAAGGAAAAAGAGAAATATTTAAAAAAGCAAAGAAAACAAGTAGCATTAACATTCTTTTGGTTGGGTTCATGAGAAAGGGGATTTGGAAGAGTGCATGATAGCAACATGAAATCTTTTTATCATGTGTTGCCTCATGAGATAGATACAGAAGCAAACAATTTGATTGTGGAGTGGGAGAGAGGACAGAAAAGGCAGCTTCTTCATTTGTTGTTTTTAGGTGAAAATTTTGTGGTTAAAACCCTAACCCTAAGTTTGGCTTTTTTGGCAGGAGTCATCCATCACAAACCCACAAGAGGCTGAATGGTTGAAGTATTCCTCCTTCTGGCCTGACCCTGACAACCAGGATCATCATGGGTAGAAGCAAAAAGTTTAGACAAACAAAGGAAACCTTACAAGACATCATTATTATCATCATCATTACTACTTTAAACCTAGCTCTGGTGAAGTTCTTTTCAAGGGAGAGAGGCCAAGAAACCATCTACTACTATAGTTTGCTCTTTTTCTTTCTTTTCTAATTAATGTGGGAAGGGGAACTGGTTTATGACTCTCAAATTCTCTCAAGTCTCAACTGAACTAACCGTACAACAGTCCATGTTGGAAAGAAAGAGAAAGAACAAAAGCAAAAATAAGAAAGAAAGAAGGAAAGAAAAATAAAGAAAAGAAAAGAAACCAGGAAAAAGGCTGCTCTCTACTGACAAATAGAAGGAGAACCAAAGACCCAAAGCAAAATCCAGTCCTGCATGAAAATCATCACCATTATGATTACAATATCATCTTTATGGCTATTCTTTTTATTTTATTATTTCGAGGCTCTTGTATAATTTATTTTCTTTGTTCTTTACGAAGAAAAATACAAAGAGTTTGTGCAAATTGCAACAAATACTTTGTTAATTGTGTTGTTGTTAGTCACCTTTTCTAGTAAAATATGTATGGATTAGGGGGCTCACGATTTTCCTTTATATATAGAAATGAAAATATTGGTTATAGAATTGTTTATTTCTTGGTGTGGCACTTTTTCTACTTATTTTGTTTTTGCAGACAATTTAAAGGAGATTTAGGTTCTCCAATTGCTATATCATTGAATGAATAAGAATTCTAAATGTATAAAATCTATGTAAGATTTTTTTAGAGGTAGAGCTAGCTAATTTGCCTACTAATCCACATTTCAATCTCAAGAGCTTATTACAACAACTAGCTAGTTAGGGATCATGACCTGTCGGCAGGCCATATATGTGCATATATCCCAAAGGTGAAGAGTCAGTCCTTCAATAATTAGGAATTCGAGATTATCATCATGATAACTTTTCATCATCTATATATTTGCCGTGGTCAAATCTGTTCTTTTAAGTAAAATTAGTTCCTTCGGTTGCTTTGTCCCTACAATATAAAGACCTAGGGGGACAGCAGTGCCACCATTATGCTCACCAAATCAATGTAAAAAAAATACTGTTGCTATTGATGCATGAAGAAAGTTGGTGCAATTGATTTATCAGGTCACGTATTCTTTTCAATATTTATTTTGCTTGTTGAGTATGCTTTTTTATCCTCTGTTTACTTTAGTGACAAATGCAGGAGACGTTCTGGGAGACTTTAAATGAGAGCTCCTTCGGAGCTTGTATTGGTACTGCCGATGTTTGCCTAATGAAAAGTAAATGTCCTTTAGCTGGTTTCGGGTTTAAATGGTGGGTCCTTCCACCTCACTAAATGACATTCCAATTGCACTGAGCCACTAATTACCAATTAATTAGCAGTTTCTTCAAGGTCAAAAACTTATATGTAGTTGAGGGGTTTTTGCCCTTTGTTACAATTGCAATTACTCTTTCAAAGTAGCTATCACTAACAGCATTTTGAGGTGACAAATGGGACATTGCCACGAGGAAATTACTTTGTACATGTTTTTTTAATGGACTAAACTTCATATCATGCACCATGATTTTTTGTCAGTGGTTGTCATACTCCTAATAAAGTAGTTTTGTTTGGTTCTTTGAATTTAGATATATCAAAAGGAGGAGAGAAGAGAATGTGGGTTTTCATTAATTTTTTTTTCTTATTTGGAATCTTGGAATCTTTCAATAGTATAGCAGTAGAAATCACATTTTAAAGATCAATCTCTCTTTGTTTTTTGTTACTTGGGAAACTTCTTTACTGCTTTTATATCTGTCCCTCAGATTCGCGCTTTTTTCTGTATATTATACTAGTATTATGTAGAGAAAATGAGATAAGCTTATCCCCTCACAAAGACAAAGATAAAGAAAGAGAGAGAGAGTAACGTGCATGTTATCTTTTCCTTTCATGGGACGTGCATGAAATAAAGCTAAATGCAAAATGAAGGCGAGCGAGGCAGCTTCATCGTAGTTTCTGAAAGGAATAAAGCATGGAACAAGGGAATAAGCAGACAAGAATAACCTTTAAGCTTTGAAATGACCCTTCTCATAACTTATTGGAAAAAATTCTTTTATCCTGTCATTTTATATATACACTCTACTTTACATTTATCTATGTACTATGGTATATATCGGTTGTATTATTCCCAAAACATGAATGCATCTTAGTACATTATATATATATATATGGTACCCCATTTATCAGTGCTATCTCAAAGAAATCACGGAAAATATCAATTTCATCTAGATATACCCTAAAAAAAGTTTTAGCTCATTGATGTAACATGCAAAAATTATACTCCATTTATGTATAAATATATTCCCCCCCCCCCCCACACACACACACATTGACTACATAATACTTGCTAATTAAATTAACAAATATATATATGCAAAAATTGGTTTTGGGTAATTTGTAGAAGGGTTGAGAGAATTCAAATACTGTGGTGTAGAAATACTTGAGGTTAGTACATAAAATAGTATAGGTTAAAATAAACGAAAAAGAGGAGGATCCTATCCTAGCTAGTAGAGATGGTGGGGGGTGGGATATAAATAATAAAGTGGGAAGAGGAAATGTCTCTTTCCACATGCAATGAAAATAAAAGGAATGACATGTCTTGTTCAACCTAAAAAGGTGATATTCAATTCTTTCGCTTTATAGAAGATTTTGGGTGCTTTTAAAAGAAAGAAAGAAAGTATTAGCAGTGTTAGGATTTCTGGGTTTGCAGAGATTTGGTCCCACAAAGAAGTTGCAGGGAGAATTGTGTAGTGCAATAAGGAATATCATAACATGGCAATACCTACCTTTTTTGGATTCTTCAACAGCAATGCCAAGGCCAAGGCCAGGCCAAAGCTGCTTTTTAGATGGTAACCAACCCCACTGATCCCCTTCTCCCTCGTATGATCAGCTTAGAGGCTTATTTTTGGAACAAACATTTTTGTGCTTCTAGGAAATGGAAAGTGATTCATTCATTTTCGCAGCCATTAATTTACACAGTACTGAATTTTCAATTATGTACATTTTGACAATTAAAGATACCGATCCTTGTTATTGGAAATTTTATAGCAATTTTTAAAACTGTTATCATGAATACTAAGTATGTTCTTGATAGATCACTTGCCTGTAGAAATGGTGGGAATCGATCTGTTTTCTTGGAGAGAGCGAAGTTCACTAAAGTATCCTTCCTTTTTGAACCTTTTATTTCGTACTATGACATAGTCGATTTGGCTATGGCAAAACTACTTGATGGGAGGTGGCGGCTGTGTGGCAATCAAGACTCTTCCCTGTTAAATACTTAAATTGGATGTAGTTGAGAAAGTTTGGTGAGCGTTTCATGCATTGATGAATAATTTAATCAAAGACAAGGCCAAACAAGTTAGTTTCCTGCAGTTGCGGATAATCCAACAACTAAATAATAATGCAGAAACAAAGGCTATAATCAATGATCTAACAAGTAACTGATGCCATAGCCTACAGCCTATCACATTTCTAAAGAGAAAGTGATTATCGCAACAAAAGGTGAAAGGAACAATTGGGATGGCAACTGATCAGCCCATTTTCTTTTCCATTGAAAATTTGAAAATCAGTACCCACTAATGAGGGTTTTGGGAGGACTGTTAAAATTTCACACTTGCTTAGATGAAATGTAGCAAACATGAGTAGGAATCCATTGACCAATCAGTATCAAAATGACTTTTGGGAGTAATTCTGTAATGTGATTTTATTTGTACCCAATAAGTCTTTACAAAAGTGCACTACGTATAAGGCAAACATCTCAGAGACTCAAGACTCCTTTCTTAAAATGAATAGGCTTTTGGAAAAGGAACTGGAGGATAAGTTATGTAAGCCAATAATCAGAACAGATAAATATAAGGGAGAAGATGGCATCATTTTTGTGGCGAATGATAGCCAGCGATCGAGGAATTATCAACTTTGTAGTATACCTTTGAGTAGCTTCCTCTAATAAAGACTTGTTTGGGTCCTTTCTATCCGTTTAGCGAGTGGCATATTCTTCTTGTTAGGGGATGGCTGACAAACCAACATATCCTAACCATACTACCATCTGAGCACAAAGCCCGATGAAGTTTCCTTCTTTCCTATGTTTCTCTCTCTGTTTTTCATTCGTTCAATGTTCGAGCCTCTTTGAACATGTTCCTCCGATCGTATAAAACAAGAAATAGGTAGATACTACAAAGGTCAAGGACTAACGCTTGAAATAATGGTCTTCATCAATTTGTTTTCGTGTGCGGCCCTGCCCCAAAGCCATCTTATTACTAAATGTCCTTTCAAATCCTTTTCAAACTATTGCTGCAGCTGGCTAGGACTAGCTCGTGCAAAGAATCTTGGCTTTTGGAGTAAGTCTCCAAACACTTCAGCCTGGAAACTTCATCTATTTGACAAGACCATTGTGCCGTGGGCATCACATCAAAATGAGATTCGTTTTGGCAACATGCAAGGTACTGTATAATGCAACATTGCTCAACCTTTTAGAGACCAGTTTGGAAATACAGGCAAGAATCCACATAGCCTAAATGCAGAGTTGCTTTCCCTGAACAATGTCAGCTAAACCACAAAGTAATAGACACCGCCTAAAAACATGGGAGTGTTCTACTTCTTACCAGTTTAACCAGGACACATAAAGCTGCTGGTATCTCTCATTTCTTAGTCCATACCCACATATCATGTGATGCATATGCTTTCTCACATATGAATCCAAAAACGAAAATTGTTGCGCGATTAACACATGGATATATAAAACAGCACAGCTGATTGTATAATTGATACCATGTTATAAATATCAATTATCATTGAAGAACTCTTCTAGCTTTCTTTGTTTAATAGTTTTCCTTGTGTTCTTTGGTACACACTTACTGGAAACAGATATTTATCAGACCTGTACAATCTATACTTATTTGTTTTTTCTGTACAAGCAACAACCACAAAATGTTCTGAAGGAGCAGCAGACTCAGCAAGCACGTGCTTCAGGCAGCCTCCAAGTCACAGGTCCAGAAACACCAGAAACTTTCAGTTATGCGAAAAGGCACGACAATATAGCTATCATGGGCCTGGCTCTCACCATTCTGGGCACAACTACTAGCTCCTTACCAGTAATATCATCAAAAGTACTATGATAGCCTTCAAGATCAGCTTTTGTAATCATAACTGCATCCACTGAAGGAGAGTGCAAAGTAACTGGCCGGCGGTGCCTGCTATACTCCAGAACTGCCTGCTCAAAACCATTTACAAGCAACAAATAAACAAGAAGAAAGAGACACAGTTTATTATTCATGCTTGTGAATGGAAGAAATCTGAAAATTAATGCTATTTGGAAATATGGAACTGTTCTCAGGGCATTCATAATGCTGGTAAAATCTTGTTCTTTTTTTCTGAGCAAACAGTAAATGACAATGGGAGATAAGAGAAACGTGCAATTCATATAATCTAAAACTGGCCAACATGAACAGAGTCATTAATGACAAAAAAGAAAGAAATAGAAGTCTCCGTGCTTGTAGTACCATCTTCATTGTCATCAACATCATTTCCCCCTTTCATGTGGAGGGATAGGGGCAACAAACAAGCAAAAATTGCAGGGTTTCTACGAAGGTTTCACACTTGGCACATGATAACACCATAGGACTTACCTTCCATTGTGAGGGGGCAAGCAAAACTCGAGGTCTTCGAGACCGAACATATTCAAGGGCACCTGCGGGTGTCATCTGCTTATGCTCTACCTGCAGAGTTTAAAACAAATTCAAATCAAATCTGGAGCTAGCCTCAAAGGTTACTGAACAACAGTGAGCCAACAAAGCTCTATGCAATAGACAGAGATTTACCAAGTAGCAAAGCACAATGGTGGTACTACCACAAGTTGCATTCTCTGTAGCCAAAAAATTTAACGAAGTCGGCTGAGACGGCCAACAGGCCACAGCGACTAACAGAGACAGTTGAAAAAATCATCTACTGACTACGAATGAAGTCCACAGCTCTACTGATATCTGAAATTGAAGGAACAAATAAATAATCTCTCGTTGGAATTACTAGGTGATCAATTCCATGAGCCTGCATAAACCATAAAGCAAAAGTAAATATCAATACCCAACAAAACAGAAATTGCAGAAAACAAAAAAAAAAGCTATTTTGAAACACCCATTCACCTCAAGCTTAATAATAATGAGTTTTGGAAATCATTTCCCATTTCCCATTTCCTATTTTCATCTCCATGTTTAGTCTAGAATCTAGATATGGTCAATAAAATAAGGTAAACAACTCAATTTGCAAACTCTTTTTAAATTGTTTTTTCAATAAAACATATTAAGAATCAAACAAAGAAAAACTTACATGATATAATGAAGTGGAAACCAGAGTTTCGAAAGGTTCATTGAGAGTGATCACCCCACCAACGCCTAACTGCTTCAAACGTCGAACATCCTTGGGAAACGGAACGGCCCCCAGCAAAAGAAACTGAATTTGAAAAAAAGAAAAAAACCATCATCATCAAAACAGAGAAAAAGCTAATGCTACATATTTTTTCTGCTATTTGTCCCACTGTACCGAAAAAAAAATGCAAAATGCTAAAAACAAAACCGCAAACCAAACGGAGCCGAACAAAGTCACAATTTTTAATCGATAATCAAAGGCAGATATACTGATTTGAGAATAATTGTTATAAAAAAATGGTTGATAAAGAAGGGAAAATAAGGATAATATAAGAGAGAAACCTGGTCAACTTCGTCCCACCATCTGAATTCAGATTGGATTTTGTTTCTGAAGACATTGTACAAAAGGGTCGGGTAAAACAGGATCCGAGCACCCGCTCCGACCAGAACTCTCTTCGCATCGTCGACTCTAACTATCTGCAGCTGCTTCTCCCGATCACTCTCCACGTCACCCAACTCCTCGATCTTCATCTCAAGAAAAACGGGAAACGAATTTTCCTTCTGGAATTGATATTGGTTAAATTCTAAGAAATGAAAAACAGTTTCGAAGAATTGAGAGATGAGGGATGGTATTGGCGAGAGAGAAATGAAAGATCGAAGCGATTTTTTGGGAATTTGAGAAAGATACGAGAGATCGATTAGATTTGTGAAGAAAATAAAATTACTGTACTTATTTCGATTAACTGGAATCAAAAGTTCAGATCAAGAGTAAATTATATAGAAAGCCCTTGGAATTTATTTAATTTACAGTAATACCCTTCATTTGCCTTAATACTTGGTGGACTTTGATAAATCTCGGAGAAATGGATAGGCTTAAGTTTTTAGATAAAAATTAAATATATTAAATTAAATATAAACCATGCATTTTTTATGCGTTATTCCACGCTTTCAATTAAGAAATATTTTGTAAGAAAATAATAAGATTGACCTTACCATTCTAATCCAATTTTTTTTAAGGATTATTACTTATTCAAGCTTATTATTAATTAAGTAAAGACAAATTCAACGAACAAAATTCATAGTAATTTTTTTTTTAAAGTGATGTTGTTTTGTGGACCTTTTTATTATTTATTGAAACTTTTTGCTTAAGAAATATATATGTTCATTATTGAATTAAAAGCATAATCTTTAATAATTCAATTAACAAAATTAAATTATAGAGAGGTGGATTTTCAATAAAGTTGGGTTCGATTTTTTAAAAATTTTTTCTACATTATGAATTCTTTTGTTTAAAAAAATTCAATCAACAAAATCCATAATACTTTTTTGAGTAATGCTATTTCTTGATTTTTTTTTTTTTAAATTTGAATTAATTCATTGAAAAAAAAAATAGATACATCTAGCATTACGCTAAATATTTAAATGACTCACAAATACATGAACATGTTGCAATCTTCCTCAACAACTATCAGTTTCATGGTGAACTTCTGTAAAATCTTGGTAATTCTCCAACTTCAGTGATAAACTTGGCTAATAACAAATTCAGTGGAAACATCTCAGCTAGTTTTGGCTTCACGAGTTATAGATTGAAGGAGATTTTGCTTCTTAATAACCAGTTAACAGGTTGCATTTCAGAAGGAGTTGGGCTTTTCTCAGAGATGCAAGTTTTTGATGTGAGCCACAACTCACTCATGGGTCATTTGCCAGACACAATATTTTGCCTGAGTGACATTGAGGTTCTCAATTTGGCAAACGATAAGCTATCCGGGGTACTACCCGATTTGGTTTGTTCCCTAAGGAGACTTATGAATTTGACTGTTGCCTACAATTTCTTCTCTGGGTTTAGCCAGGAATGTTCCAAGTTGTTGTTTAGAAATGCGGGTTTTGACTTCTCGCTTAATTGCATTCCGGGGAGATACATGCAGAGAGCACGACCATAGTGTTCTGTGATCCCTGGAGGTGGGATGAGTTGTCTGAGAATTCCTTCTGCACAGCCTTCCGTTTATGGGGCATTGCTTGGGAACTTGGAAGTTAATATCACCTCATCATCTCCATGATCTCATTATAGAGGAAGTTACTGGTCTTGTCTAACAGGTTGGTGATGGTTGTCAACTGTCCCATTCATTAATAGCAATTTACAATTTAGAGCTTCCAAATTCATTTCGTCGTGGATTCAGTTAATATATACCTGTGTCTCTGAATGGATAAGACATGCTCAGATACTTGAGAAAGGGGTTTATGAAGAGTAGAATATTCAGGTAGAAATACTTACTATAATCGGATCTTGACTATCCAAAAGAAAATCCGATTAAAAAAAGACGGTATTTCGCTATCCGGTTGTCCTCATGTACTCTTTGTCTCGTTTAGCACCACATTGTGATTTTCAGTGCAATTGGTTTGTCCAGAAGCCTTCCTACTTACTCTTCAGAATCTAAAGGGTCCAAATTCCTCTGCCCAATGGGCCAATAGTCTTGCTAAGGCATTTTAGAACGCTAAAATCTGTGGCCTGATTTACAACGGTAAGTGATTTTACACTATTTCCAAATTCCATGTCGATGTTCCATATTTATTCCGAGTAAGATTTTCTGAAGACATTGCTGGCGCCATCATGCTACCAATTTTGTTAAATGAAATTTTCATTTTTGGTTAAGTGGCAAGAAAAAATGTGAACCTAATCTTGGTCAAAGAAAAAAACAATGTAAAACTAATTACTAATCAGTTCCCTATATCCATCTAGCCATCCCACTTTACCTATAAAATCTAAGGATAAGAATAGGGTACGAAGAGAGTACAACATTTTTAATTTCATTCTTAAATTTTTATATTATATTTATTTTCATACTCATATTTAATATGTAATTTAAATTTATTTTCATCTCATTTTTATAGATATTTAATTGGTATAAATAATTTTCATATTTATAATTTTTTAAAATAAAATAAAATTTTTTATTTTTATCTTGTATATTTAAATAATTTTTTTATAAATATGTATTAATATATATATTTTAATAAAAATATATTAATTTTAATTAATTTAAAGTAATAATTTATATTCTTTAATAAAAATTTATTTACTAAATATATATAAATATATAATTAGAGAATTGACACATAACATGTCATATATTACCATTACTCATTCTCATACCTAATAAAAATTTAAATAATATCCAACTCCATCTCAATCTTCATAATGTAACATCCATCTTTATTCTCGACTAAAAAATCAAATTTTCTATAGGATACGAATAAAATTAACATCTCCAATTAAATTCTTACTGGAACAGTAATAACTGGGCTGAACAGGGAATGACCTGAGGAAGTCCAATTTGATTGGAACCATGTTGAAAGCAAGCTGGCCTTTGAAGTTTGCTGGTTAATTCATCTGGTTTATAAGTTGGGCATCTGATAAGATAATCTCTGTACTCTGTTCGGTAAGATTTGTCTACCCAGTACTAGGACAGGAATTTGATGGCCAAACTTTGCAAACTATCTCTGTTCTGTTTAGTTTTCATGTGAATTTCACTGTGTTGTAAAACATTCCTTGTATTTGCTGATGAAATTAAAGAATGAAAATGTAACTATGAACAAAACAATGAAACAATTGAATTCTTTTGTCTATACAATTTCAGTCTGTAAGGTATGAACCCAACAAAAAAAAAAAAAAAAGAAGCGTTCCCCTGTATATTGTGTTTGATAAAAACACAACCTAAAAGCAGAATAAAAACTATCAAAAACTGTGAATTATAAATACGATGTTGTCAACCGAAGAAGAGCCTCTCCCAAACCAGATCAGCAGCCTCACCCCCACGCTGAAGAAATGCTGAAAATGATATGGGGGGAAAACCAAATAATTAAGGATGGAAAGAAGAGAAGAAAGATGCATTGTTCAACTCTCTGCTCAAACCAACAGTGCTTTAACTGACGAAAAGCTTAAATAACTGGTTATCATGGCAGCAGAAGGGAAATTTGCAGTGAATTAGGGTTTTAATAAAGTTAAGAAGAATCCTGTTCATCATGGCAAAGCTCCTTCCTCAGTTTACGTGAGAAAAGTCTGCAAGCATCCATGCTAAGATCGATGGCAGCTGAAAGTGCAATAAACAGTGCAGCATCAGCCATACATGTCACATGCTGCATCCCAACTTGTACGACAGGCTTGCTAACCTTTCCTTCACCTTCAACGGTCGAACCCATAGCAAATCCTTTAACAGGTGACCTTAAACTGAATGCAGCATCTCTTGGTACTCTCCTATCTATACAAAATTGGCCACCCTTTTTGACACTCATTGTACCTTCAGCAATAGGGATACCATTATTAGGGCCATTCTCAGTGACAAGTTCAAACTTGTAGCCTAAGCCATCAACAGGACCCCGTTCTCGCCATGCCTCTAGACGACCCCATGGTTTCCAGCTGCTGACAGAGAAGCCGTTGGGGCGGAGTATTAGCCATGCACCAGGGTTTGATCTAGAAACACGGTCTGAACCAGGGGAGGGTACAAATGGAGTGATCATTGAGGCAGCTGCAACAGGAGAGCCAGATAGATCATATATCATTATCATCCATCCCTTCCTCTCTCTTCCTTGCCTTTCCTTTTCTCCTGATAATGTTCTCACCCATCCTCTATTCTTGTTGGTAAAATCTGGTGGGAGGGATCTGGTTGTACAATTGACAAAGAGGTAAAAAAGCAATCTATTAATACTAAGAAAAATGAATATAAAATTAAAAATAAAAAAAGCTAATTAAACTAACTTGACTCCACCGAATTGAATAAAAAAGAAAAGAAAAACTGACATCAAATATTTGTGCACATGGGAGAGAATCAAAAGTGGTTGTCTTCAACAGTTAGGGAGATATGGCAAGGAAATTGTCTGTTTGACCAAAACTAAGTATGAGACTAGGAGGGTATACACTATTATTATTCTTCGAATATCAGTAATAAGAGATTTTATTCTCAAGGAGATCATTTTCTAATAAAATTGAAGTTCATGGTCAGTCATGGTTGCCGGATGCAGAGTTCTTCTCTGGAAATTGATAACTGCACTTTTATTTGTTGAACCTGTAAATTTGTCCAGAAAAGCTAGGGATAAAGAAAAAATAAAAGCAGTGACAGCAGTCCTCTGAATAATATCTAAAGAGGAAGAGATCAAACATATTCACTCATTCAGCCCGTAATCATCAAAAACTTCATGAACTCCTAAGATTATATATAGAGCAAGGTCAAGAAGACTCTAACTGGTTCCATCAATAACAATAAATTATGTTGTTTTGGGCTGTGATATTTCATATCACAGAAAACCTTGATCAGATTCTATGCACTAAACTAAAATCTTTGCTTGGGCAACTATCATGTTTAGACACTATAGATCAGGCCAACCAATCTATTATATCCTTTTTCTTTTCATGAAATCCCATACATTAACGTCTTAATTAAAGCCAACATTCCAAAAATGGACAAGGCCAACCCCTAATCTATCCAGATGGGAAAAGACATAAACTTTCTCATCGTCAAGGTTGGCAACAGACGCAAAAAAAACTTGTCTCTCTGATCTATCAATTTTCATGTTAACACCCTGGTAATACAAAAAACAAGAAAATTAGATTAGCTGGTCTAAACTAGTGGTGTTGAGCAACGTAAATTACCACAGTTACCATCTCACAAAGAAAAATCAACAATCACACCCACATGCCTAAATCGAGGAAAGTACCCCTACTCCTAGAATCGACGGGACAGACCATAATTTCCCCCTAAAGGAAAATAACAGAGACCCAAATCCAAGACCCCACTAGACACGCTTTTTAGCACAGCCTCGAAGAAAACTCACTAAAATACGCCATATCGAAAGTGAAAAAGGAAACAGAGGAACTTACCGAGATCTTGAGCGATCGGCGCTAAACTTGCAACTGAACACGGGTTGTCTAATGTTGCCTTGAATTTGAAAAACGACAGGGCTACATTCCGGTTCTCCACCGAATTGGAAAACAAACCGGGGATCAGGTTCAGCCCTGACCGTTAAGTGAAGCTTAGCGGTTGACTTATCCGGTTCGTTGCCCAGTTTCATCCACCCATTTTGGAACACTGAAGGCCTGGTTTGTGACACACCCAAGTTCACAGTGACCTGAACCCGACCCACCAGCTTCCCACATCTGACGCCGCACGTGCGGCCCATGAGTCCGGTGTAGACTTCGATACGTAGCGTCACGGGCTTACCAGAGAGACGCCGGACAGTTAGAGCATCGAGGTGGAATCCAGAAGTGTAGGTGGAGGATTCAGGAGGCGAGTCACCGGAGCTGTTGCTGAGAGGCAACAAAGCTGTTTGAGACGGGAAGTTTTTGAGTCTGAGCTTGCAAAAGCACGGCGTCGTTGTTGGGTAAACGCCAGAACCGGCTGGTTTGGTAGCTTGCGGGGGTTTCAGAGCTAATGATTCGACGATCAAACGAACAAATGGGCATGGATCCATCGTACAAATTTGCCTTCAGCAGCTGTTTCAAGAGATCTTTGGATGGTTTTTTTTTAAAAGAACGAAGGTAGCTCGAAATGAACGTCGTAGATAGTGAAGAGCTTGGGAAACATCTACGTTTTTGGTTGGACTAAAACTATGTAAGTCCCGAAGTAGGCTCTACAGCAAAGCTGGTTTAACGTTTCACCTTTTCTGTCTCTTTAGGAACTTCATTCTTTTATTATAGTAGTGAGTTTGGTGATTTTTACTTGGCTTGGGGTCCGTCTGCTTTAGCCTTTTTTCTTTTTTTTCCTTCTCGCGGGAAAATGGATATGGAAAAGGCAAAAAGTAATTTGGTTGATTTTCTCGAGGATTTTTAATGAATAGGATTATTTTGTTCTTGTTATGATTTGACCCAAAAATTATGAATTCTATTGGGTGTAAGTTCAAAGTCCTTTTGATAGAAAAAACAAAAGAATAATTTAAATTTAAAATTTAACATTTTGTTAATAAATTGATTAAATTTGATTGTTAATAATAGATAATTTTAATTACAAAAATCATCTTTATAAAAAAAAATCTTCCAATTTAAATATATATAGCATGAGAATTTGATCATGAAAAATATTAAAATTATTGTTATTCGTGATAATGATACATACAATCTTTGAATAAAACAATTAAAGCAAGAAATTTGTTGACCGATTATTATGTTTAGTTAATATAATTTTTATTATGAATTATCAAAATTAAATTATTATAACTAATCACAATGAACAAACAAAAATATAAGTTAATTTTCTTTGGTAAAAGAATATAATATTTTTAATCACATATATTTTAGAATTTTCATGTAAATAATAGAATTTGCTTTTTTTAAAAAATACATTTGTTTATAAATTTCAAATTTTAATCTAATTAATTAATACAATCATTTAAAAAATAAATTCAACAATTATAATATTTTAAACTTTTGTAATTTAAAAAAATAAATTATCAAAAAAACAAAGATGAGAAATTGAGGAGAAAAAATTTTTATCTCGAGGACAAAATGAGGGTCCAAATGTGGGGCCCATAACAGCTGGGTTATGGCTGTCACCACGTTGTCAAAAGTGCAAGCCTAGCTGGACTTGGATTGGGCGACAAAATTTTCCCTCCTTCGTTCCTTTCCATTCCAAGCTTCACTAAATATCAGCAGCTCACAGATTGTTGACGTGGCATGCGCTGGAGCCTCCTGATTTCCAAACTCGCCGTTTTCGGACGGTTACATTTGACGGCGCTAACGGAATTTCATTTTATTTTGTTTGCCTTTCATTGTCAGCTTAGCTTTCGATTTAACAAAAGGCACGATTTTGGAAGAGCTGCAACTCCGACACAAGTCGTCACAATTCCAACTTGTTTTGTCTTTTTTTCCTTTGTTTTTTTTTTTTTTTTGTTTTTTTGATGGACAAGGCATTAAAAACCATACTAAAACCATGTTAATTGGAATTGAGACACCTAATAAATTGCAAAAATTTAAGTCAAAAGATTGGCTTGATATAATTGTTATTTTTCCTAGTTGTTGATCCATCAAACCTACAAATAAAAGAACCCATAAAAAAAGTTTACTCTTGTTTATTTATTAAAAATTAAGATTTTATTATTATAATCGAGTCATGTCAAATATTTATGATAAATTTCATGAAATCAAATTCATGATATCATATATACGGGTATAACGAATTTCATTCAGTACTTAGATGCACATCACCATATTTTTTTTCATAATTTATTTTTTATTTGTATCTATTTGGTATTTAACGTACGTCAATATTGTATAATACAAATAGTAACAAGATATTAACTTTTTAAGGGTTAAGGAAGATGAAATAGAGAGCTTGCTTTCAATAGCATAAATTCCCCTACACTTTATGTTTAGCCTATGCTTGTATTGTTTTTTTTGGTAAAAACTTTTTTGATGAAATTTTAACCTTAAAAAAGACAAAGAAATAATGACCCAAAGTGTTGGTCTTGGATCAATGCAACCTGCACTTTTACCCTTTATCCCCACCTTTCATGGAGCCCAATCTTTTGGTAATCCCAACATGATTGTTACCATGTCAAAATTCTCATAATTTCACCTTTATTTTTTGCTTCTTTTTCAAACCTCCTCCCTTTCTTTTATCTTTATTTCTCCAAAGTCCGAAAGGAGCCAACTAATTCTTCCGTAAGAGGAGTGGGGGCCTTTCTATTTTTCGGGTGGCTGGAGCCTGGGAGGCAAGCGTGTAGGCGTAGCATCCGCCATTGTTTTTGGAAACCCTGTCTATCGCTAAATGATCTTTGTTTCGTTGCTACGGTACCAAACTCTTTCCATGCATGGTCCATCCACTCTCATTATTACAGTTCATTCTCAGCATCAAGCGAGCTGGTCAAGCCTCAGACCATAACATCTTTGCTGGAGAAATTACTTTGGAGGGAGTTATATCTCAGATTTCGTCTTGACTTAATTAATTCGCTTCTCAAATGAATTTAAGTGCATATTTCATGTATCGATCTAATGCATGTATCTAAAGTCAAGTTGCATGTACCTAAAGTCAAGTTCGAATCCGTCTCCATCAATACTAGTATCTTCAAAACAAACAGTGTTGCCAAATTAAAGGCTGAAGTCTACTACGAGCATCTTCAAAGCAAAGAGTCTCAGTTGAAGAGAGAGGCTTATCTTGTAGAAAATTGGGTTGAGAGGCGAAATAGGGGGCCAAGTTGACTGACTATCCAAAACATGGCCAGCTCATGTGAGTGTCATGCATGCGTGCAGAGGCGACGTGGCATGATATGATTGGTTATATCCTGGAGTTTGTAAAATAGTGCTGGAATGATAAGGGGATATCTTTTCATAACTTACGAAAAGGGTAAAGAATTAATGAATGATTACCATTTATGGCCCATTGCCCAGCTGTTTCACTGTTTTTTCTACTACTTGTTCTAGAATAAAAAAAAAATACAACTAGTACTATATCTAATTGAAAGAAAGAAATTCTATCAGTTCGCTTTTCATGTTATCATCATTAAGCACAAGCATTTCTTCTTGATGATTCGTTTTCAATCTATGAAGGACATCAGTCCATCTTATCACCTGTCAAATTATACAAATGTTTTAACTCTTCGATGTATCATGGAAAAGATTCAAATCCATCTGCAAACCCAATTTTCTTCTAGTACACAGCATTAATTGTCACCCAAAAGAATAATGCTACCTTCATTCGTACAGACTTTATCAGACTTCATCTTTAGCTGTCCATTTCCATTACGAACGAGAGCAAATAATTTAATAGCGAAAATATTAAAATATGTACATATATATTCAGGAAGACATCAGACATTACATGGAGTATGTATCAACAATAATTTTTAAGGTTGCCAATCATCACATCAGGACAATACAATCACTTTGTTTTTCCTTTCTTTTTTATTGTCAACCAATTAGCTGCCCGGATCCATTGGGAGATTGGAGAGAGAAAACAGAAAATCTGGAAGTGTTTGGGAGATTCTATTCGATCCAAGCAAATTGCAAAGCCATCGAGGCAAACCAATGGTAGCATTATTGTTAATATATATATATATATATCTATAGATATATATATACCAGCTATGAAGAAAACATGGTGTTGGAAGACAGGCAAGCGGCCATTTGGGTGTATCTCAAAATCAGATTTTGAGCAGCAAGAGAGGTGTCCCTCTCCACCACCATCCCTATATGGACCTACCACAGTAAATTATACTATAAATCATGATCTTGGCTTGGCTTTGATTTTGTTGCAAGTCAAACAAAACTTATGCTGCTTATTAAACAAATTAAGATCGATAATTCTCTCTCAAGAACTGCCTGTTAATCATCACTTATCGGCTATGCTACAATTGGAGTGGATAAAATAAAGATTCTACTACGATTCAACGTTGGTTCCAGGACTGTTGCATTTTTAATCTTGTCAAGGTTTAAAGTTGGAACTTTTACTTGACATTGTTGAATAATTGTGTCAGAGAAAACAGAAAAGAGAGATGATGGTTTGGTTTTTGTACCGTGAATGAATGTAACATGTCGGGCACACAAGTGAAGAAAATAGTGAAAAGAAAGCTGTTTCTGGAATGACTTGTGTCACTTTAGGAAAAGATTATAAATGAAAAAATCAACTGTCGGAATTCCAAATCATAATTGCTTCAATAGAATGCATCAATTATTCTCTTATCCCCTTTCTTGATGGTTGATTGATGATAGTCAAAGACCCTATTTAGGCCGAAAAGAAACCCCAATGCCATCGGGCCTTGCTTTCTTGGCTCGCTATTCTGAAACCCAAATTTCCTATCCCTAGGTCGGTACGAGCAGCCCAGGACCCCAGTTTCGCATCTTCCGCCCAATTTGCATTACACAGCAGCACGTGCGAAGTTAGACACAAGCCTTAGAACTTTCTTGCTCAAATTAGGAGAAACCCCGAGCTTCTTCTAATTCTTTGGCTGTTTCTCGAAGCAGAAAATAATAAGTAAAGAGATCTTCGGCTACTTTCTTTTCATTTGAGAAATTCTCTTTTGGGGTTGCAATGTCTTCACCTGCTGAGTAAGTCCCATTAATCTTTCTTGGATTTTTTTTTCTTTTTTCCTTTTTCTAATTTTATCGTTTCAAGTTGTTTCTTCTGCCAATTCAACTGGATTTTGTTAATTGTTATTCGATTCCACGGCTTTATTTTTTTGGGGTAATTGGTAGTTTTGTCTAGTTTAACTCATATGTCGTGTTAGAATTTAGCAACTTAGGATATATAGATTCATAACATGAGTATTATGTACAACCTATCAAACCCAAAGCTTGCTTAGAGATGCAAAAAAATCTCAAACTAAAATATCTTATAGGAGTTTGTTATTTATTCCCCTGTGTTAAAGAATCAGGGATGCCATCTGTGGAATTTTCCTTTTGGTCCAAAAAGATGGGTACAACTTACAAGATTGCACTTTAGAAAAATATTGGAAATTTTCATTAGGTTATCATGTTATTGGTCTGTTTCATTGATTGTTGAGTCAAATCTGATATGTCTGATCCTGTCAAACGAAAGTTGGCAGAGGGGCAAAGCCCTCCCATGTCATTTCAATTGTGTTTCAGAATAGCTTGTCATGCTGCTAATTGTGACTGTTACAATAACAATCCATTTACAAAAAAAAAAAAGCTATTCATGGTGAAATAAGATAGTCTCTTGCAGCATAGGATCTCTTAAATGCACAATCTCATGATAAAGCATTATTGTTTTGTCATGTTAAAGTTTTAGAGTACTCCACCATCAATGATTTGTTCCAAACTGATGGCCACGGTCTTGTTCTCAATTCCCATCCTTTTCCAACTTGATAGTAGTAGCTGCATAAGCTAGTGAGCAGCCATACTTTTGATTATAGCAGAATTAGTTTAGGCTACTTTTTTTTTTTTTTTCATTTGTGTGATGATAGTTTCTCTGATGAGTTGTGATAGTCTGCTTATTTCAAATGTATTGTTTTTTATTAGTAGTATTACTTTTTAATTATATATTTCTTTCTTTCTTTGCTTTTCTTTGACTAGCTTGTTCACTCTGTTTCAGATTTTATAACTCTCTTCCACCCATAAGCAAGTTCTACGGGACTGCATGCTTATTGGCCACTACAGCCTTTCACTTAGGACTATATGATGTTAATCACATTGCGTTGATATATAAATATGTATTCAAGTATTTTCAGGTAGGAATTTATATAAGCTTGATTCAGAAGAACAGATGTGTAGTTTCTAGATTCTAAGAATTTTCAAAAAGCATTTGATTACGAGTTTTCTCTTATGGAAGATGGTTTTTCTCAATGTGGATCATGGAATGTTGTTCCTATGTTTATTGCTTGTATTTTGCAGCCTATAGGTGATTGTATTATTTTTATTATCCAAGGAAAAAAAGGAAAAAGGAAGAAGAAAAATAAATGGTTATTATATTGCCCAGGGAAAAGTTGTTTATAAATTAAAGTGGATTTATTATTTCTATTTCAGGCTTTTTAAATAGCATTTGTGTATCGTCTAGGACAAAAACTTGTATCAGGGTAGATCTTTATGTTTAAAGTTTGATTCTCTATATAAATTGTGAAATCTCATTTTGTATATAAATATTGTATTAGTATTTTTTTTAGTTAATCAGGAGAATTCTCTTATAACATTGCATATTTCTATAGGTGTGGAGGCTAATTACAAATTTCTTTTTCCTTGGGAAATTTTCTATCAATTTTGGAATACGCCTTTTAATGATGTGAGTATCACTTACTGAAAACTTACGGTCATTTCTGTAACCTAGTTTGAGATGGGTATGGTCCTTTGGTACCTGCAAGTCTGCAAAACTGACACTTCAAGGCTTTAAGCACTTATTCCTTGTGGCAATCTTTTATGATTGTACAGAGCAAGATATGGAGTTCAACTAGAGAAGGGACCATTTGAGAGACGGACAGCTGATTTCTTGTGGATGATGATATTTGGTGCATTCTCATTATTGGTGAGTGAAACCATTTTCCTTCTTATTCTACTTTGTAATCTGGTGGTTCAAATTTTTTGTTTCCAGTGGTGATGAGGGGCTAATCAAGATGAAATATTGTCTTCATCTCGTATCTTTGCTAACAACCACCTTTTAAAGCATGTGGTGCTAATGGTTTCTGATTTAACTAATGATCACCTTTCCTTGTCATTTGTAAATACTGATGTACAAAATGTGCCACATTATCGGACGTGTATCCTAACATCAGTCTTTTTTTTTTCATTTATTATTTTTCCCATCCATTGTCTCCTGTTGTGATTTTAGGTTTTGTCAGCAATCCCAATTTTCTGGACCCCTTTCTTAGGGATATCTCTTGTCTTCATGCTTCTTTATGTCTGGAGTAGAGAGTTTCCAAATGCTCAAATCAACATATATGGCCTTGTGACACTTAAGGTAACCTTAATTGTAACTTTGGCACATAGAATTGGTATTCTATAATCTGTTATGTAAGCTTTCTGGGCTGAGACTTTAAGTTCCTATGCATACTATTTCCATATTTGTGGCTTTAGGCATTCTATCTACCATGGGCAATGCTGGCATTGGATGTTATTTTCGGTGCACCTCTCGTTCCGGATCTGCTAGGAATCATTGCTGGACATCTATATTACTTCTTGACAGTGTTGCATCCTCTGGCAACTGGAAAGGTCATCTTGAAGACTCCTTTGTGGGTGTATCCTTACATTGTCTTTTTACTTGCGGTGAAGAGTATGTTTAGCAGTTTAGCATTTTTTTTTTTTTTTTGTGTGTGTGTTTCCCTAAATGCAATATGATTTATCAACTCCTTGCATGCCATCTTTCAGTTATTCTGTTATTGATAGATATATCTCATAAGATGGTAAATTGTATAATTAGTCATTGATTTTTTCATAATATTTATTTCATCTGTGATCTTTAGAATTTGTTCCAAATCAATTAATCCATCAATGCTCTGTTAAAATTTGGATGGAATATGAACTAAATTTGCCTTGTGGCACTTTGGTGGACATACATGTGGTGCATTTCGGCCAAATCTTAAAGGTATGTTGAGGGATAGATATAAATTTTGACAAATTCCAAAGGTTGTGGATGAAAATGAAACTTTGTGAAAACGTCATAGGCTAATGATGACATTTACTCCATAAAAACATCAGTTTCTTTCGTTTTTACCCTTTTTTAAAATGGTTTGTTGGTGGTATTTTCCTTGACTGCTACTGTTACATAGACACAAACTAGTTGAAAGGTGGAGAATAGGAGCTCCAGCCCAGCCAAGCAGTCGTGCTGCTGCTCAGCCTGATAGATCAACAGGTGTGGCCTTCAGCGGAAGATCATATCGGCTAAATGGATGATTGCTTTACTTTCTGATATCACCTGGCTCAAATACATCATGAAGATTTACCTGTTATCATCTCAACGACCTCGCCATTTGATATTTTTGCTCTTTTCAGATGATGCCACTAACAAAGAAGCAAAGTGTTTAATAACAGCCCAAAACGAAGGAATTATTCAAATAGGTCCCGCCTATTCATGTAATTTCCTTGGGGGAATTGACTATAAATATCTGAAACAAATCCAAATGTTTTAGTGATATTTTGAACTAAGAATGCTAGAATCATTTATTTCCTTCCGATCAAGACTTTATTTGCATGTTATCACTTTTGTTGCGTATTTTTATATTTGCCTTTTAGTTCTTCAAAATTTGTTGTGAAATAATCATAAACTAACATTGTTTCAAGCAACAACAAAGTTACTCCGTATGGAGTACATTTCGTAAACATTTACAAATTTATTAGGCACAAGTGCAAATGCCATAGACGCAAAAATAGAAGAAAAGACTGGGCAATACGACACGTGAAAGGAGAGAGAGCAAAGGAAACAGAACAAAAAAGGAGCTGGGAATGGGATTGGGAGGGGAGGGTCATTGGGGCTGTGGGTGCTAAAATAAAGGCGGACGTGAATGGCAGTAATGAAAAGGAGCAACATGGACGGCTGAGAAATCATCAAATCAGCTTTTTCAAAGCCTTCCCTACCTTATTCTTCGCTTCCTTATTTATTGTCCCTCTCCCCCTTCATCCTTCACCATTACCAAACTTGAATCTCCCTTTCAATATTGCTCCCAATACCACTTTAACGCAAGCAAAAATCCCAACATCTCTTAGTAAATAAAGCCAACTTATAGCGAAGAAAAATGTCGTGGCAAACTTACGTAGATGAGCACTTGATGTGTGACATCGATGGCCAAGGCCAGCACCTTTCTGCCGCTGCTATCATTGGCCATGATGGAAGTGTCTGGGCTCAGAGCTCTGCCTTCCCTCAGGTGATCATATCACATTAATTATGTCACCCTGTTTTCTTTTTTCTTATTTGATCTGATCTGATTCACTTGATAATATTGCATTGCTCTGAATTCTGATCATCACCATCTGGTTATATGATTGGTGTCTGGTTTAATCCCTTTGTCTTGTTTGCAGTGCAAGCCTAATGAGATCAGTGACATCATGAAAGATTTTGACGAACCAGGCCACCTTGCCCCTACAGGCTTACACCTTGGTGGCACCAAGTATATGGTCATTCAGGGTGAGCCTGGTGCTGTCATTCGTGGAAAAAAGGTGATGCTTTATTATACTCATATACAAAGTATTTCGACTTGAAATTACTAATATATAATAATTTGTGTTCAAATTTAGTCTCATCCTTACCACTTGCGCTGAATATTTTAATTGGAAAACTGTGTACGTTTAATTTGGGCAGGGATCAGGAGGGATCACTGTTAAGAAAACTGGACAAGCTCTTGTGTTTGGCATCTATGAAGAACCAGTGACTCCAGGACAATGCAACATGGTTGTTGAGAGGTTGGGTGATTATCTTGCTGATCAGGGCCTGTAGTCGACCTAGCTTCAAAATTCAATGCCTTTTTCATTTTTAAGTTTTGGGTTCCAAGTAATTTGCATCTTATCCCATTGAAAGCTATGTTTGATTGGCATTTGGACTTGGTTGATTGACTTGCTTCCTTCACCATATCTGCTTTTTTGTTGCTTTTTTTGGGTTTTGTTGGTAATCCCCATCAGTGGTTGCAAGATCTTTTTTTCTTTTTTGGCAGTGTTTGTTGCCATTAAAATTTTTCCCCTTATAATGAACGTTTGAATATGCCCTTTTTCTTTGTGAATGAGAGAATCAGATTTCAGGTTCCTTGATTGCCACTTGTTTTCTGAATATCAATGCAAATTTTTTCTGTCATTTTGTTCTGACTTCTGAAGATAATGTGAAAGCTAGCTACCCCCCGCTTCCACAGTATATCTGAGAGAAATGGAAAAATATTTTCCCAAAATGTAATAAAAGAAACATTGAAACATGGAGGCCCACCAATACCCAATTGCTATGCTCATAAAAAAATCAGCAGCAATCACAATCTTCTTTACAGCTGGCTGCAAGGGCTTATTCACAATATGCACATTCCTCAATGAAAATTAATTTTCTTAAAGAGGCTTAGCGTCTCCTTGGCTCAAATGCCTCGAATGATCTGCGGTTTGGACTTTGGATCCAAGTTAAAACGTAAATTCATAATTCATTTTATTTGCAAAATAACTTTTAGTACTTGTATTTTTGTAACAAAATTGAAATAAAATTTGTGCGCATGCTACGCACATAATAATATTCATAAAAATATATAATAATATTGTGATAAAAATTTATAAAAAAAGGTTAATATGGTCTTATTTATATAAAATATAGATGGATTAATTATTTCATTTGCATAACTTTTTTTTTATTATCCCTAGATGTATATAAATCTTGATCAGATTAAATTCAATTTATTTTTTCATTCATTATAAAATAATTTTATAATATTATAAAATTAATTTAAACCATGCGAAAAATATGGCATGCTTACGTAAACTAACACTTATTTATTTATTTTTTTTTGCAAAGTTCATTTTGCAATTCTTATCAATTTTTTCTTTGAAGAAAAAAGGATTTGCACCTTTCCAAAAAATAGACGATTTGCTGCATGGTAAGAGTAAGAAAAAGAGAAAGCTGTTGATTTTGATATTAAACTGAGGATTCGTGTTTGGTTTCGGGATCTATGTAATTTATATTTAAATTTTTAAAATGAGCAAAATCATTTAAATATATATATATATTTGTATTCCATGTATCATTATGAAATGCTTTATCGGCATAAAAAATAGTTTCAGTAAATAAAAAACCATGATAATGGGATTTATTTTTTCAAGAAAGAAATGGACCCCGGAAGCATTGCAAGTTGAGGTCCATGCATTTGGGCATATGAGGAATATGAATATCCATAAATTCAACCAAACAAAACCAATGTATGATACGATCTATCCTATGGACAGTGATGGGTAGTAAATCCTTTAGCTAAAGATAGCAAAAAAAAAGTAGGTTCAAACAAAGAAAGGTGTGAAAAAGTGATTTGGTACAAAAGAAAAGCTGAAGAGATTCTCAATGTTTTCCCTTTTGTTGGAATGGCTACAAAATTGTGGGTATAAATTATGATAAAAAATATATATAAATATGTATATCTAAATTTGAACTTGAATGCCATGGGGAACAATTAGAGCTAAAATGAGCTTGATTTCCTTTTTCTCTTTTTCCTTAATCATTTGCCTTTGGATAAAGATGCTTAGCTGTGCTTCTTTTTGTTTGCCCACAACTATTTCCAATTGCTTTTAAATATAATTAATAATTCTCTCTCTCTCTCTCTCTCTCTCTAAAGTAGCAAATAATGGTAAAGGGGAAAGATTGCTTTCATCACTTCTTGGGAGATGTATAATTCTTATCAAGGACAGATATATGTAAGAACAGGAAGAATATAAAACTAAAACAATATTTCATATCTTCTATGTTAATTTTTAGCGAGGTATTTTTATATAATCTTCTATTCTACGTGTAGTAGTAATTTTTTTTTTTTATCAATAGCTTATATTCATAATTTAATATCTAAAATTACTCGTAGATGTTGATAAAGTTAATGCTGCATATATAACATAATCAATTCCCCGTACTTTTTTTCTTTTTTTGAAAAGAAGAAACAAAATACCAAATTAAATTTTACTTTTTTTTTTACAAAAAAAAAAGAATAAAAGTATAAATCCACCCTATTTCTATTGTAATATCCCACATTTTGTGGGCTTTTTTTTTTTTTTTAATTTGTGCCATATTAGGAAAAAGGGGATTGTGGCCCAAAGAGAAAAATGAAAAAAGGTAAGGAAAAAGGAAGAGGAAAAAAATAGTAGCGTACCAGATCTCGTTATTTCAACGCTATATCTCCGTGTCTCTCCCTTGCATCAGCTTTGCCTTTGCCCCTGCAGTCAAAACACTTTCTCTGACTTGTTTTTCTCCTTTCTCTCAAACTCATCAAAGAGAAATACGCAGAAGTACAGGAAGAAGAAGGAGAAGAAGATGTCGTGGCAAGCGTATGTAGATGATCACTTGATGTGTGAAATCGAAGGCAACCATCTCTCTGCCGCCGCCATCATCGGCCAAGACGGCAGCGTTTGGGCCCAGAGCTCCAATTTTCCTCCGGTTGTTTTCTTACCCTTGTAACTCTTCCTTTTTTTTCTTTTGGTTTAGATTTTCCAAATAGTAATAACATTTCAAGCTTTGGGTAAGGAGATCTGATTCTTACGATTGAATACTCCTTGCATGATTTATTAGCTGATCTGATTTGCTCCGAAAGGATTCATATTTGTTCACTCTTTGCTGATTTTTTTTCTCTTCTTGAAAGTTCAAGTTGGGTTTTTTTCGCTATGATTTATTAGTTTATGTTGCATGAGGTATTGATCGATTTTCCTTTTCATGTTTGGAAAATCTATATGATTTCTGGGTTTGTTTCTATTTCTTAGTTTTATAAGTATTAAGCATCATCTATATGATTTGGATCAAATGAAATGAAGTTTTGATAATGAATCTGTGCAAATGACCATAATTTTAGCAATGATGATAGAAGTAATTAGAGAGATAAATGTTTTGAATACTACTAATCCTGTATATTTTGTTTTTAAAGATAGGATTTTTTTCTTTGGATTTAAAAAGTGAAAGGTTACGGTTTTTGCCCTTTCTGATCAACATGTGCTTATTGCTTCTCGGTTTTATGTTTATTTCAGTTCAAGCAAGAAGAAATCAATGGCATCATGAATGATTTTGCTGAACCTGGATCACTTGCCCCAACTGGGTTGTACCTTGGTGGTACAAAATACATGGTGATCCAAGGTGAAGCAGGAGCTGTTATTCGAGGGAAGAAGGTGATGTTCTCCATCTGTTCTGAGTTTTATTTTGTTTATGACACTGAAAAATCTCATGTTCACAAGCATTCTTTTACATTATGTTTAATGCAAATAGATTTGTCATTCATACATTTTGTTCTGAGTGTAATTTCTAGTATGATAAAAAAAGAAAAACCTATATTGCACTGAATTTCTTTTTTTTTTTCTTTTTGGGTGAAATCCCAAACTTCATTTGCAAACTCGTGCAGCACTTATGCTCATTGGGAAGTGATATTACTTCTGATTAGCTATTCAAGATTGGGTACATTGATGCTGTGCTCTCATATGTATTTGGTTTGCACTTGGCTTTTGCTGTTATTTTTTTCTGTGCAGCTGTTATCTTGTGCCCCCATACCCTGAGATTCCCGAGGGAGTGCATTTCTTCAGACAGAGACACTTCGAGGAAGGAAAGGGGGGGCTATGACGGATATACAGCCACTACTGCATAACTATCAGCCACTGTCTAATACTTTTGGTTTCAAGTCTTGGTTGTATTCTGAGCCTTTGTCATTTTAATTTCAGGGACCTGGAGGTGTTACTGTTAAAAAGACCAACCTGGCCTTGATCATTGGAATCTATGATGAGCCAATGACTCCGGGCCAGTGCAACATGATTGTTGAAAGGCTTGGTGATTATCTCATTGATCAGAGTCTTTGATCTCTTTGGTGTGCCTTATTTGTTGCAATTCTTCTTGGCTTCTATACAAATGTGCATCTGCCACCTCCTGTGTTAATGGTTGGCGCGCAGCTAAATAATAGTATTACTAGTATTAAAGTCACGGGGAACCTTTTCCAGAAACAAAAGGCTTGGTGTTTGTAATAGTGATGCTTATGATCTATTGCGTTGTTTCTGTACTTGTTTGATGGATGGTATTATCAAGATTGTCAAGTGAGATACTTTGTCTACATTTCAATGGATTTTCTAGTGGATTTGGTAATTGGCCAAGTTCTTTTTTGGTTTTTGGCTCAGGGGAGGGTATAACTCTTACAAGGGAGAAAGGGGAGGAAATCTTGGCTCGAAACCAGGATCTCTATGTTTTAATAAAGCTTTGTTAGTCACTAAACCAAGAGGTCCTCTAGGCGGAGGACAATTGACCAAGTTCTTTTAATCTTATGTTTCCTGCAAAAAGCATTAAGACTATATAAATCTGACTGGAAGAAAACCTGTGTGTGATCATTTGACGCTTGTTGTTTTTGGTTCGGGTGGCGAAAACAAGGGTATTTAGTGGTCTGTGTGCAAGGGTTGAAACTTGTTCCTTCCGCTATTAAGTGCAGCGAAACAAATCGAATCCTAGCTTCACCCATTTTGAGTCTTGCAATTACATTTTTATGGGTACAAATGAATGATATCTATGGCTTGGTAGTTGATGTTGTTTCGACATAATCCTTACTTTGTTAAAACTAGTTTGGGTTGTGAAGATGGATAAGGCTTTCATATGGTGGTGCATGTGCTGCTTGCTAACTGCCTAGTTGGTAGCGGAGGCGATTAGAGAAGGACTTGCTTGTTTAACTGAAGAATATTCAATCCTCTCAAATGGCTATTCTCCTTATAGAATGAGACAGGATAAGCACCCAAAATGGTACGGACCGGATTGCCGTTGAAGATTTAATACTCGGAATCTCATGGCACCTTCAAATTTCTAGGGAATGAGAATATATAGGTTTGCGAGGACGGTAGCACTAGCAGCATGCCTTGGCCAATTGCGGTGTTGAATTTATTCATAGGGATAAAAGATGCCCTTCTATTTTTAATTTACATCAATATCGTCAAGTTGGATGATTTTGTCGTATGGCAATGAGAATCAAGATCAGCATCCATTCAAAATTTAAACTTGTTAGCTGGGGCAACGTGATTGTTATGTAGAGGGTTAAATTAACAGACTTTAAGAATGTTACGTGAGGTAGTGGAATTAATATAAAATATTCGGATGAGAAAGAAAGACCCCCATGGCCTTAACAGGATACAGAAATCGCACCACATTTAACACAAGCAGCAGCAGCAATGGACAGCATAATACACATTCTCGTTTTACAGGATCTCATCAGCACAACCAATACCATACAAAAACTAGAGGCAGCTGCAAATTGTTCGCCACCACAATTTTCTTGAATACATCTCCATCATCTTGTGAGGGCTAACTTCATATACGTGTCAGACTTCTCATCTGTCTTCAAATTGATGTGCATCTAACACATTGCCCAGGTTCAAAATAAAAAAGGGAATAATGTCGTCAGAAAGAAACCAGCAATCCATGCACAAACTTCAGTACGTGTGGAGGAAGAAGTACTAGCAATGGCAGTCATATTACTTGCTGCTGTTTTGTTGAACCTGCATGATCATTTCACAAGAATTACTTTAGTACATTCTATAACGAGTGTCCAAAGATGAAATCAAATTAAAGGAAGCAGGATTGTACTGAAATATAACAATAAAAAAGGAGCTATGATACATGAGATGTTTCAGAATCAGTACTTACCCTCTAGAGGTCAGATAGATGCATTTATCATAGCCTGCACAAATAATTAAAAAGATAAGTTTCTTGTCAAGCAAGATCATTCCAGAAGAGGATTCTAAATGACACCATCAACACTGAAGAAATCTAATCAACAAACAGATACTGCTAGTTTTTAGACTTCAAAAATCATGCCCAACTAAGCTGTTAAAGATAGATTAACTAAAAGGTAAATGACGATTTATAGTATCACCTGAGTACAGGCACATTGGAGCAAAGTTGTAGTTTGTTAAATCAAATATGGTTTGAAAAATTAGTTCACTTAAGCTAAGATTAACACCGAGCACCTCAGTTGGTATAAGAGGAAGGAATAAGCATGTGTTATGCAATCTTGTCAGATTCTGCATAAAATTATAGACTTACTAGGATCCTTATCAACTTTAACTCCATTTCCTCCAAAACTGCATGCAACATCACTAGCCCCATTTTGCTGGTAGTAACTGTTGAATGCGAAAGAGGCATGAGAAACTAGATTATCTGGCTCAAAACATGGCTGGCTAGGCTGAATGGCAGAGCAATCTACATTTCCAGGACCACAAGCCCAATCTAGGGCATGCTGTAAATCCGATTCAGAAGCCTTGCTAGAAGCGATGCACCAGGTTGTTCCATTTGAATTGGTACCATTCGCACCATGTGTCATATCAACAGCACCTTTTCCAGTGAAGTCCAGGTTATACACACTTGTCTGATCTGGATAAAATAAACCCCAGTTTCTCTCTGATTCCAGTCCAGGCTTCCTGTTCTCATTAAACAATGAGAAAATATACACATCTAGCTCTTCGCCAGGCTTGGCAGGTGTACCAGAGTCAGCAATAACATGACGAATTAAATTGGTGTTATAAGTCTGGGCATTGTCAGGAGTAGCAGCCTTCTCTTTTGGTGAACCTTTGGAAGGCCAGCCAGTTTCCGTGACCATTATCCTAATTGTCCTGAAATTTAGAGCCATCAGGGCAAAATTAATAGCATCTATCTGGGCATCAAACATGTTTGTGTAAAGTAGACCGGTGTTTGGATCTATGACTTCTGACGATGACTCAAACAGAGCATAATCCAAGGAGACATTGTTTGGAGAATCTCTATAAGCATAATAAGGATATAAATCAATCATAAAAGGTGACTGGTTCTCAGCTAGGAATTCCAACATAGGTTTCAAGAAAAATGCATGGCTGCTGTTAAAAGCCCCAGCAGAAGGTGGGAATGATCGGGATAGAATCCCTAGGGAATGGGTACTTGAAACCTTAATCCTCTTGTGCAGGCCAACCTTTTTCAATGCTGTGAGGACATTATGCATAGCAGGTACAACCAAGGCGGAGGTATTACCAGGGCTCTCTGTGACTTCAAGACCTACAGTAATGTACGTGATCTTTGTGGCTGGATAGTATGGAAGGATGCTATTCTTTAGCCAGGAATCTGCATTTGATTGGAACTGGGAAAATGCTAGCAAGTCTGAATTTGAAACTCCCACAATAAGTTCAACGCCAGTGTTTGCAAAGGCCTTCAGCACTTGGATATTAGAATCATAAATCCTGAGGTATTTAATGTTGTGAAGTTGAACCAATTGTGCAACTTTATCAGGTGTTGGAAGATCATCAGCATTCCTTCCATAGCAAACTCCAACCATGCTTCCCCTGCAGAAATCTGCCATAGAAATTGGCATCAGGTATAGTCCTCAACTAGCTATTTTACCAAGTTTAATTGCCAAATCAACTGAGCAACCTTACAGGAAGATGGAAGATGAGCAAGTAGAAATTCTCATATAACACAAATGATACAATATGATTAAAGAAGAAGAAGGACCAAGAAAAGAGAGAACAAAGACTTAAATTACAGCATAACTTCAGCAAAAATGTTATACAGTATGTCCCAAAAAGGAATCTTCCAGCAGCCAAATGCTAAAATAATCTCCATTATAAAGCTACATTGGTAACCAAGTTTCTGGAGATACATAAACAAAAAATGGAAAAAGCCCCCCAAAATTCTAGCCGTACAAGATTTTCAAATTCAATTACAGTCCAAACCTCTATCTCAATGCTAACCCAATTTAGTTTGCCAATCAAGCATAAGTTCAAGCCAACTTAAAATGCTGGCTTGTAGCTACAGGCAATCCTCTCAAAATGAAGTATTACAAGAAGACCAATGAGTCTAAGCGTATCTCCTATCAGCATGAAAGAGAGATGATAACAAGGAAAAGAATAAAACACGTTGAGCAAGAAGCATGTGGTGAAGTAAGAATGGTATCCATACATTGCCAGACAAGTTTGCCTAGTCTGTAGAAATCATGTTGTCCAAAAATCCAAACGTTCAAGGTACAAGATTTTCAAGTTCAAAAGCATTTTTGACTTCATTTCAGTAAACATTAAGGAAGATTTAAAACCATTTCAGGTAGTCAATTCTTAGATTTTTTTTGGCCAATAATTCTTCTTAGAAATAATCAGACACGTGATTCAGCATTCCATCATGGAATGTGGCCAATATATGGTTGATATAAACTAAAGAAGATCATCAAGGGGTCCACCGACTAAAACATCACAATCTAGCAGTCCTAGATACTGAAGCCCTACCTACTTGATAGCATGATCTTAAATGCAAGTGGATAACTGCCTGGATACTAAATCCATTTTGTTACATTAAGACTGAGCTAGATAACTCAAATAGCAAGTAATCGAAACAAGGACACCCAGACCCATTTGAGGGAGAGAGTAAATAGGCAACAAACTATTAAGAAAGAGCGACTGATCAGAGAAAAGAATGAAGCACAAGCAGAGTGCTTAAAAAAGCTGAGATTTTTACTCAAAAGAAATGTGGGTATTCAAAATCAGAGATTAAAGCCTGAAAAATAACAAAGATCTAAGCAAAGATGAATAGAGAAATAGTTAATAGTAAAGCAAAAAAATTTTAGCTCAGAAAACAAGTTCAGGAAAAGAAAGCGGAAACTGAGGCACTGTTAGTCACTGTGAAGAGAAGAGAAGACAAAGATAGGAGGGCATACCGAAAAGCAGAACCAACAAAAAAACTGCAAAGACAAGCTTGAATCTTGAAGCCATTGTTCATATAAAAAAAAAGCCAAAGAATCTTCTTCTCTTCCACTTTAGTCTCTGGGTTTTACTTGGGTCTGTAAAACTTCCAACGTTCTTCTTCCAGAGAATAAGAACTTTTCTTTCTTTGTTTCTCTCTCTCACACTCTTCTCAAAATGCAAAGCAATAAAAAAAAAAAAAAGCTTTGTCTGGGAGCTCGCTCGACAGTGAGAGAGAGGAGCACCTAAGCTTGGCTGGCTGAGCTTTGACGAACGGGAGTGTGTTTGTGTCAGAGTGAGACAGTATTTTCGGACCGGATTTGACAATTGTTTTAATGAATTTCTGTTAAGAAAAGCATCTCGATTCCGCTGCGTGTCCTTGGGCATGTTTGTTCTCTTCTGTGTTCTTCTGTTCCCAATTCCCCACACTATTTTCTTTTTCTTTTGATTTATGTATAATATATATATATATTATATTTATATTGTTGCCACTGCCCATTAACTCGTACTTACAAAAATAGCCAACAAATTCATTGCAACAAAAATCTCCTCCACTATTTCTGACTTTTTCTTCTTTTTTTTTTCTTGCATGCGACAATGTCATGTTTATCATTTTTTTTTCCTTTTCTAAAAAAAACAATTAAAACCTAGATGGAACATAATACCACGTAGATCGTGGTACAAAGTTGCGGTTTCATGTTTGAAAATCTCTTTTTATATTTCTTATATGGGGAGACGGAAAATTCCAAATGTGACAAATTGAACTAAGAAATTGAGTTAATTTTTTAAGCGGTCTTTCCCCTTTGAATTTATAACGACTTCTTTTTCACTTTCTCACTAACCAAGCAGAAAAAAAAAAAAAAAAAACAGTCTTAACTCTCTTTTCTTCTGAAGAGTCCGATATAAAACCCCTAACCGAACAGTTACTATACGTAAAGAAAATGAAGAGCAAGAAACCATTGAAGCAACTGAAGCTGTCTGTTCCAACCCCAATCTCTTCTTTCCTGCAAGTTTTTCTTCTTTATTTTTTCTATTCCTTAAGCATATTTCGAGATTGCTTCGATTTTTAATTCACTAGAAATCGCTTCTAGTATCAAAGTATATGGCTTGATCGGCTTATATTCTCCATCGCATTTGCTCTGTTTCGATGCAGGTCATCCAAATGAACATACAAGAAGAGATTCGCAAGCAAATTGTGCAGGGCCTAACCATTCTTTCTATAACTCTTGTCGTAGAAAACATGGACCGTTGATCTCTGGGTGATGTGATCAGACAGGTTAAAACAATTCTTGAACCATATCTTGCAGTTGTGTTAAGCAGGTTTTCTTCCTTCTTGTGAATTGAAATTTCATAAATGACTCAACAAATGTCCTAGCAAAAGCAAAACAAGTCTCTTCTTCATGAGTCTTTATATTTCAGGTCCTACAAGGTCTTGTATATTTGCACCATGAAAGGCATGTAATACTGATACACACTGGTAAACCATAAAGGTGAAGTGAAGATCAGCTGATTTTGGTGTCAGCACAACGCAAGCTAGTTCCATGGGCCACTATGAAATACATTTGTAGGGACTTACAACTACATGTCAGTATGAGGAGTCTCCACACTGTTCAAATCAATTTGTAACACTTTTGTTTTTGTCATTCACTTCATAATTCATTTGCTTGTGATTAGCTATTTCATTTGCTTTTGTAACACACTCAATGTGTTTATCCTCACGAAGATTGGATATCCTCAAGTGGGAGCTGTTACGACTATAGCAGTGAAATATTTGGAGTTAGGGTATGGTAGTGCTTGAGTGTGCTATTGGATGTTTCCCGTATATGCGATCGGAAGATCAGCAAAGCTGGCCTAGCTTTTATGAGCTTTTGGAGGCAATTGTGGAAAAGCCTCCGGCAACTGCTCCTCCAGATCAATTCTCTCCAGAGCTCTCTTCATTTGTATCAGCCTGGTCAATACTTGCACGTTTATTTTGCATTATATCAACTCATCCAATAGATCTGTCAAACTTGGTCTCTAAGTGCCTGTTTTTTGGAATTCTTTCGCCATTGTATAGGCTTCTAGTGTAAGCTACCAACTATCTCCAATATGCTATCCATTGTTTTTTGGAGCATGTAGCAAGAAAAATTGGTGCACAAGTCCATTAAATGATGTAATCTCACCTATACAAAATCACTAGAATCCAAATTTTGATCCTCAGAGGCTCATTTAATGTGCTTTGGCAGTGATTTCATGTTCTCTAAAAGTGGTGGATGTTGTAATATACTACAATTTTCTTTAAAGACAACCCATTTGCACTTCATTTGAGATTCAATGAACAATTGGAAACTCTTATTCAATGAAATGTAGCCCATACTTGCCTTTGTAGTCATCATTTTGTAGTATCTACCTGAAGTTATCGGACAGCAGAATCTCTTGCTAGTTACATGTTTGTTGTGTAAAGTGAGCCATTCATGTGGAAGCTTACCTGCTTCTTGAAGATGAAAAATCGTTGATACAGTTAGAAATTTGGTTTATTACTTTTACATGGAACGATTGTCTTGGGGCTTTCCAGATGAACAGTTCAAATTGATGTTATGACGCTAGGGATCTTGTTGAACCATTTACATCTTATGCTCTTTACAGATAAATTTGCTTGCTAATTTCATTCTACACATGGAGAAGTCAAGAACTACGCAGAATCTACTGCAAATGAAATGAACTATAGTGAAAAAATGTTATGACATTGACAACAATGACAAAAAGAAATAATCTGTTGGCAGAGTTGGATGGATGAGACAAGCCAATAAGATCTGTGGGTACTAAACTTAGGAAGAATAATTAATAGCAGAAAGGGTTGATTAGGATCCGAAGCTGTGGGCACTAAAAGGGGTAAGAATGTGAGAGTAAGGACGGTGAGGCCTACCTGCAAAAGCATGTGGCGGCATTTCCATTGCCCATCAAATAGCCTACTACGCATCATGATTTGTTCCTAAGTCAACCTTTATCCTTATTCCCTGCCTAACCAATCTTGCGCCCGCCCCCCACTTCCAAACGAAAACATTAATGCAAAAGTAGTATGTTATACATGATAATTATTCAACTGTAATAATAAATTATGTAGGAATTTATTATTTATAAATATAAATTTTGTATAAAATTTTGATAAATTTCATATAATTTTAAATTATAATTAATTAATTATATTACAATTTATTTGTACAAAACCCATCAATTCGTGCAAAACGGAAAAGGAAATCATTTTTAAGATTATTTTTATGCATTGGCACTGATCTGTCTAAGGTTAACACCTAAAAAACTTTTGGCCTGGATATTGCTAAATTCTGATTGAAATTAGGAATGCCATTAGAATTTTTTTTTTCGTTGAGAGGAATTGTCAACCATGTTTTCTTAAACGATTTATTTGCTTTTTGGCCATATAAAATTAGCTGTTCCAAAAAAAGAAGGCAGCTGCTAGGAATAGGATAGATTGAAATTGTTATTTGAAATAATTTTATGAACATAAAGATCCTATTCACCAGCTGGCAATTACAATGAAACAATAAAGCTTCATCAGTCAAACAGCTGTATTAGTTTATTCTTTGCAATCAAAGCAAATTGGTAATTAGATGGATTTTGTGATCCTTTGAATTAAATTCTAATAATCTTCTGATATGTGAAAGTTGTAAAAAAAAAAAAAAAAGATAATATCAACAAAAATAGAAAGTAAACTCTTGTGAAGAATTTATAAGGAAACTGACAAGAACATAAATGACTTTCCAAATATAGCCAGAACAACTAGATGGCAAAATGAAATATATACAAGAATATTTTTGTATATAAGGCATCAACAGGACAATACAAATTTGTCAAAGAATAAATTATTACTGCTATATTTTGGAGATTGAATGGGGAAGAAATTGAATTTCTAGCACTCACCACCAAAGGGAGGAGAAAAACAAGAATTAGTGATAAAAAAAAAGTTTCCCTGAACTTATAGGAAGGTTCTTGTACCAATAATAGAGATTCCTTCTCCTTTGCTTCAACTTTTACAATGTGATTGTCTTGAGACATGAAAATATGTAACATATGTCATGGCATTTTGAGGCAAAGTTGCCAAAGATAGTGACGTCACTTTCAGCCCCTCAAAAAAAAAAAAAAATAGTGTGACTCGGGTGTGGTTGCTTTCAAATTTAGGCCTTATCCGATGGCCTTAAGAGTATGGGAAAGCTAATAAATTTAGACCATAAGGAGATGATAATGCCAAAACTTGGAATAAAGGAAGGGAGCAGAAAAAAAAAAAAAAAACCATTTATTAAACCTGTCAAGTTTATCCACTGCTTGCATAACACACCAAATATTATCAATAAAATATTGCTGCTATTTTTTTTATTATAAATGTAAATCAAGAATATCAAGCAAGCAATAGCATGTATATATATATATATATATATATGCGCTCCCTCCTAGAAGGCCACATAGTATGTTGGGTTTTCAGAACTCGGGGATCTTTTTCGTGTTCTTGTTCCTGCGATATTTCAGAACTCGGGGTTTTCAGACTTAATCCAAAAGGGTGAAGAAGAAACCCAAATACTTCAAGATATGAGTGCGAAGAAAGTGGATGGTAACGAAGCTTGGTGCAGTAACTTGACGATCGTGGAAGGAGGTAATAACAATGAAATATGTGACTCAGTATCCATTGAATCCTCCTTTGAAGGAAATTCAGAAAACTCCAATTCTTCAATATCTTCATCAGACTTGGTTGAGGATGCATCATTTTCTGCAACATCATCATCATCATCTTTATCATCCAATGGGCCTCTATATGAATTATCCGAGCTCATGGCTCAATTACCTATCAGGTAGGCAACATCTTTTCAATATATTCTAAAATGGTTGAGAGTCGGGTATATGATTGATGGAGGAGTGGTTGATCAATATTTTATATGTCTATAAATCATGTGCAGGAGAGGACTTTCTAAACATTATCAAGGGAAGTCTCAATCTTTCACATCTCTAGCAAGCGTGAGGAGCATAGAAGACCTTCCAAAGAAAGTGATTCCTTTATATAATAGAACGAAACTGAAATCATGCAAGAGCTATGGATGGGGACTAGATGGTCACCATAACAAGTCATATAGCCCTAAGGCTACGATATCAAAGAAGGGTTCTTCCGCCCGCGGTTGTTTTGCGTCTTCTCTAGGTAAGAGAAGTACTAGCACTACTCTAGTGATTAGTGAATGATTAATGTAAACCCAGCTAGAACTAGCTCGCCAAGAACCTTCTGATGTGCGTAATCAGCTGAAATTACTGCACGTACGATGGTTCATTCTGCAGAGCAGCAAGAAGATGGTTTTTGAATGTATAGCTGCTTTTAGATTTAATTAAGAAACCATTGATCAACTTACCATTTATTAGGATTCTTTAACAAAGAAAAGGAAGTATGGCTTTGTGAAACATGAATATAATGGAAAATTAAAATTGAAGCAATTCTTTAATTTTCAGCTCAAATAACTTCAACGTTCAAACCACCGCCTGAACGCATAATGAACCCGGTAGCCGCTTTTATAGGTGGTGTTGATTAATGACATTTTCATTCACCATAAAGCAGCAAATTGTTAAATTTTTTAAGCTTTTGAATGAATCAAAAAGATAAGACTAGTCAAATGGAATTCATCTTCGGACCAGAAATTGAGAACCGTACGTAGTTGGAGTGGAAAACATAATAAATTCACAAAAAGTTGGCCTGGAGGCATAGGAAATCATAATTATCAACATAAAATATAAATTCACAAAGACTTGCCCCGGCATGAGGGACAAGTAGTATTTCCATATGATATTTGGCATGTACACGAAATCAGAATAATCCAACGTTTTCGGTTCATCCGCCCCTATTTTCCATGGGTATTGTCGTATTGTCTTGCCTTGTTGAAGAATGAAAATAAATCGGCAAACATATATTACGTGCACAAACAAAACTCTCCAAATAAATAAGTAATGAGATCAGTATACAATTGTCAAAAGATCAAAGGATATATTATGAACTTACATATATCCCTTTCTCACGAGGTTGTAAGATTACAAAATACTATCATATCTTGTAAATAGGTGTGATTCCCAGGAGATTGAAGCATTTTCTCATAACCACAGCGGTTGCTTCACATAATAGTAATCGACTCGTTTCCACATCTGACCCAATAACCTGCCCAATTCATTGATATAATGGAAGTTACATAAAAAGGCTAAAAACAGCTAAACCCACATGTATATGCATTTATTCATGTTATCTAAGTTAAATTGCCACAACAAAGAATTTGCTCTGTAGCTAAAATTTTCTTAATTTCAGAAGTAGGATGTGTATTGTGTAATGGTAGAAAAGTCCATCTTCTGAGCTAGTTTGTTCTGATATCTTTTGAGGGCAAGTGACAATCAATAACAAAACTTTATTTTACCAAGAAACTATATATTAGATCATGGATCATACCTTGCACTCGGGGTTGCTATAAAATTTCGAGAAGATTTCAGATAAATTATAGAGGTAGTCACACAAAACATTTGGTAACAAATTGGTAAAGGCCTCTTCAACAACCTGAACCCAAAGATAAAAATTCTCAAACCAAGCACAGGTCAAGAAGCAAGGAATGGATTGAATTTTTTAGTTCTTACCTCTGCAAACTGTAGCAAATGAAGGCCCAAATCACGTTCATCCTTGTGCCCCAATACTACTGTCCCCTTCTGTTAAAAACAAACAGATACAGAAGGCATAAGTTGCAGACATTGAATCTGCTACAAAAGAGTACTGCTACAAGCCTTATCAGAGCATACATAAATAGAAAATAGTTGCCGCTCCACTTTTTTAAGTGAAAGTTCTAGATTAGAATCCATATGCAGATACATTGCAAAATATATTCCACACCATCCAAAGACACAAAACTACGGCAAGCCTCAATTCTTCCTGCCAAAAAAACTGGTTCTTTTATTTTCATGTCAATACAGGTTGGATGCAAAATAACAAGTGCAAATGCAACTAAAGGTTGGATGCACAATAACAAGTGCAAATGCAACTAAAAGTTTCAGGATGAGAGGGAACTTACATTCTTCAGTTCCTCTATATCTGTACCAGATTTCCTGATGATTGAACATATTCGAGCATGGGCATACAGCAAATAAACAGCAGTGTTGCCCTGCCATAGAAAATTTTAGGAGGCACGAACCGATGCTAAAAGTAATTGTAGTAATAGCAACAGTAAATAGATTAGTAGGGGCAGCAAACAACAATCAGAAGAAAATAAACATAAGAAACCTTCATCATAAAAATATTCATTAGAACCCAAAATGATGAAACAAGTTAGCTTCACAAAATCTGCAGTCTAAAAGCAAGAAAATTGTTTAGGGACCTTATCATTAAGCATCTGGTCAAAATTAAATGTGTAATTGGTCAATCTGTTGTTCTTCAAGTCAGCATACCTGCAATCAGAATTCATGAATATTAAAACGATGACATGGAACAAGAACTACTGAGAAGATCATAGCAATAACAGTTAAATTGGATAAATAAGTTTATAGCATAATAAGTAGCTTACTTTACAGCACCATAACCAACAGCCTCAGCAGTACTCTCAATCTCCTCCTCAGTCCATTCTTCACCCTTGCCTGATCAGCACACAAAGAGCAATTTCAGATACAAGTTTGAAAGGTTGAAAAGGCTAAAACTTAACAACAGAATGAACTTGCATTAACACATACATCACAAATAGTTTTTCAAACATAAGGTACTCAAAAAGAGCCGAGAAACATTTGTAACAACAGAGATATGGTTCAATATTTTACCGCGCTCAATAAGCACTGCTTTACTTCGACTCTTGGCTTCATCAAGTAGATCAACCAATCGAACTACTTCAGTGTTACGGGTTCGAAAACGCTTGCCATCTTCTCCAAGAACAAGTCCAAAACTGACATGGCTAGCTTTGGGATATGAACTATCACCTTGTGGAAGCCACCCTGCACGTTTGGCAGCCTGAAAAATAAACCAGAATACTGTCAGACCTATGTGGATAGAGGTCAAAAGTTGTAATGATCCTTATTTGTGGTATTCAACAGCCATCAATCTAGTTGTAGTAAATAAAGGATTTTAAAAGATTACTCATCAACAGAATCCAGGAAACAGCTTTGAGAACATACTTTGAACACCATATCAAAATGCTGCTGCTGGCCTACATCAGTAACGTATATAATCCACTCAGCTTTCTCTTCATTGAGGCGATACCTACAGATTACAAGTAAAAAGATTGATAAAAAGGCTAATTAATTCCTATGACTAGGCTAACATATTCCGTATCAACACGGTAAAATAGTAACCTTTATGAAACACATGCCATAATCACTAAACAGTTAACTACTCAAAGCAAATTGGTCTAACAAAGGACCCCATGAGATCAACATGAAAAAGGAAACAATAAGCAATAAATCTTAGCCACTCTAATTTCAGTCAATTCTCTTGGTTGCACATAAATCTTACAGATCTCGCATATTCTGCAAGAAATGAAAAACAGCAATATAGGTTAATATCATCATATTCATGGAAGAAAACTTACCAAAGGGCAGTCATATCAGTTGATGCATAGTTGAAACCACCATCACTCTTCACCACAATAAGTGGTATATTAATGCCTTCAATAAAGATAACACGAGCTCCCTGACTTTCCTCAACTAATCCTTGTTTAGTCAATGCGTCTATAACCCCAGGAATGTATGGATTATAAAAACTCTCCCCCTGTCAAAAAGGAAAAAGTCATAAACATGTAAAACCAGCACATCATTTGCACTACAAACAAAACTTGCTAGTTTACACAAATTTAATGAGGTTATAAAAAATTTGCATTCAGCAAAAAGATGCAATTCCTTCACTATCGCTAGCTCAGTAGAAAATCATCAAAGTTGTGTAATCGTGTATAATTGCAACTGTGTAAGATTTCTGGTGATTATATAAATGTTAAAATCAATAAATATGATATTTACAGTTTGTACAAGATTGAAGATGATTATACAAATATGCCCTAAATATAAAGACCACTTAAAAGTAAATCATAAAAAAAGAGATTTCAAATGATCTGAGAATGTCACAGAGAGAATTTCATATAGAGGTACATCAGAAAAATTACCTAAGCAGGCCAAAGTATCATCAATACATAGAACTTGTGGTAATATTACTTACCTTTTCCTCTAGATGAACTGCAAGCCGTTGATAGACCTTATGAAATTCAGTCCGGCTGATTTCACATATTTTTGCCCATGCCCTACGATACTTGTCTTCTCCACCCTGAAATGAGTGTAAATGAACACAAGTGCATCCAGAAGAAAAAACCAACAAATACTGAACAAGGTAAAATTTTACCTGAAGCCGCACCACTGCCTGTTGAGCTCTCTGCTTAAATGCAGGGTCAGCATCAAATCTCTGCTTTGAAGCTTTATAAAATGCCTAAGAAAGTCACTCAAGTTATGATTACAACAATCACTTGATTTTGATAATCGATATGACATCTTTTCATTTGTAAATTAATTAACAGACATAGATTCATCAAATATATAGAAATGATAATTAATCTCATACTAATAAGAAATACAAAATTGAGCTTCTTGATGCCAGAAAAGCAATCTATTCATGTTTGGTGGAGAAATATAAAGATAAAGAAAAGAATTACTACTAAGTTCCAATTTGGTTTAATCCATCTACAAGAAATATATTTTATAAAAGTTTCAAACAATTATATGCTTAAAAGAGCAAAGATTCAATGGTTCTTCAAACGATACTGCTTGATTAGATAAGAGTTTTTGAATAAAACATCACCAAAAGCTAACACATATAGCATATTTCGTTGACACTTGTCCTGCCGGATCATGCTACCAGTGCTTGGCACATTTCTGCTAAGCTTCAAATTCAATGGAATTTGACAGTATTCACTCACCTGTAGATCTCCAATGGCTGCTTCAGTTATGTCTTCAAAGTTTGGAAACTTTTCAAAGAGGAACTCAATCAGCATGCCAAACTGCAAGACATATAGGAAAGTTTTAAAAAAAATAGTTACTATAGTGACATGCTGAAAAGATATATAAACTTCTGCTTTAACAGTGGCAAAGTTCAAATGGAAGTGTAAGACAAATTAAGAGCCGATGCATATGGCAAGAAACTACAATAAGATGAAAGACTACAGCCCATTTCAATCAAGAACGGCACCCAAGATTAGATACAAACTTCACAGTAAAGCATTTATTGAGCGCAAACAAGAATACATGCCTTCCATGAACAATTCAGAAACAACACCAACCTGTGTCCCCCAGTCACCAACATGGTTTCGCCGAAGAACTTCAACTTTGGAAAATTCAAGCATACGAGCAAGTGTGTCACCAATAATTGTAGACCTCAAGTGACCAACATGCATTTCTTTTGCTACATTAGGGGATGAAAAGTCAACAACTGCTGTTTTGACTGGCGGCATTGGTGCCCATGTATCAATACCTTCAATTAGCATCTTTTGAATGCTCTATCAAACAACAAAATAGCCAGGTTATTTATAAGACCAATGCAATAGCTACAACAAGCAAAACCAAATCAAGTTGTATAAAAGAAAATGAAAACTATTCATGGAAGTAAGTTGATGACATAAACGAAAAATGGAGGAACATGTGAACCACCTTAGCCATCCAATTCTTTGACAATACCACATTTACAAATCCAGGACCAGCTACAGAGCATGATTCTATCATTTCAGAAGATGGGAGATTATTCTTGATTGCCTAACAAAAGAAACAAGGAAATGAAAAGAATAAAACAATGATTATCTAATGATTCAAAGTACGATACAGGAAACATGCTCCTTCAGAATCAAATCATCCCCACCTCTCCAACTGCTGGAGGCCCACGAAATTGTGTACCCTTCCCTTTTATTTTAGACCACAGGCCCATGGCATTGTTACTGCACCAAATAAATTCCCAATTTGGCATAAAAAACTAGTTCATACAAAAGGTTAAATTAAGTTAACCTTACTTCTAATAACAAATAATCTACCATTTCATAACAACATCAAAACACCAACTAAGACATATGGTATGTTTTTGCAATAAAGGAAGTTATACCATACCATTGGTAATCACCAAATTTGCCACCGCAAGCAGCTACCAATGGCTCTACATCAGGCTCATTAGGAATGGTTACTCTAAGTGAAGCTTCAAATAGTTTTGCTAACTGTGCCTTCACATTCCCCATACATTCTTCCTCTTCCTAAACCACATTTTGGAATAAACTAATCAGTAACCCTTTTCTTTTCTAGAAAAATACAATTAATGGAGGAATTTTCAGTTGAATGAACTTACAGTTACAGTTGCCATGGTCGTGATTGACCGTGTCTTTGTTGCCGAAGCCAGTCTTCTAGATGTCACTCTCAATAAATCTGTCTAATTTTTGGGTTTATCAAATAAAATTACTACGAATACTCAATAAATTTCGAATTTAAGAAAACTAATAACAAACCAAAGTAAACAGCCAAATAATATGAAATTGTTCACTCAAAAAAAAAGAAAAATGCAGTCAAGTGAATTCTCAATATTACATGGAATATAGCAGTTGCCCAATTCAACACCTTCCTTAATGCATTGTGACAAGACATTCTGAACAAAGTAAAAAAAAGGGAAAATCACAAAACTATTAAGTGATTTAATTTTCAAAACATGAAAAAATAAAACGTGACATTGAAGCTTCCATCTTAAAACACAGTACATAAGAAAATCCACCAAAAAGAAAAGGAAAAGAAAGGAACTCCAAAAATAGTATAGAAATTTGTGCATGGAATGTGAGAATAAGCATAGGAACTCTGAAGAAAGCTGAAAGAAGTAAATAAGCAGAATGAAAGAGAAAGAGAACTTACCAGAGGCGGCGGCAGAGATGGAAGGTGAGAAGTGGAAACGAGAGAGGCGATTGAGAGAAAGCAATAGAAATGGGGATGCCGGCTGTACTGAAAGGGTTAAGGATGCCAGCATATCTTTTCTCTTTATTATATTTTCAATGTCTTTTACTAATACCACTCCTAAAACCCTTTAATTCCTTCTTTCTTTTATTTCCTGCTCCCTTCGACGCTTTTCTGTTTTTAGGGTTTCTTTTTTCATTTTTTTACTAAACTTTATTATTTTGTTTCCTCCGTTTTTACAGTTCTGACCAATGTAATCTTGTCACGTCAGCCACTTGAAGGCCGGGACCTATTATAAACTACCAAAAAATTAAAATTTATTGAAATGAGTGAAAAAAAAAGTAAATTAAAAAATAGAGTTGATTTTCAAATATTTTTATATTTTGGTTTTTCCCGTTAATAAAAAAATTATATAAAAAATCATAGACATGGAAAGTTTTCTTTTTTTAAAAACCACATAAAAGACACATGTAATGTAATATCAGATATTTGATAAATGCTGCAAGATAGGCTTTAGTATCATTTTCAAAATTAAGATGATTTTATTATTCATTATTTAAAATAATTTTATTTGATTAATAATTATTAATTTTTATAAATTAAAAATGATCGTATTTTATATTATTATAAATTACATATGATTTTATTTAAATATATTAAATAATTATGTATATTCTAATAATTATATAAGTTAATCATTTTAATATTATTTAAATACAATAATTTATAAAATATTAATATTATCAAAATGGAGAGGATTGTGATGCAGTCGGATTTGATATAACATTTAATTATGTTTTGTTTATATATTTTGAAATTATTAATTATTTTATACCAAAAAATAATTATTTTTTTCAAATTATAATCTTATTTTTTAAATATAAATCAAATATATATAAAATAATTGTAATTTTATAAATTTTTTATGCATTAAAAATATCTATGTACATAATATGAAAATAATATTCTTACATCGCAGCTGAAGTTGAACTCCCCAAACAAAGAGCACAACATCATTCAACATTCAATCAAACACATCAATATTCGACCGTGACGAACAATGCTCAATCAGTCAATCTTAATACATGGAAGCAAAAACGAAAGCAATACGCCACGAACAAGCACTGCCAATAATTTCAGTCGTTTCAAGCTCAAAGCAATTAACACGCGCTTGCAAATAGCAATTCTTGCTTAGGGTTAACGCCGAGCTTAATATGCTTCTTTTTTTCTGCCCAATAAGCTTAATAGGGAGAAACAAGTTTCACGAGATCCAAACGCGTCGTTAACGTAACCCTGAACAATTTAGCCACGCGTACCGCACAGATCAATCAAGCCCCAACTCTTCCACGAACAACGGTATAACCTAGCTTTACGTGATGTTGTCCCCGACAGAACATTTTTAATTGGTATCGTCTTATCCATTCACGAATCCTTCAATCACCATATTACACACACCCACAGAGTAACAGTCCCCTTTAATTGGTATTAAATTTAAAAATATAAAACAATTACAATTTAAAATTTTTTTATTTATATATTAAATAAATAATTATTATTAATTTTATATATTACTTCACATCAATAATAAATATTTTTACACAACTTTAAATGAAAATTAAATTATTTTCCAAAAATAATAATTTAATTTCTTTAATTATCTAAAATAATTAGTATATAAAATTATCAAATATTAATCAAATACAATAATCTATAATTTTTGAGATGATCATTTCATACCATTTACTAGCTAAGAGGCGAGGAAAAATATAAACGGAACATAATTAAATGTTATATCAAATCCATCTGCATTACAATACAAAAACTTCATTTGAAATGTTTTTGTCCTCTAATTGAAAACAAGGTAGAAGACAAAATAATAGATACATTACTTACTATTGTCTAATTACAGACGATTAAAAGATAGTGAAATATATACCCAAATACATTAAGCTATGTTTGAAAAACTTAGCCATTTTACTTTAAATTCAAAGATTGTGGCATAAAAATCAATAACTTGAATTTAACTCTAAGTCCAAGCTTAAATATTAAATTTGAATTGACCTTTAGATTGTTAATAGAAGAATATATATAAGAATTTTATGATTTTTTTATGCAAAATGATACGTATTATTGATATATTTATTGCATAAAATTATTAATAAAATATAATAAAATGATATTATAATTTTTATCTTATAATTGATATGTATAAAAATTATAATAAGATAATTTTATTCATTAATTAAATTTATTTTTTTAATTTAAATAATTTAAATTGTCAATATAATGTTTAAAAATATAATAAAATATGTAAATTTAATTTTATAAATTAAAAATAAAATTTTTTATTTTAAAAAATAAATTTATTTATACAAATAGATTAATCATTTTCAAAAAATTATATATTAAAAAATTTTATCTTATTACGCATCAATGTCATGAATACTGCTTGAAATTAATATTCACTGCAGCTGGTTGACAAAGAAATCATTCAACGCAATCAAATAGCGCATATTCTGTTGGAACAAGCTCAATCTTAACAAATGGAACAAAAAAACGCAAGCAATACTCCAGGAACAAGCACTGCCATTAATTTCAGTCTTTTCAAGCTCAAAGCATTTAACACGCGCTTGGAAATACCAATTCTTGCTTGGGGTTAACGCCAAGCTGAATATGCTTCAGTTTTTTTGCCCAATAAGCTTAATAGGGAGAAACAAGTTTTACGAGATCCAAACGCGTCGTTTATGTACCCGCGAACAATTTAGCCACGCGTACGGCACAAATCAATCAAGCCCGAACTCTTCCATGAACAACGATACAACGTAGTTTCACGTGATGTCATCCCCGACAGAACATTTTTAATTGGTATGATCTTATCCCCATTCAGGAATCCCTTCAATCACAAGATTACACGCACCCATGAGTTACAGTCACTGCTTCCTCTCGCCTCTTTCTATAAATGGCGTTACCTTGAAACCACTTCACACAGAAACTATCGAATCAAAAATTGAAAGTCAAGTGGTTGCAGAGAGAAATGAAGAACACTGGTAAGAGTAACAAAGGCAACGGAAAGTCGGATGTGAGGAAAGACAGGAAATCTGGTACGGGAATGAGTGGATCGCCGAAGAAAGGAGGTCACGGTGGCAAGTTCACTTGGGCTGGAGATGGGCTTTCGCCTGCTGAGATCGGGGTCGAGAAAGAGGTCGTTGATGTTAAGGATCCGAACTTTGAAGATCCGGATGAGATCGTGACCAATTGATTGGGTTAGGGTTAGTGATGGTGGTGATCTATCATGATCATCGTTCTTACTAGTTTGATGATGATGAGATGTAAATATTTATCCATGAATAAATTGTACTAATTGCTATTTTATTTGCTTCTTAGCTAAATCATCAAAGAATTTAGTGGTTTGGATTGTAAGATTTGTGGATACAGTAGAAGTATCAAATTTTCTACAAAAGAAAAAGTTGAATGTTTGTCAGTCTAGAGATGGTCTTTCACTGAAACAGTGAAGTTCAACGGGCGTGATGGTCGTATGTTATAACGATTCGGTTTGATTTAGTAGTTGAGGTTTTCAAAATACGAACCAAAATCGAAAGGAATTTCATTTTAACTCATCAGTTTTTTAAAATATATATTTTTAACTTTTTGTTATTACTTTAATATATTTAAATAAATTTATTTCAATATCTAATAATTATTTTTATTTTATAAAAATTATAATAATTTAATAACATATATTTTTCATATTTTGGAATTTTCATTTTATAAATAAAAAAAAACTAAATTCAATAATTTAAAATTCAAATCGAATAAAATAAAATAAATTAATCTAAAATAAATAAATGTTATAATTTAAAATTTCGAATCAGTGAAAAAGACAAAACAGTTTGAGATAAATTTATAATTTTTCCATGAGGGCCAGCCATTGTTTGAACTCTCTCAGCTTCTTGCATATCGCAGAGGGCAATATGATCCTAGTCAACATCTTGAACTCTCTCAGCCATTCTTTCCCTGCCCTTTGGCTGGATGCACTGGCTATCCCTTTCCTGCTAATTTTTTCCTTCTTCATAGTGGCTTTTGCATGATCTTATTACTGCTGCTTTCTTGCCTGCACAAAAGACTAGAATCAGTGCTTGTTCTTGCTAGTCCTGGAGAAGTTATTCTCTTTCTTTCTTCATGTTAAATTCAATTCATGCTTAACTATGTTTTCTCTTATAATTTGCATTGCATGTGCAGATCCCGGATATTGGAAAACGCAAGATGATACTTCATATGATCCAGCTTGAACCCGAGTCTCGCCTCTCTGCTGAAAGTTATCTACAGAATTATGCAATTGTTGTATTTCCTAGCTATTTCTCACCATTTCTGCACAATTTTTATTGTTGCCGGAATCCTCTTCATTCTGATATGAGGGTAAACATATTTCTAACTTAGAACTAGGAAACTTAATCCTTCTTGCATCTAATTTATACATTCCTACTCTGTAATTTCTACTGTAGATTGCAATGTGCCAGAGTGTTTTCCCCGAGATACTGAAGCAGATGATGAGCAAGAAATCAAGTGATGAGATGGGAAGAGGTCTTGGCAAGTCACTTACCTTAAGTGGTGAACGGTCACAAGAAATTGTTGCAAAACAACAGTCACAAGAGATTGTTGCAAAAGAAAACTTAAGCTCAACAAATCACATGTTGACAAAAAGAGAAATGATAGAGAATGGTTCTGTTAGGGATAAGTTCAAGCTTCCTGGCAACATTGATACCCTACTTGGGGATGTTGAACAAAGCAATCATTACCTCAGTGAGAAGTTAACGACAGGGATGCACCCAAATCTGCACTTTCCCAAGATTTTAAACAGCATGGCATGCAATCTCGATCCCTTCTTCAAAACATCTCTGATTTGTTTAGAAAAAAGGATCAACCTTTTTTGAAAAAGATTATGATGGATGATTTAAACTCATTGATGTCTGACTATGACAGTCGATCAGACACCTTTGGAATGCGTTTCCTGCCATTACCTGAAGGCAGTATGAAATGTGAAGGGATGGTTTTAATCGCCTCTCTGCTTTGTTCCTGCGTACGAAATGTTAAGTTGGCTCATTTAAGGAAAGGGGCTATACTTTTGCTGAAGACTTCTTCATTATACATTGATGATGAAGACCGCTTGCAGCTAGTGCTTCCATATGTAATTGCAATGCTTTCTGACTCAGCAGCCATTGTGCGCTGTGCTGCCCTTAAGACTTTGTGTGACATGCTGCCCTTAGTTCGAGATTTTCCTCCAAGTGATGCGAAAATTTTTCCGGAGTATATTTTTCCAATGCTCTCCATGCTTCCTGATGATCCAGAGGAAAGTGTGAGAATTTGTTATGCGAGCAATATAGCTAAACTGGCTCTAACAGCTTATGGATTCTTGATTCGTTCAATAAGGCTCAGTGAGGCTGGGGTTCTTAATGAATTAAATTCGTCACCGAAGTCATTAGCATCATCTGGTGAGTCATCTAGGTGCCTTCAGAGGTTAAATAGTGATGCACGGCTAGGCCAACTGAGGAAGTCCATTGCTGATGTAGTTCAGGAACTTGTAATGGGTCAAAAGCAAACTCCTAACATTAGGAGAGGACTCCTTCAGGACATCGGCAACTTATGCTGCCTTTTTGGCCAGAGAGAGAGCAATGACTTTTTGTTGCCCGTACTCCCTGCTTTCTTGAATGATAGAGATGAGCAGCTAAGGGCAGTATTCTATGGGCAAATTGTGTATGTTTGCTTCTTCGTGGGCCAAAGAAGTGTGGAGGAATATCTTTTACCTTATATCGAGCAGGCTTTAGGTGATGCAATAGAGGCTGTTATTGTCAATGCACTGGATTGTTTGGCTGTTCTGTGCAGAAGTGGTTTCTTGCGGAAAAAAATAATTGCTTGGAATGATAGAGCGTGCCATTCCGTTGCTATGTTTTCCTATTCAATGGGTAAGGAGGTCAGTTGTCGCTTTCCTTTCATCTAGCAGTGAGTGCTTGGGTTCCGTGGATTCTTATGTTTTCCTTGCTCCAGTTATAAGGCCTTTCTTACGTCGACAACCTGCATCTCTGGCCTCTGAAAAGGCTCTTCTTTCTTGTTTAAAACTCCAGTCTCAAGGCAAGTATTTTATGAAGTCTTAGAAAATGCTAGGAGTTCAGACATGTTGGGGAGACAGAAAGATATGGTACAATTCATCAGCACAATCTAAACAATGGGAAATTGTTGATTTTCTCAAAAGAGGGACTGTGGAATTAGACTTAATGAAGTACTGGCGTGACAAACAACAGTCTACTGGGTGTCATAGACCTATTGATAATGCATTGCAGCAATCAGGGCTAACGGAATATGATGATGACGATTCCGAGTTGAGATCGCTGGGGGGCCATACACGCGATGCTTCTAGCAAAATTGACGTGCATGATCCATTATGCTCAGAGAAATTACAGTTTTCGGGTTTAACATTTCCACAGCTCAATGGTGTAAACAGTTTCATGTGTGACAAGCCATCAGAAGGTATACCTTTGTACTCTTTTAGCATGGACAAGCGACAAATGGAAGCTCCTCCAGCTGCTTCTGACACTCCTTTGCAATTAAACTCCATGGGAATTGGTTCATCTTCCATTCCTTGGATGGATCCAGTTAGTAAATCATTTAGCATGGCTAGTTCAGTTCCAGCGTCTAAGCTTGTTTCAGCCTGCTTCAGTATCACTGGTGGTTCCAAACAATTCCAGAGTTGTGCATGAACCAGAAAGTCAGGAAAATGATCAAATAGCCTATGTTAATGGTAAATTTCAAGATATGAAATTATCTGGTGCAATGAAAGGAAGTTCTGTTGCTATGGAAGATGCTTCTGCTTCAACTGATCTTACAGGACTACCCTTGTTTGCTTTCTCTTCATCAATTCCAAATTCAGGTTGGAGGCCTTGTGGGGTGTTGGTTGGACACCTGCAGGAGCACAGATCTGCCGTGAATGATATTGCAATTTCAAATGATCACTGCTTTTTTGTGAGTGCATCTGATGATTCCACTGTCAAGGTGTGGGATTCAAGAAAGTTGGAGAAGGATTTATCATTTAGGTCGAGGCTGACTTATCACTTGGAGGGAAGCCGAGACTTTGCACTGCAATGCTCAGAAATTCTGCTCGAGTTGTTGTTGGAGCATGCGATGGGACAATACATATGTTTTCTGTTGATCACGTCTCTAGAGGTCTTGGAAATGTTGTTTAAAAGTACTCAGGTATCACTGATATAAAAAAGAAGGATGTGAAGGAAGGTGCAATACTTACCCTTTTGAACTACCCCATAGATAACTGTGGCAGTCAGATGTTTATCTACAACACCCAAAACTGTGGGACTCATCTCTGGGATACAAGATCAAGTTCAAATGCATGGACGTTGAAAGCAATTCCAGAGGAAGGCTATGTCTCTTGTCTGGTAGCAGGCCCTTGTGGGAATTGGTTTGTTTCAGGGTCTTCTAGGGGTGTGGTTACCCTTTGGGATTTGAGGTTCCTTATTCCTGTGAACTCATGGCAGTATTCTCTTGTATACCCTGTAGAAAAGATGTGTCTCTTTGTCCCTCCTTCAAGTGTCTCAGTTTCTACCACTGCTAGGCCTGTTATTTATGTTGCTGCTGGCTGCAATGAAGTCTCACTTTGGAATGCAGAGAATGGGAACTGCCACCAGGTACAAACGCAATTGCTTCTATTAATCACTATTTCTATATGCATGTATAATAGTAATAAATGATTTTGTATTTCGAACAATGATTAGAAAGATTTCCAATAGCTTTATATTAAGATTGTGCTTGGAAAACATTTGGAGAATGGAAAGGATTGGGTGGAAAAAAGGAAAGAAAAAGGATTTTTAGCATGCCTGGTAGGAGAGAAAAGTGAGAGGCAGAAACAATAGGTGTGCCATGTGCTATCCATATAAAAAAATAATCAGTCCTTCCTAATTGGATTAGGAGAGAAAATGGAAGAGGTGTTGTCTATTTTTGCAAATATACAATGTTACCCACATTTTTCAGATGTCTTATCACTCCATACAAAGGATATAGTGGTAAAATAATGTGAGTTTCACTTTTCAATTCTTTCCAGCAGTTGATGGAAACTCTTTTTCTTTTACATCCACTTTCCATGATTCATACCAAGAGCACTAGAGGGAAGAAAAAAAAATGTTTGAATTTCTCTTACCAAGTAAAGCCTAAATGTCAATGGGAAATTGTGGAGCAAAAGCAGACAACTAATCTCTTTAAAGGCAGATTTGTTTTGGTACAAAATGCTAATTAACATATAATGTTTCCCCTGACTGGAGTTACTAGTGATGTAAGAATTGTAAAAATTGTGCTGAATCTAAATCTTATTACTAATCAGTTTTCACCTGGGTGGGCCTCAATAGAGATGCATCTATCACTATCCTGAATCAAGTATTTGATAGCAGAAAAAGGTTGATCGATTGGAAGAAGCAAGCTTGAGAATTACACATTTGCTCATTCAGTTATTCTAGTTATATATTTTGAAAATGTTTTTTAGAGATAAACGGCATAAACTTATCTGAAGGGATTTTGAAAGGCCTGGACTTGGCTCTCTGTAATGAGAACTGGTTTTGTTCTGATCGTTCATCATGATTGAGTTTTCTTCTTCCAACTTCTATCTCCAGGTATTTAGGGCTGCAAATTATGACAGTGATTCAGAAATGTCTAATTTACCATGGGCCTTGGCAAGGCCATCAAATAAAACAAGCTCTAAATCTGATCTGAGGAGGAATGCAAATCCCAAGTATCGAGTAGATGAACTAAATGAACCACCTCCTCGTCTTCTGGGTATTCGTTCATTACTTCCTTTATCTGGTAGTGATGTGTTGACTGGGGGCACCGACTTAAGGAGTCACTGCTGGGACCATTGCAGGTTTTCGTCAAATTCTTTTTTTTACCCTGTGCGGTGATCTTATTGACATTTTATGCGTCATTACATTGTTTTCATTGCAGACCTGATAGAAGTTACTGTATCTGTGGTCCAAATTTTAAGGGATTTGGAAATGATGATTTCTACGAAGTAAGATCCAAGTTTTGGTGCCCAAGTTGTACAGGTATCTTTTAATGATAGGTTTACCTGTAACTTTATTCTGGTGTTTTACCTTATTTTAAGATTTTTAGTGGATGGTTAGATGTTCGTCTACTATTGATAATGGTTTTCAATGTATCTATCTTGTTCAAGTTAGTGACAACCAGTAGTAAGAAGTATAGAATGGATCTTACTGATCGAAGATTTTAGTATCCCCTCTCCCTCCAATTCAATAAGCTCGATTTAGGCCCAATGGGGCAAACATTTTCTTTTTATTCTTCAATGATAGAGTCCATTCAAGAGTTAATTATATGTTTTAGACAAGCATCTTTTCTGATTTCGCATGACACATGTAAGTTTTTTCAATTATATCCAGATTGAAATATTTATTAGTCAGAGCTTTGACTTTAGATAGCCCATTTGGATGATTGAGAATATCCTCATGACTTATCCTGGGAAACTTTAATTTCCTGCTATACAGCCTAATCTTTGCGGGGGTATATGTTGTTTTATTATCTTCCCTTTTCTTAAGTGTTCATATTCTGACAAATTTTGCATTTATTAACCAGTTATTTAAGCTGCAAGCACTTGGGGAGTTAAGTTGTTAATTTTTAATGAAAGCTAGGTATATCACTCGGATAAAGTTGAGGGCCATGTCATTTCTGAATCACTCTTCTCATCTTCTATCATGGCTTTTGTGCTACTTCCCTCAACTCCCTTTTCATTATTAAGCAAATGTGCCTTGTGGAAGTGTTCGCTGCTATTTTCTTTTTTCCTGAAAAGTTGTTGATTTGGGGTGTCCTGCTCTTAAGATTTGTAATATTAAAACTATATCATTTTTCTTGCGAACAGGAGACAAGGATACGATCTCTAACAACAAAGCTGACAGCAAAAGCTATTCTTGCTGTTGCTGTCACTGATTATGCTGGATGCCACCATGATTCCATCCTCTGTTTGGCTTCTGTAAAATTGAACCAGAGACTCTTGATCTCAAGCAGTAGAGATGGGGCTATTAAGGTTTGGAAGTTAATAACTTAAAAAGTTTTAGTGCTTTAATGTACATATTTAGTTCCAACATAGTGAAATTGTATATAATATATATTCAATCAGATCCTAAATTTTGCAGTCTAACCATTTATTTCCTGGATTTGTAGTTTTGTACAGTTTGTAAGGATGTAGGTTTGTACGGGATTTTTTATTATTAACACAATGCTCTATTTATCAAGAAAAAGAGAAAATACCATAGGTCTTATTCTTGTTTAAAAGGAAAGAACTTGTATCTCCATACACATTCTTGCATCTATGTGCAAAGTTCGTCGTTGATATTAAATCTTACACCCTTTTGATGTCCAATCTCGATGTTCTTTTGTATTAGTTCAATTTATTTGTGGTTAATAAATTAATGTTCTCTTGATTTGTTGAATTAGACAGTGTTTTTGTGGCAACCAATAAGATTTCTTCCATAATCATGCATTACATTCTTTTGCCATTACTTTCTTTCTATTTTTGCCTTCACTGACCAGCTGTGTCTATAAGGAGCTTAGACAGAAATCAGGATGTCGAGATTTTGAGATGGCCAGAAGAGATGAAATCAGAAAAGAAAGTATGAATGAGAATGGACGTAGAACTCACAAAAGTTGCAATGTCATTTGAGATGGTTTAGTCTTGTTCATGCTCTAGTAAATGCGTTAGATCTACAGAACTTAATATAACAAGTAAATAGAGACACAAACATTGCATTTAAGATGATTTAATGCTAATTGCTAAATGAGATGAATGAGTTCATTGATTTTTGCATTAGTTGATATATTTGCCTTTACTATCGTTGCCAATGCTGTTCTCATTCTTGTTGTTCCCTTCATGGATGCTGTGATGGTAGTCTGAGTTTCTCATTAATATGGGATTGTGTCAAATAAATTACCTGAAATAAGGCTCAGTATTGATGATTGATTTGAGTGTAATTTGACAACAAAGTGATTTTTCTAGAATCTGGAGAGCTCTTATGAACCTTAACTGAAGTACATAACTGTTTCAAGGATAGGTCCTTCTTGCACAATTCATGTTAGTTCTCCATTGAGGACTAGGGAGGCATGCCTGACAGCTCTAGAAACTCTCCAGACTTCATGTTGCACTAAATGCCATGACTCAGCAGTGTTCAGATTCTTTGCATTTTCAATTGCATCATCTACCCCTGGGAAGGATGTAGATCCATAATCATTGTGCCTTGAGGGTGCATATATCTGAAATTTAGTCCATTCAGTAATAATTATGATATTAGATAATATATTGCCAAGGTTTTCATCTTGGAGCTTTGATATTTAACTCGATCGTGTAATGAATTAATTGAAAACAAAACCTTAGTACAATGAAATTAACTTGTTTAGGTGAATGTAGCTAAGGAAAGCTTACCAAGTGTTTGTACCATGGCCTTCTAAGAAGTCCATCGTGGTCCGTAAATGCACGTTCAGCCATCATTAGTCTGTCATTTAGCTCTCGCACTTTGACATGCTTGTTTCTCCACATTGATGGCCATCCTTTAGCTTCTTTTATTTCCTAGACAATTATTCTTCCGTTACTTGTTCTGCTGAACATTATTACATTTTTTTTTTATTTGCAAACTTGATTATGGAAACTATAGTGTTACCTTTTTCTGGTTATTTATCTTGCTGGCTGCTTTTGATAGCTTCTCAATGGACTTGAACAAGGGAGAAAGAGTTATGCCCTTGCCTGAAATCTCATTTTCCAGGTCTTTTGCAATCTTCTGTTATCATGGATTTTATTGTTTTGCATTTAGGTTTTGTGGCTAAGCACTAAATCTACATGGTTTAAACTACATAGGACTGCATATAGTTATTTCTTTCCTGGAGGTTAATTTACCTGGAGTTCAAATGCATAGGAGTGATAGTCAAAAGGCAAGAACTCCTCATCTGCCAGCCAAAGAGCTAATAAACCCCAAACACTTGCCACTGTTTTTTAAACCAAAAAAAAAAAAACTAGTTTTGTCATTTTGTTGTTTGAGGTTCTTTTTTATTAAAGTTCTTGGAAAATGAAATGTTTGACCAAAGCTGAAGTAATTAATACACACTACATACCCTATTTATCAAACTTCATAGTGCAGTGTTGAATATTAATGTGCAATGATGAGGAAAAAAGTTTAGATGCTACCATGTGTTTAAGGATTTCTAATTGTTAGATGCTGCTATGTACCTGCAACATGTCTATGAAACATTGGGTCACCAAAATTTTCCATCCAGACATAGTCATCATACATTGAATGATACACTGGGTATCCTGCATGAACAATGACTTTTGTTAGGCATGAAACATAGAAAAATTCTATTCATCATATGTTTGCTTCTACTTTGCTACTACTTCGCTGATGGTTGCAAAATTTTGGGGTTTCAAAGTTGCATCTAAGGTATAGAGCTTAAGGCATTAGAAAATATTTGAAGTTGAAGTACCTTGCAGTAAGATTTATTTTTCAGAGAGGGGTGGGGCACCTGGACAAGGTAAAAAGAGATTGAAGTTGCTTTTACTTCTGTTCTGAGACAAATAAGTAATCTAGTATTATGAGCATATACGTTTGCTTGGGCCTCTAAGTTGGATTAATGTCTAATGAACAGCATGCCTTTGTTGAATTTTTACATGGATTATGATTCACTCTTGATGGTAAAAATTATTGAGAATCTTTTTCAGGTTCTACTGTCTTTTTTAGAGTACTGGTTGTTTTATTATCTTTTGTCGTTACCCTTGTGGCATTGTTTTTTGTCAACCTGATGCGAATAAAATGAATAGTTTCTTTCAGTACATTGAATAGAGATGCTACTTGGTTTGCAAGGTTTGATATTTATTGGTCATAAGTAGTTGAGTGATCTTCATATCTGCTTACATTAGTCTAAATTATTGCATTTATGTGTGCCTTGTTTAACATTTTGGAAATTTTCTGCTATTTATTTTTTATCCTTTATTGCTCAAACTATTTGTTGATGTCTAACTGTCCATTCAACAAAAGAATAGCATTGCATGTATGTTATCCTGCCCCTTTTTTGTAGCCTTGTGAAGTAGAAGCAAATTACACAAAGTACAATATGCTTATTACCTCCTCCAAAAAGCATGTCTGCTGCTGGAACACCAACATGTTGCACAAAAGCCGCATAATCAGAACCTGCTCCTCCTAATCTCCCAATCTTCTCAGGTTATGTACAGGATACTGAATATGTTAACTTTGATGTAGACAGGTAAATTTTACGTACCAACCATACAAGTTCTTTGGAACCATTAAGTTAGTTTCATTATGCTTACCAGAGGAGAATCAATGGACCTAACCCATTGTTCATATATTGTTTGCGATGAGTTATCTGGATCTTGAACCTTCAAAAATCAATTAGCAGAATGATTTAGCCAGATGAGAGAAGAGTAGCATCTGGTAAAAGGACTGAAATCCATGAACATGATGTCTATATGTTGTCATCATTTTCTTTTTTCCTGCAAATCTTGCCAGTTAATGCTTAAAACCTATATATATATATTGGTTTCTCTTAGCTATTATTGCTATTTCCCTGTATGTTTGTTTAGAACTTTTGAGATACCTGTTGAGCAGCTTGTTTAAGTAGCTCATCAAGTTGTGGAGTTGCAGCAGCATGAAATCCTGCTCCAGATACCGCACAGTCAACATTTAAGTATGCAACTGTCCTTGAAGCCAACAATTCTCTGTTTTCTTCTATCCATTCTGTTGATCCTGTCTGGAAATAGGAGTCTGTTTAAATTTCAGTTCAGAAAGAGGAATATAGGGATAGAGGCATAGGAGAGACAGGCAGTTAGACACACCAAGCCATACTCCTCAGCATCCCAATTGCACAAAATAATTGTTCGTCGTGGTCTCCAACCATTTCTCTGTAACTTCCATAGTCTTTGGGCAACCTACATTCAGGGAAATTCAGCCGGAGGCACAATTTGTCCGAATGTGATATATGCTTTTAGCGTCAAAAGGTAGCAAGTGTCGGAATGTAACGGGATTATAATCACCTCTAGCAGTGCTGCAGTGCCACTGTTGGGATCAACAGCTCCAAATGTCCATGCATCACGATGATTGCCCAGAATGACAAACCTAAGAATGGTTACGATAAGAATAGGGGAAATCATTACAAAGCGTGTAAAGTGCTCTTAATCATTCCAAAATATATTATTCATTTTTTTATGAGTTCTTAGGTCTTCTTATCAGTGGCTGTTCATAACGTTTGCTTAGTTGATTGTTATTTTCATTGGTCTATTAGATGGATGTCTATTTAAGTCCTGATAGGGAACAGCTTAATTTGAAGTTATACTTCTACACCCGACTCAAATGATAGTAATTCATGCAACCCTGTTCACAAATATTTCTGAACTTACCGATCAGGCTCCTCTATTCCTTCAATAACACCAATGACATTTTGAATTGTTGCAATGACTTCTTTCCCCTGAAAATCTCATTCAAGAAGCCAACCCATTATAGACCATTTAACTTGTGGTTCAATTTTTTCAATGTGATTTGTAGGGTTAGATTGGAACTTATTCTAATGTTGCAGTGATAATCCAAGGAAGGTCATTCAAAGCTTACATTGTAATCGAGATTCACAACTCCTGGTCCTGGTCCAACTTTGTAAGTTGGGGCATCTTTGCTTCCCTGCCAATCATCTTTTGCAATTTGTCCACCAATTGATCTCAAGATTGTTTCACCATCTGCTCCTGATATTGGCAATGAAGGTATTAGAGGAACATCTCCGCTCCTCCCGACCTCCTCAACTGACAGCCTCTCACATCCTTCTGTGCTAGCCCATCCAGGAGTGGTAGGGTCTCCAGACCCGTTATAGACCGTTCCTACCTGAACTGCACTTGGCGGCATCCATTTGTCATCGGGAAACCACTTTGCATCACCTCCCCCACCTCCATAATCTTTCCTATCCGTATACACCAGTGCCCCTATAGCACCAGCATCAAACGCATTCATCACAATATCTCCTCTATAAATCCGTCCATATCTCGCCAAAACCACAGTACCCGTAACGTTGACTCCCATTTCTATCAATGTCTCGTAGTCCTCTACCCTCCCATAGTTTACATATACCACTGGTCCAGTGATGGAACCTGACTTGGCGTATGCGTGGAAAGTGGGCAGCACTTCATTAGCCACATCTGCATAGGGATCTCCCTCGTATATTTCCTGCTTCAGATCAAAAGTTATGGGTGGCTCTGGAGGAGAACGTGTCAGAGTCAATGAACGTGAAGCTGGGTAGGTTAGTAAAACTTCATAGGAGATGATGTGTGCCTTCATGTTGCAGGAGGAGAGTGTGGACAGAACATAGGCTGCAGCCTCAGCGTTGGCTTGGGAGCCAGCAACATGTGGCCGGCGGGTCAGGGTGTAGAGGTGGTGAGATATCGAGGCATTGTCGGCCAGGGTATTGGATATGAAAAGCGAGTGATAATATGATTTTGGTGGGGGAGAAAAGAGGAGAATAAAGAAAGAGGTGGCTATGGCTAGGAACGTAGCGGCGGTTGTTTTGTACATGGAGCTTAATTAGTTTTCCTTGTCGATCGTATGAGGAATCTTACTGCCTAATTGTTGTGACTTGTGGGGCTGTGTTTTTGTCGTAGGTCCCGGTTTTGGAATGATGTGTTGGGAAGAAAAGAAAGGCTCAGAAGGACCACCGGTGAAAACAAGAGAGAAAGGGAGTTCTAATAGATTTGAATTATTAGATAATGATTGAATTAACAAATTTTACACACTCTATGCCTGCTAAATGGGGATAAAATGGCAATATTTTACTAGTAGTATTGGATTTTTCTAAACCCAACCTTTTTTATTTTCTCTATGCAAGTGGGTTATTTTTTATGACAAATTGAAGCTTAAAAAAGAGAGATCAGATGAGGTGGATTTGTTTATTATAAATGTGATGCGTCCTTTTTCCTTTGAAAATTGTTACAAACACTTCATCGTTGATTGGGAATCTAAGCCTAGTCAGGTAAACACGCCCCCAAATACTGCAAAGTGATTAGTACAGCAAAAGATAGGATATTGCTGCACGGATCTCCATAGGAAGTGCGACCAATCTTTGATGATTTATAACCCATATAAGCATATCTATTTTCCGTCAATGGGTTTCCCTCAAAAATGATTCTCATTCGGATGACAAGATTGAATTGTGCTAAGTCATTGCAAATGGATTGCTTCTTCGGATCTGATCTGATCTGATCTTCCTCATTTTACCTAAACTATTCTTTAACAACCAAGCATTCAATCTTAACTACTAATTGAAATTTTCTTCCACTGATGTAATACTTCAACAACTTGTTCTGACAAGGGTTAAGGAATAAATCCTTTTAGGGAGGGGTAACTTAAAACATTTATTCCAGGTTAATCTTATTATTCAAGGTAAAAAAATGAATGAACTAAAAATTTTAACATATACACTATTGAGAGTAGCTTGTCTGAAATATAAAAGTGTTGCTGTTGAATTAGTTTCCAGAACATTTACTGGAACATCTGGTTATTTTGGCAGTTTGGAATTTGGACTGATCTGTTCACAGGATCAGATGCAAGTCATAAATTTTGTTTCTTGACAACCTCTCCTTGGTTGCCCTCTTCTAGTTTTAGACGCAAAGTTCATTCATTCGTTCAATCACTAGACTCTCTTTTTCTTCTTGTTAATTTTTTCATCTTTGGACATGGTCAATTCCATGCAATCTGTTTCATAGTCTCTTTTTTTGTTTCTTATTTTGGGGTTCTCCTAACAGAGGCATAGATTCCTAATCTCTCTTTATCTTTTACTTCTTGTTTTGTTTTGGATCAAATGGGATAATTATTAATTTTTTTCCAAACGTAGCTTCTTTCCTATAAGGGACATCATGTCAAAGTACCAGTTGCTCTTGCATTTTTGCTCTTTCAGTTTTTGTTTTCCTTGAATTCCAGTTCTAAAAATGGGGGAGTGGTCCTGCCCCGGCCAATTTGGATCCAATCATTTAAATTTCCCAGCTCTATACAAGTCCATTGTTCTTTGCTGGGCCTATATATATCTCTTTTTCTGTTCATTTTGGGCCAATGAATATATCTTTTTGTCAACTCATTTTCGGCCTGTACGTTTAAATATAGTATACCAACATCTCATATATCTTTTGCCCAACAGGGCATTATGAGCCTGTTATTTGACTTGAATCTGATCCATGTGATGAGGTTCCAAGTATCAAGAACAAAAATGAAAAATAAAATTATCTGGATGATAATTTCCAGAACCACATATGTTTCGCCAAATGGTATTAATCTGTGTAAGACACGTTCATTGGTCACGGAATGAATGAATAGGAATCAACATTTCACCTGCAAATTCGAAGCCCTCAAGAAAAGCGGAAAAGTGGTACCCACCTTCAGCAGATAGGCACAAAAAGAGATGGATTGATAAAGTAATGCAGAAGAATTGTTTCATTTTAAAACTCAAACAACCCTCATCATTTTATTAGTAGTCTAATCCCACCATCAGCATCACCAACATTCCAAACACAAACACAAACACAAGCATGAGCATTTGTAATTGTAGTTGTAATTGTAAGTAAGCCAAGCCAGGATCATGTGTATTTCTTTCGTCTAGTCCAGCAAGTGGCCCTGGCAAAGGCAAATCCTCTTTCTCACCCTTTAACTGCCCCAGCTGATCTAAACCACCCAACTTGGTCAGTTAGGGCCAATAATCTAATGATACAAAGGTAGCTAATCAGCAAAAAAGACAGAAGGATTTTGATAAACTATTGAAAAATTAGAAGAAATGCGAGCAGATATAGACATCCCAATCCCATTATCTCTTCAAGAATATATTCACCTTTCATACACAAACAGAGAGGAGAGACCACTCACGGGCATTGGAAACAAACAACAATAAAAACGGCAAAGAAGACAAGTACATAATTTTTTTTAATTTAAGAAACAAATGGTTTTTATATGCGAAAAAGTGCAAACTGTCTTGTGGCCTAGATTGTTTGCCTTGTTTTTCTCATTCTCTCTCTCATTCTCTGCTCTTTGAGTCTTGACATGTTTGTCAGCAGAAGCACCCGTGACCTCTCACTTTCTGTCATTGATTCTCTAATTCAACGACAATATCACTTTTCCACCTAAAACAAAGCACCAACTGACTTTGTATATAAACCATAATTCGACCTGGCCGCTCTCACTTGAACCTCTACATTCCCTTTGGCTCTCATTCTCATTCTCATTTCATTCTTAAATATGTCAAAGTTTCAATATATTTTTACCATTACCATCCTTATTCTTCTTTTGAATTCTGGCCAGACATTATGCCATACCAAAGGGATCAGACTCGGAAGCTCTAGAGGGAAGCACAAGCAATCAAATATGACCCGAACCCAAGTCTCAGAGCAGCAGTTCATGCAGTGGGTCAAATTTGTTGGTAGCCTTAAACACTCAGTTTTCAAGACAGCAAAGAACAAGCTTTTCCCTTCTTATACTATTACTGTAGACAAGAATCCGGCGGCTGGAGACTTCACCAAAATTCAGGATGCCATTGATTCTCTTCCTTTCATAAATCTTGTAAGAGTGGTTATCAAGGTCCATGCAGGGGTTTACACGTGAGTACTTTTATCCTACATAATGTGGTATTGCTTGAATTGTAGTTTTGCTCTTGTCCTTGTGCTTTTCTGTAATTTTCTTTTCAGTTGGTTCATGCCAAATTGTTCTAGTTTCCACTGAACTCTGGTTTCTAGAGTTTGTCTTCATTCACTTGTATGCTATTTCTTGTTCAGTGTGAGACTGTCATACTGATACAAGAATGTGATTCCCATTTTTGTTTGTTTTTGTGTCTTTATCCTTGTGATCAAAATGCTCTGTGAAATGGTCTTTTGACAAACAGCCTAACACCTTTTTTTTTTTAAACCAATCTTGCCTTACTTTTAGTTCATTTCTTGCTTGAAGAAGAAAATTAATTATTTAAATTTGCTGATTTTTCAGGGAGAAGGTTAACATTCCGCAATTGAAATCCTTCATAACCATTGAAGGAGCAGGAGCTGATAAAACAATTGTTCAATGGGGAGACACAGCTCAAACATCAGGGCCAAGAGGACAACCTTTGGGGACCTATGGGTCTGCAACTTTTGCTGTGAATTCCCCTTATTTTATTGCCAAAAACATTACATTCAAGGTAGCTAAATTAGTCTTCTTAATTGTTTCATCCCTCACCCTCCTTGCCTCTTTTTCTTATTTGCAAAAGAAAATGGTGGTGCAGAACACGACACCAGTTCCACCACCAGGAGCAGTTGGAAAGCAAGCTGTAGCATTTAGAATATCAGCAGATACAGCTACTTTCTTGGGTTGTAGATTCCTGGGAGCTCAGGACACTCTCTATGATCACTTGGGTAGGCATTACTATAAGGATTGTTACATTGAAGGTTCTGTTGATTTTATATTTGGCAATGCTCTCTCCCTCTTTGAGGTTAGTTTCTCACCTGAAATAAGATCAAGATGTAAATTTATGTATAGCCATTTTTTATCTTTTCAATTTTATGGTAACAGCAGAAAATTAATATATTCATATGGTTATATCTTAGGGTACGCATTCGATTTGTTTTTTAATTTTTAAAAAATCGTTATCTCAAAAATAAAAATGTGGTGCCAATACGTGTCACCATTTATTGGATTTTTTTTTAATTGCTCATGATCATCTTGTTGTGGACATTCTTTTTTTTTTTTTCATCCTAATTGAAAAAGAAAAAGGAAAAAAATGTAAAAAAATCATGTTTTTCCAAAATAGAAACAATCTTTTTATCTCTACCAGAAAAATTACTAAACTTTGAACTAGGATGAATAAATTGCGAAATTGGCTTTTATCATCACGCATGACAAACTTTCTGAACAGCCCCCCCAAATGCTTGTCTTCAAGTATAGATTAAGAAATATACATTTGAACTTCAGACATCAATTTGTTTCTTTCACTGCTAAATTTATCAACCATATAACTAAAACAATTGCATATAGTGTAATTAATTTTAAGTATGTCTGTTGAATCTGAAGCTTAATCCGAGTTGTTTATTCACTTCTCTTGATCTCCTTTATTAAAAAAGAAAAAAAAAACCAAAGTATGTTAGGTGAACATGTAGAGTAATCCTAGTGTTAAATTTGTGTTGTTCTGAAAGGTTTCGAGTCGAAAGAGTAAATGGTTGGTTGGGTTTTCAGGGATGTCACGTGCATGCAATAGCAACGTTAACAGGGGCCCTCACAGCACAAGGCAGAGGGAGTATCTTAGACGACACGGGCTTCTCTTTTGTGAACTGTAAGGTCACGGGCTCAGGGGCACTCTACCTAGGGAGGGCATGGGGTCCTTTCTCCAGGGTGGTCTTTGCTTTCACTTATATGGACAACATTATCATTCCTAAGGGCTGGTATAACTGGGGCGACCCTAACCGTGAAATGTAATTCTTTTCCCTTCTCTTTCGTGCATGCATACACTCACATATACATGAAAAATGAAATTTAAGAGATATATATATATGATCATCATCCATTAAGAATTAATTAAAGAGAAAGAGGCTTCAAAGCTAAGGTCACCTTTATCTCTTCCATGCATACTTTTACTTTTTCAATTAGATACTCAAATTTTACTTTCGTCTATCAATTTATACACGAAATTAAACTGTTAGTCACTTATTGTAATTTTATTGGATGTATTTGACATTAATTTCGTGTGCAAACTAAAATGCTTAATTGTAAACTTTTAAATCTTTAGGTAACAAATTAATCAAATTTTGCTTTATAATTTGAGTATCAAATGACTGAAAAATGAATTGTGGAATTATATTATATATTTGGATAAATTAATCCCATGCACTTTAGTGGTAGTGGATACTACGCCATCTCCCTCCCCATACCGTACCAGGCTTTGGAGGTGTTTGTCAGCGTACAACTTTCCCATGCCAGCAGCACCCCCTGAAACTATATACAAAGCTTTTCTTGTTTTCCTCTAGCTCATCACATTAATTCATATATTGGGAATTATTATTAGGCGTATATATATATATATATATATATATATATATTGGCAAACAAGTACGACAACAAGTTTGGGCGGTTGCTGATTTAAGAATCATCAAATCATCATATTCCATCAATACTGTGTGCCATATATAGCTTTTAATTTCTTCCTTTGATTGATTGATCTGTAAAATCTACGTGTAATGCACCAGCGCAGAAAGAAGCCCTAAGCAATCCACCCAAATGTTAGGGATTATAAAAGATGAGGCCACGCCAGCCTAGCTGAAGCTGATACCTGCTAAAGTTTATTATATTTAGCAATATTGCAGAAGCTAGATAGCATGCGCATGCATTTTATTCGAGGGCTGGCTTTGTAATTTGTATTGATGTGGTTGGTTTTTGTGGGTTGGCAGGACTGTATTTTATGGGCAGTACAAATGCACTGGACCTGGAGCAAACTTTGCAGGCAGGGTTTCATGGTCAAGAGAACTCACTGACGAAGAAGCCAAACCTTTTATTTCTCTTAGTTTCATTGATGGCTCTGAATGGATCAAATTATAATCGTCAAATTTATTTTTTGTATATCAACAAACAAAAATAATACTAGTTTTTCTTAGTAAAAGTCGTAATGGTGATAGTTTTGATCTTTATGTAGGATGATAAGCAATGATAAATTCATAACTAGAAGCCATAACCGATCAATCAAGCGAATCATTGTAAAGGGAGACTCATCAAACCTAAATTGAAGCAATCTAATCTGCATAAAAATTAGCTTCATGGAAAAATATGCTTGAGATCACAGTGCTACTCCTTACGCATGCATTGTAAGAAAATTGTTGTTAAATAGACAAAATTACTGTCATTTGTAAACCTACGGCCCAATGGCAAGATGGACTGACGGGATTCGAGGATGAATAAAACTAAAGGCCAGGCCCTAGACTTTGTAAGTTAAAGGTCTTTCAGAAGATATGGACCAAAGGGGTTATTGGGTCAACATTTGATATGTGAGCCTGTACCTAAAGGCTACGATGAGCATCCTCGTTTACTTCTAGCCTGAAACAATTTATCAGAGCAACCCAATCGCTGAAACGACGACGTTGGCCTGCAATTAATGTTCCTGGAAAGCTGAGAGCCTAGCTAGTGCTCTTAGGTGTCTGTTCCTTTGAACAATCATGGATGGAAAATGTTGAGTCATTAGGCGTAGGGCAGCTACCAATATTAGGCCCAGCTCGCTAGTGATTTTAGCTTTTTGCAGACTTTTGAAGCCTCTCAAAATTTCGGCAGCGAACATGCATGTGACATAATAATTTATTAATTATAATTTAAAATTATATAAATTTTATATTAATAAGTGAAAATTTTTTATATAATTTTTTATTAAAATTAACTAATATAAAATTATAATAAAAATTACAGATAAAATGCAACAAAAACTTATCATGTTTACCCAATGATAGCTCAAACAAGAGACCATCTCTAAAATAATTTTGGGTTCAAATTGATTATCATATTCTTGTAGAGATGGTGCCCAACTACCTAAACAACTCACCAATCTTAGAAACACTTCTTATCAACACGCTTCACGAAATATTCAGCCACAAACAGTGCACAACAGGCTAAACTGCCCATATGTTTTTCAAATTTTTAAGAGGATGTAATCCGATTGATGGTGCAAAGGAATAATGACGACAAAGGTTGTGTCTGTCTCCTAAATTGAAGAAACATTTTACATGTGTCAAATCAAAAGCATTAACATTACTAGTCCAACAAACCATTTAAGAAAAAATATCAAAACTCCTTCAAATGAATGATGATAAAGACTAACAAAAAGCACTGCTACTTGATTTGATTGAAAAATGAATCTTTTTTTTTTTTTTTTGCCCAAGCTGTAAGTCATTGGTTTGATAACGCCTTAGCTTGACTTCTAGGAATGGTCGTGAAGCATGTCCTTTTTTTTTTTTAATTTCACTCGATTAACTCAGTTAGTACAATTATTACCGCAAATACTCCATAGATAAATCTTTTCAAGGATTGATCGAAGCACTGTCTCATTTCATGAACTTGGTACTATAGCAACAGAGTATTATGAACTTGAAAGACAAAAAAAGGGAGGGAAAAGTGTGAATAATCATGAATACTGTAATAATGAGAATTTGGTGCATCCTATTTCCATTTTCATGTTTGGTTTGGTTGTTTTCAGTCAAACATGAAAAACCTACATTTCTAGTTAGTTGGAATTGGTGGCATAACAAGCAGTAATTGGGAAAGTAAAAAGCCATGAAAAAGGAAGAAGAAAGAAAGAAACAAAACTTTGTAACAGAAGGTGGGACATAACATACATGAACGTAACTCAAGGGGCCATTGCCATTAAATCCGCAATAAAAAAAATCCAAGCCATCACACATCATATGCAAAACAAAGAGCAAGAGCAAATAGTTGCAGTCTTACACACAATTCCAAAATGAATAAGGGAGGGAGCGAATATTGTACTGGAAATGCAATCATGCAGAATATCACAGCCTTTGGTTTCCAATATTTTCAAATTGAAAATCAACCACTACCCTTGTCATTGTTTTTCCACGTTCATATTTATCTTTGGGTCCCAAAGTCAAGAAAATAAATACGCTTACATCAAATCAATCAAACAGTGATGGCGCGGAATAAAAAGATGGGAATAGTTCAAATTCTGCCCCCTTATTCTTTCGCCATAGTTTGACAAGGTCACAGATTTTGGTTTGGATTAATTTATTGGAAATAATCATTATCTGCGATTAGTACATGGAAAACTGTCATGTTGGTTGTTTAGAAAACATTGAGAAGTGTTATGGAGAGTTCAACTTCACAAGGTCATGTAATTCTACAATTGGAATTTCATATCATTGACAAGAAGGCAAATTCCTTCACATAGCACTGACATTTGAATCAGATGGACAGGAATTTCAATAAAATCATGTAAATTCTACACACATTCTATCTTGTTTTATCACCCATCTTTGTTCACTAGCATACAAGTAGGGGTCATAGATGCAGAGTTAATCGTTACATTTTTATTTTTTTTTGCTCTCATAATCACCTCCTTGTCTGCAAATGATTTCTCTCAGGATCTCTACCATATTCTGAGGATCTATCAAACTTCCCCATCACTGCATTCCTGAAATTAATAGCTTCTTGAACTTGTGAGCATGTTCTCTGCATCCTAACCCCACTTAAACTACTTCTAGATTCCATCATTTCATTGAGGGAAAGGTGCTTTTTTGGCCCAGGCTCTGGCCTTTGCTTTGGAGCACTATGCGACCTCAATTTAGCCTTGAAAGATTGTGTATTAGCCATATAATTGGGAAAGTTCCCGTAGTGTCTAAAAAGGTTATCAGCGCATACACTCTTGGCCGGTGTAACAGAGATATTAGACAGATAAGAATTCATAAACCGAGGTGTACTTTGCGCTGTAGAGAACCTGCATTCATCTCCAGTTAATCCCCAATCAGTCTCTTGAAAATGGCTGAAATCTGGTATGGACAAACGAGTTGGAACTCGAGATGGATGTGGAGAAGACAGCGTTTGATAAGGCGGGTCATCGCTGAAATCCGATACAGAAGTGTTGGTTCTGCGAGATCTTGATTTAGGTCTGCCAGTATCAACCTCCACAATTTTGGGACTTTCCTCAATATTAATTGCACCGTCAAGAGAAGCTGACAATCTTCTGCTATGGATAGAAGCAGTTTGTTCACTCCTTGTATCATCAAATCTCTCCTACAAGAAGGTTTTTTAAACGATTCAGAAATTATAGGCCTAAATGGAAGTCAAAATAGAGTAGAATTATTGAATTTAAAGGATCTTTTACCATGGATTTTCGTGCTCGGATGTCAAATCTGTTGGCGTCATGGTTAATGATTCTACGAGCTTTCAGGGACCTAATGGTAGCTTGTGCTCTTATCAGGGCCTGCATGCTATGAAGAGTAGCTGTAGCTTGTTTCCGCACTAAATATCCTCGAACAAGCGCCTGTATCTTCACTAATCCTCTCAAAGCTCGTAGTGCTTTTCTAGCCTGTTTTGAATCCAAAATCAAAGATTAAAAAAATGAAGCCTTAAATTTTACTCAAGGTCAAACAGATAACACCCTTATGCCAATGCTTTAAAAAATTGAAGACTTAATTGTTCAAATAAATTGAGCAAGAAAGACAATACTTACCAGATAACCTCTAAAAACGGTTTGAATCTTAACAGCAGCCCAGCTCTCATGTCCACCGCCAAACATGGTCCCTCTGCCATGACTTGTCAGCCTCACCACTGCCACTGCTGCCTGCGCAGCGGCTACTGCTGCATCTGCAGCCGCTGCTGTTGCGGCTGCCACAGCAATTGCGTGCTTGTTCTGCTCCTTCTCTGTTTCATTATAGAATGATCTTAGCCACACAGCCTCTGCTTGTGATATGTTGGGTGGTATTGTTGTAGGGTTGTGACACAATCCTCCGCTTGAATCTAGCACTGAATGGCCAATGCTATAACTTTTCTTGTCTTTCCTGTCACTGGAATTTGAGTAGTCTTTACTGCTCTTTATCCCAAACAAGCTCTTTAGCCACCTTGTAGCTCTTCCCATTTTTTCTCAGTGCCCTGAGCGGGAGAATTAACTTGGAGAGAAAGCTGGAGATCTTCAGGAAATGAAAAACAGAAACTGAGAGACAAACAAAAGGGGTAATAAAAAACAAAAAAAAAAAAGGGGTTTTAAAAGTGAAATCTAAAAATGCCCATTTCGATAAGAAGGGTTATACAGCTAACAATCTTGGGTGCTTTTCCATGTTGCGAAAAGTTGTGATGCAAAGTTGTTTAAGATAGTATGATTTTTAAAGATACGTCAATATTTGAGAAAAGGAAATTTGGAAAAGAAGAAATATAATAATATTTGTAAAACGGAAAGAGATGGGAAAAAATGTTTTTATTTTGATGATGGACTGACCGTATTTTATAATATTTGAAATTCAAAATTAAGTTAAGGGAATAAAAATGCTGTGATGGCCTCGTGAGAAACTGCATTACATGACAAAAACATGGCCCTGAAAGATTCAGATGGTCTTAAAAAGAAAATATTATTATTAATCACAAGTTTATAAGGGAGTTACAATTACAATGTGGTAAGAAAACCCCATAAACACAAGCTTCAAACAAAGAGGATAGGTAATAAAATAATCATCAGAGAAAGATAAAATCAAAGTGTAAAGACTATCCTCTGGAATTCCAAGATTAGTTTATATGATTCAAATTTAAACAGTTGTAATTTTTTTAATTCTCAAATTATAACCTAATTCATAAAAAATAAATTCTCAAATTTTCAGTGAAACGCTCGAATTTTGATTCATCCAATGGGAAACTGAGGAAACTTAAGCTTTGACGAGAAAAAAGAACAGTGTAGATAAGAAAGCACAAAAAAAAAAAAAAAAACACTCTCTCCATATTTTCTCTCACTCATTACTTTCTGGAGCGACGTGTCTTCAAAAAGAGAGATACCTCAGGGTCCTCAGCTTCTGACAATCTCGTGATGCCTTTCATTTTTATTGTATACTATATCATATGATAATGCTTATGCTTATTTTTTAACCTCTCTTTTATCTAATTCTCTGCACCTGTTTTTACTCTCTCCCTTCGTTAAACCCTAGCAAATAAATGATACCCTTAGTCGATTTTGCAAGTAAATTATCTTACTATTAACAACAGTCGAATTGATTCAATTGATTAATTCGTTAATTTTCGTAATAAAAAATTTTGAATTTAAACATTAATTTTTTTTCAAAATAATTAATAATATTAAAATTTTAATTTCAATAATTAAAATTAAATTTAATACTTTACAAACATTTAATTTTATTATTGATCTCAAATTTTACCCTCTCTGGCCCTCAGCAGAAGACAAGAAAGCGAGCATAGCTAAGCTAAATGAGAAAAAGACCCCTTTTTTTTAACAAGTAAAAACAGAACACAAATGACATGTCACTATAAAACTTCTCAGCCTCAAAACGGTAAAAAGCACACAGCCAATGAAAGTAGCTTTTGCGAGTATTTTGTTCTTCTTAATTCCCTCTGGTACATTAGAATACAGCTGTGCCCATGGCTGCAAAGTCCAGCCCTTTCTTTCTTTCGGGTTTCGAAAAGGTCATCTCTCTCTCTTTCTCTCTCTATTGCTGTGGCCACTGCCGGCATCTAAAACTGTGAATTTGCAGAATTCTTTTTCACTGTTTTATTTTCATTGTTCTTCAATTATTTGTGCTCTGATTCAACTTTCTTGTCAATGTAAATTTGCTTTATTGTTACAATGCCAGGCCCTTTCACTCTGGTCTGCACCAAACTGTGACCCCCCGGTTAAAGGTGATATGATAAAGTTCCTTCTACTGTTCATGTACTTTTTTAACCAGTGCTCTCAGTCATTTCACAATCATGAAAAATCCAACTAAAAATTTTGAGAAAATAATTTAAAAAATGAAGGAAATTTCATTAGTTAATGCAAAAACTTTGTGTTTTCCTTCTCGACTACTAGTACTGTGCTGACTATATCCAGACAAATAAAAACAAAATATTCTCCTCACATGTCACTATTTACGAATGTTGGTGCCAATGTTGGGGGTGGCATGCAACCAAAATAGGGGAGCAGTGGAGGGTACAATGGTAACTTTGTGAATGATACGAGATCTAGCTTCTTAGCTGGCTTGGTTTGATGGCAATGGCGTGTCTCAGAACAAAATCCAAAATGAGGCAATGGAAATTGGTTTTATTTATGGAAATACTCGAAAGAGGTTTGACAAAATAAAGAGGAGGGGCTTTCATCATTTTTTGTACGGATTTTACGGGGGAAAAAAAGGGGTATTTCGGTTAAAGTACATTGAAGAAAATTCTACTTCGATTTACCCCTCTTTTTTCTTTTCTTTTTTTTTTATTTTTTAATAATACTGTTCATTTAGGCACTCTGAACAGTATGTATTTGGTCAAGGGCAAAAAAAGCTACTACAATGAAACCCATAGGAGATACCATTAATGAAAATTAATTGATATCTTGCCCAAGATGATTGATTCATTTTTGGTCAAATAAACGATATGGTACAAATAATTTAGGGTTCAAATATGAGTAATTGGGTTATTTGTAATCTCTATTGCTTGTCAAAAATGCTTAATAAATTAAATTTTCTTTTATAAAGTTACCTATTATGAAAAATTATAATTATAATAAAAAATTTTAATATATATCAAATATTACAGTGAAACAAATCAATAAACAAATTAATATAGAATGTATTCAGGTTAACATTTTATGACACTTGAATTTAGAATTTAACAGTTTCAAAACCTCCTTCATTGTGACAAATTTTCATTGGCACTAATAGATTGCAATTGTTACAAATTGTGGGATTTTTGAAAAAGTTATCTTCCATAATTTACTTTAAAACCTAACAAATCTCTAAAGACACCAAAAATAAATACTTGGGTACAAATTTATTAGTAACATAAAACTGGCTTTCAAAGATAAATTATGAAACAAATGAAATTGAAGTAAAATACTGTAAGAGAATTTTAAAATAAAATATGAGAAATAATCCTATATTGAAATAGAAAAAATAAAAATAGATAGTTAAGTTTGCTCAAAAAGAAAGATAAATATGTCCAAAATAAATAGTTTCAACTGTTTAAAAGAAGATAATTTTTATCTATTCAAATAAACAATTATGTTTGTAAGAAATGACCTTTATTTGTCTATAAAAGTTCCATCTGATTTTTTGAAAATAAACAAAAATAATTATTAGAACTCTCCCTCTTTCTTTAAACTCTAGATTTTTCTTATAAAAGTTTTGCTACAGAAAACTTTTATCAACAAAACTTTTATAGTTTTGCTACATAAAATTTTTATAAAAGTTCAATGATCTTATGATATATCAATGATTGTTCGGTGGACTAATTTCGTCAATGCAAAACGCAATTAGTCACTGGACTTTATTGTATCCTCAAGATTTATTGTCTATAACCCATTGGTACACCTACTAAGTAAATAATACTGTGGAGACAAATAAAATCTTAAAGAAAGTGATATCGTCACATGCATTGGAGCCTTTCCTCAAAATTATTATTTTTTAGAAGTAATAATTTCAGATTTTCAGTGTTTGCTCTAACAATTTTGAGTTTTCATTTGGTTCAACAATGGATACTGAAGCAACGCTCAGGGAATTGGCTTCTAGTTTTGTTAAATTGGATCGTTTTAATGGTGATAATTTTTTAAGATGACAAAAGAATATGCATTTTTTACTTTTAACCTCGAAAGTTGTATATGTTCTAACTACACTCAGGCTAGAAGAAAATGAAATAGAAGAATCTATAGCTGAAACAAGATAGAGGAGAAAATGGGATAATACAGACTACATGTGTAAATGTCATATTCTGAGCTGTTTGTTTAACTAAGTGTTTGATACATACCAAAATGAGGCTACAACAAAAAAGTTATGTGACAAATTGAAGATCAAGTATATGACCGAGGATGCAAGAAATAAGAAATTTATCGTTAGTCATTTTAATAATTATCATATGGTTGATGGACATTCTGTGATTGAATAACTGTGTGAAATTGAAAGAATACTTAATCAGTTTAAGCAATATAATATGAGTATGGATGAAACAATGCATGTGATATATAATTGAAAGAATAGACAAACTTTCTTTATCATGGAATGACTTTAAAAAAATCTGAAATATAAAAAAGAGGAAACCATTTTTAAGATTTTAGTTAATCATCTTCGAATTGAAAAGGAATAAGAAAGTAAAAATAAAATTTTAATTTTGGTGATGCCAAAGTTCATGTTTTGAAGGAAAGACAAACTACAAAACTTAACAAAAAGAAGTTCAAGCTCAAGCAGATTGCTAACAAGCCTAAATTTAAAAAGAATAAGAAAGACTCATGTTATCATTGTGGTAAGTCATGGCATTTCAAGAAAAAATATCGAATGCTACAAAAGAAAAATGATCCTTTAAAAGGGGATACTTCTAAAAAATTTGCTATCATGATTTTCGAGATTAATATGCTTGAAAAATGATAAATCTTGGTACGTTGATTCTAGGGCAACAAAACATATGTGCAAGGACAAAAGCATGTTCACAACATTTAAACCAAATGAATATGGCAGTAACTCTACATAAGAAATTCTTATACAACAACAATCAAAGGTAAATGGACTGTTGACTTTGAATTCACTTTTGAAAAAACTTTAACTTTGAATGATATTTATTATGTACTAGAAGTTATGAAGAATTTAGTATCTAGAAGTCCATTATACAAGTTTGATTTAAGCTTTGTATTTAAGGCAAATAAATTTATTTTATCTAAGAGAGAAATTTTTGTTGGGAAAGGATATATTTATGAAGAAAGATATTCTAATGTTAGTTGGATTACTAACATGGAATATCATATTTCTACAATGAAGTGGATCTTTATACTTAGTGGTGGTGCCATTTATTAGGGTTCCAAGAAACAAACATTCATAATGGATTCCACTATGGCAATCGAGTTTTATTGCATTGGTTGCAATAGTTAAAGTAACTGAATGGCTAAAAAATTTATTATATGGAGTA